CGTTTGGGGACCCATTCCAATTCCATTTTCATCTGAAAATGCGTTCTTCTGTTGAAAAATTAAGGTGGACAAAGTATTTGTTAAATGTCTTGTCTGTTATCGATTTTGATCTCTTCCAGAATAAAAAACCTCAGATATTTTTAGATCTACATGACCAAATAAAACATAAATAATTATGCATGGTTAAAGTGAATTAGATTAGACCATGTATGATGTGTATTCGAACCAGAAAATCTTTCATATATGTTAAGTTTCGGACAATAATGCAATTACATTTTGCCTGTTCTATATATAAAAAGTTATCAAAACAAGAAAATAAGTTTACTATGTTTATATATGAAGATCTTACACAACAACATACATACGTAGTCTCTATTATATAGAATTAGAATACAATGTGTGTTGATCAAAAAAAAAAAAAGAATACAATGTGTTCTGTTTAGAAATAAGTATAGATGTTTGTACATATATATGTATATATGTGTATAAACACATACATATACAGGTGTAATATCTATATTTTTAAAATGATCTCTTACTTTTTATTTGTTTATAATGTACTACTTTCATAAATTTATCTAGCGTGAAAATAGAATATCCAAATTTTCATATCATATCACAAAATACTTTATTAAATAGAAAGTTGTTATTATAATAAAACTCCACCACCTCGAATGGTTGTCACGATTCCATATGTTCCTTTTCTCCGTTTGAAGTCGGCTAGCTCTTTTCTACATGCAACTCGTTATAATCGGAAGAAGACGTGTAAGATATATAACGTGTATACTACTAATAGTTTCTAGCAATTATTACAATGACAATGTGAAAGTAATATTACGTGGTTCGTCTCATCTTTAGTATATGGCATGACCAGTATTACTGGATTTTACATATTTGAATGATTAAAAATCTAAGTACGACCGGTGACAATAACATAACAATATAATCAATCTGGACTACGTTTTGATATTCAATTAATATAAAAATGACTGTATTTGTTGGATTCCTCTTCTTACTAGAGAAGAATTTTTGTATATATATGTGAATGTGCATGCATGTGTAAATGCGAGTGCATATTTTTGCTTATATATGTGAGTGCGTGTATACATTGATACATATAAAATATATCATATTCATATACACCTGTTGGTATCAATCTGCATAGAATTGCCTATCCGAAATGTAAACCACATGATACTAAATTAATGCGTACATAAAAGCTAACCACATCTCAATAACTCATTGGATTCTTTTTTCATATATTATTATATCCCTAGATATTGCATCTTTGATCAGTTTATGTCTCAAATCCTTCACTTATATTTTTATAATATAGTTGAGCTTCCATTATCTTTTATAGAATATGCATTTATGTCACTTTAAGGGACAATAGTGGCTACTTTACTTAGTTGGGGAAGGTTCACGTGGAATTCGTATCTTAAATTTAATTTGATTAATTAGATAGATTGACCATAGAGGAGTTATTATTATTATGAAAAAAAAAATCATTTCAAACTAATCAGGAAAAGTTTACTGATTCGATCCCTAAGACAACTCAATTTACATTGTTTTTATTTGTGGTTCTATCCATTATCTCCGTCAACTAAAAATTCAATACACATATATCCAAAAACGTGTCTCACGCTTACTTGTCTATATTAGTTTAAGAAATATGGGGGTCTGACCAACTGATTGACCATTGTTATATCGTTATATCTTATGCTAGGATTCAAAATTTACATACATATATATATCAACTTTTTAACAAATAGTGAAGAGCCTACGTACGTATAAATTATGATGAAACTCTCATCATAGTAGACAAAGAAAAATATGCATTGATATATCATCTTACATAGCAAGCATCGATCATATCTTTAGTTTTATCATTTACCTTGATGAAATAATAAACCCTATATGTAAAAGATGAAAACTAGCTACTCTCGTTTGATTTATCAGCTTACTATTATTAACGGAATGATTTTTATGAAGTAATTTTCATAATATGTCCGGCAGGTTATTATGAACAATAAAAATAATGATTACTTTGGACATATTAGTATTATAGTTATGTGGCTGCAAAACTTAGCCTCCCTTGCGTATTATATAGTAAAACGTTCGAGTTATAAGAAAATATATTGAAAATAAATACAGATGAGATGAAAAGGTCCACTTTTATGTCATGGGAATGTGGGACTGCAAGTGTGGAATCAACGTAAATCGAATCAACCAAAAAAATAGTAAATAACATAAATCAGAGACACATGTCGATGCATCATTATTTAGTCACCGAAACGAATATTTTTTACATCTCTGCGATTGGGTGAGGAATTATATGCTTACACAAAATCCTTCTGACAAAGTCTGGCATATGGTATCGGCATTTTCTTTTTCTTTTACTTTTTTTACGTGGAAAATCATTCGTAAATCTAATGAAATAACTTTCAGCTTTTAATATGATTCACATATTTCTACCAAATTTGAGCTGAACCATGCATAATGTCGGGCGTTTATCTCCACAACATCTTCTACCTTTTTATTTGTTTTAGTAAACTTATATACACATCTTAATTCCTGTATACTCATTACATATAGTCATTTAGTTTTATCTCTGGGTGGAAGTAAAAAATTGATGTTCACAGTTCACTGAGTGCGCATTAGGTCGCTATATAATTTATATATCGAATTGGATATATAGGACTTATTAGGCTGAATTTGAGTTCAAAATATAAGAGTTATACAAATAAAAAAAGCTGTATGGGATGTAAATTAAGTATTTAACTTTGGACAGATATAATTACATAATAGAGACACATAGAGGAATTGTAAAGTTGAGAATTTTAAAACAAGAGTTCCTGTTAATTATCCAAACATCAAATGTTCGGACTATAAATCTACATAGAAACGTGTGTGTCTATATATGTATAGACATAAGTATTATACTCCAGATGATAAAAGGTTTTAGGGGTGGTGTTTTTTAATAAAGAAAACGCATGATCTGATTAGAAATATAAGAAAGAAAAATAAAAGAAAGTGGGTGTGGGTCAAAAGTGTGGGTGCGTATTTGGGTAGTAAAGAGAAATGAGAAAAAAAAAGAAGGCAACAAGTCCAAATGGTCATCTAATCACCCTCCAGCAACTTCATTTCCACACACAAACTTTTTGGGCCTACACAAAGTTCTTGTCCTTTTTTTGTGTGATGAAAATGGCATTTGACAATTTGACAATCTCATTGGAACTCTTGTTCTAAAATTCTCAACTTTACAATTCCTCTGTGCGTATATCTTATATATATCAGATTGTCAAATTGTCAACTTTACAAGAGTTACTTATGACAAATGATATATATATATATATATATATATATATCTGATATCTATAATATATACGCAATTTGACAATCTGATATCAGATATATATATCGGGAGTTGTAGTCCGAGTTTTGATTTTTTTTTTCTCTCCTTATGGCAACTTTCTTTGTTCATGTAACTCTTAACTATTTTTCGCATGAGTTCATTTTTCGGTGTGTACTTAAGAGATAGGTTGCAACTGGATTTTCAAAATTTTATAGTTTGAAGAATTCAATTATATGGAATGACTTATTCATGTGAGTTTCACAAAAATGTTACCATTTAAATGGAATAAAAAGATGTCATTCCTTTGTAATAGGTGGAATCAATAGAATAAAAAAAGGAACGTAGTCTAAAATTTTTGGAGATCTGAAACCTATGGGAATAGAGAATGAGACTACATACATATTTTTAGCTTATTAGTTTAGATTTTAAATTTAAAATGCAAAGTCCACCATCTTCTTTTAATTATTCTTCTCGTTACAATTATAATCTGAAACTAAACATAAAGATAAACAATTTTGCTCGTCTAATAACAAATAAAGTTTAGTTGGAGCCATAATGTTCCATTTTTAAAAATTTCTTTCATTCATAGTATTCCTAAAACTGATTTCCAGTTGGAGCCATAATGTTGTATATATAAATCATAACTTTAACATCAATACATATATGACCAAACAATATTTTGTATGATGTTTGTGGAGTTAACTCTCTTTTTTTTTGCACAACGTATGGACTTAATTATTCTCACAATGTTGGTGAAATTTAATTGATCCTTATTAGATGTTAAAGGTACATGCAATGTTTTCTCTACCATTATAATTCAAAGATGTGTGTGTATCTAGTCATTAGGAGATGCATGATTATGAATGAGCTATTGCGTAATAAAACTTATTATAGATTAATCACCTTTTGACTATAATTTCACTTATCAACCATATCGTAGTATTAAAAATCAAAATCAATTCCATTACAAGAGTGATAAGGCAAAGGTGGACTTGGAAAATGTTGCAAAGATGGAGAAATCTCTTGGTGTTCCACTTGCTTCTTGTGCCTATGATTCGGATTCGGAGTCCAGCTCTTCTGAGTATGATGGTAGCGGTTATACTTCTGGCAGTTTGAATGGTGAAGACATGTGGGCTGCAGAATTAGAGCAATATGACAATTATCTGATGAACAAGTGGAAATCAGAGAGCTGTATCAGTCGTGATCCTGAGTATGTTTGTTTTTCTTTCATAGAGCATCCGCAACAGAAATGCCTATGTGTCATAGTTTGTCAAAAGAGTTTTCAATTACAAATAGAAGCATCCATAACAGAAATGCCTATGTGTCAGAGTTTGTCAGAAGAGTTTTCAACTACAAATAGAAGCTGAAGCCGTGAAAGAAGAGAGAGCTCAGTGATCTTTTCATTTCACAATTTACTATATGCGGTTTGATGTTTCACACGCCCAAACTCTATTATATCAGTTTGCTTTACTTTCATAAACTCTATTATATCAGTTTGGTAAAATTTAGTTGATGCTTATTGGATGTTAAAGTTATATGCAATGTTTTCTCTACCATTGTAATTCAAAGATGTGTGTATGTCATTAGAAGGGCATGATTATGAAGGAGCTATCGCGTAACAAACTTATTGTAGATTAATCACTTTTTGGCTATAATTCTGTGCTAGAAGAACTGACATTGATATGTGTGGTGTAGTGTCCGCTGCCCATACTACTGTATCAGCTGTTTACCAGATAGAGGGTGCTTCCGTGAAGAGAGGCCACGCTTCGATGAAGAAACTATTAATGTTGAATCATCACAAATTGATTGATCATATAATATACAAATACTACTTTAATTTTAAGCCCAATGATACTACTATATGTCGTCATAAGTAAAATTGACTATACATCACTCGGCCAAAAAGTCTTCCAACAATTTCACGACTTGATTCATTGTAGGCCGTTCTTTAGTCGCCGCTTTTATACAAAGACACGCAATCCTAAAATACTCTTCCACCTCCTCTGTTTCACCAAGGAAGCTTGACTCGACCATTTCGTAATACCGATTTTGCCCTTCCAGTGATACTGCCCATTGGGCCAACCCAACCTCCTTCCCGTCTACAACCACCGGCCAATTCGGCCTTCTCTGCGTCGCCATCTCCAGCATCAAAATGCCGAAACTATACACGTCTGTTTTCACCGTCGCCGCCGTGTTCCCTTCCCAATACTCCGGCGGCATATATCCCATCGTCCCCGCCACTTGTGTCGACACGTGCGACCTCGACGCGTCGATGCTGCGCGCCAATCCGAAATCCGCTATATGAGCCGCAAACTCCGAGTCTAGCAGCACGTTGCTCGATTTAATGTCTCTGTGGATGATCGGTTTCGGAAGGCCGTGAAGGTAAGCCAGCCCTTTCGCTACTCCGTAGGCGATGCTCAAGCGTGTTGACCACGGTAGGGAAGAAGCTTCGTCGGTGTTCTCGTGTAGCCAAGAATCGAGGCTTCCTTTCTCCAAAAACTCGTAGATTAAGACCCGATCCGGACCCGAGATGCAGTATCCGAGGATCCGAACGATATTCGGGTGACTGAGTCGGCCTAGTGTTTCCATCTCCGCGCTGAATTCGCGGAGCCCTTGTAAAGCGTCGGGATCGAGCCTTTTCACGGCTACTACGACTCCGTTTGAGAGCTTTGCGCGGTAAACTAGACCGAAGCTTCCGTCGCCGACTATTAGATCTGAGGAGAAGCCGTTGGTCGCTACGGAGAGCTCGGCCATGGATATCTCGCAGATGGAAGGATCGAAGATCGCGCTTTCGCTCGCCGCAACTGAGCTGAGACTGGGAGTAGACGACGGATCGGGGCAGTTCTGAGCTCGGATGTGGTTTTGGTAACGGCGAGGATGGTTTTTGATGGCGTGGCGGCGTCGACATACGAACACAACGGAGATGAGGAATATCAAGATGAAGATAGAGCTCGCGGCGGCCGCTAGGATCACTATGGGTGCCATAGGCGCTTGTAAGAGACACTGTTTGTGCTGAGTATGAAACGAAGAGATAGATAGATTGACAAAGGAGAGAGAAAGAGATGATCCGCCATTGATAGCGAGGGAGAAGAAAAAGATAAATTGAATTGCGAGATAAGTTTGGGACGACTTATTTTTCTTTGGTCAATGGTACGACTCAATGAAGATTTAACTTTTTCCTAGAAATAAATACTGATTGATTACGTTAGTTCATAATTTCTTTTTCATAAATTATCGACTTTATATATACATTGCGACTTGCGAGTAACACGATGACAACAGAATCAATATTATGTCAAATAGTTTATACAGAGACTGAAACTGAGAGCGATAGAAAAGGAACCTGTGCATAGATCATAACAGATATAACCGGTTATAATAATATATCAAACTACTTTAATATAAATAACATGTTAAAAAGTATATATGTCTAAAGAAAATTTCTCTTACATGGATACTAACTTAGATCCTTAAATTATGTTCGAAATGTTGCTATTTGACAATTTGTTTTCGTCTGGATTATTTTATGTTTCCACCTGAATCAGACTTTCTCCGGTAGAAGAGCACATAAGCAGCACCTGACTTCACATCGTCCTCGTTTATATGCGAGATATGACTGTCATCGAAGTTATACCACCTATTGTCGTCCAAAAGCTGCAGACAAAATCCATATATATATATAAAAAGGTAAGAATCTCAGAAGCACGAAACATAATCAAACCAACAAGTAAAGCTGATTAGAACTGACCTTGATATGTGCGGTGTAGTGTCCGCTGCCCATACCACCGTAATGGTTGGTCAAAGCATAGAGCTCATAGAGTTGTGGTCGAGAGAGATTTTTGTTGGCTACATACTTTGTCAAATCTAAGTCATGAATTGGAAAGTTTACAAATGTTTCCAACTTGTGCTTCATAGATCTGCTATATGAGAACCTCTTCAGATGTATCACCAACACTTCAGGAAGCCTCCACAAATCAAGCTTTTTGCTTGCCTGCCTTCTTTCATTGCATTGTGGACAGAACCTGAGAAAAAAAAAACATGACGTATATACCATTATTGATTGATTTAGCAACGAAGTAGAAGACAGAAGAACACAGTGTACTCAGATAGACTAGCAATTTCTGAAATCATGCATTCTCTTTCAGTAATGCTTAGTTCAACTTTTACCACAAACCAGTTAAAACATGAGGCATAAGGTGAAAACACTACTTACCACATTTCGTCAGGCACCAAAGGCTCTTCGCGTAGAAAAGCTTCCAAACAGGCGTACAAAGAAAGAGGTTCTGATCGAGCCTTCTTGGTAGCAGGTCCGTATTTGAGTACTTCAGGCAAACTCTCAAGGCAAGTTATATCATAAATACCAGAAAGCTCTTGTGTCCAGTCCAAATATATGGTTACCGTTGCCGATGATGGTAATTTAATCGCTTCCGCTTCATCGTCTGGCAGATTAACTGTTTTGTTATTTTCATCGATGAGTTGCATGGATAATTTAGATGCAATCACGTCGGAGGAACTGCTTTTCTTGGCTTTTTTCGATCCACCATTTTTATCTTCTTCCTCGGAATTATTGAACCGGGCTGACCTTCTCTCAGGGATGCTAGAATCAGAATTTCCTCTCTTGCCCATAGTTTCTTCCCTCCGAAAAGGTGAAAGCGTATTTTGGACAATGCACTGGATTTTTCCTTTGGTGAGCGCATTTTCACGTGAAGCTGATGAGAGAAGTGGTGTTCCATAAGGTTTCAATTGCACTGTACTCTCACGTTCCTCAGCTTTCCTGAAACACGGTACTCCCGTTAATAACTGTATAGTGTAGTAACATTGTTCAGCCACAAAGAGATGACAAAGAAGAACGCATATAGATGATAAACAATAGTCATTGCTCAGATCGAAATACATCAAGGGTTTCATAAAAAAGCCAGAGATCAAAGACTGAAAAAGTTAGGACACACAGAACAGAGAGTCTTAAAGTTGTTGGAAAGGAGATTCAAAAAAACTGAGTGCCAAAGAGAAATTCGTTAACTCAAACTAGCCCCTAGAATTAGTTCGCACAAAGTAGACTTACTGATCTCTGCGGCGGAGTACTAGTCTAAGCAAAACCATATTCCCTGGAGACTTTGGAAGTTTGTATGCAGCAAGGTGATCATCGTCTTTGATAGTGGACAATGGAATTAAAGGGTCTTCAAACAATCTATGGATCAAATTATTTCGGACCTGCGACAAACATATTAAACTTAGTTTAAGGAAAAGCCAAAAGACTGACAATCTTACTTAAAAGAGCACTTGAAGCTACATACCTCTGCAAGCTTCAGCTCTTCACTTTGCTTCAAGGAACACGCACTTGTTAATGCCTGCATCAAGTCTCTGCAACGCCCCTGCTTTGAAACGTTGACGGTGATTGTGGAAGGTAATGCAGTTTTATCACAAGAAAAAACTGTCACTGTTATTGCTCGTGTTGTGTTGAACTGAAGCGGCAAAGATAGGTACATGAAGGGATCAAACGTTACGGAAACCTTGTCGCACACTGGACATACTAACGTTGACTTGTATTGCCCCTGTGAAATGAGACACAAATTAGGAAGTAGGAGAAATATGATGGGTGATATTAGCATTCATGCAAGCGAGATTAGCATAAAGTGTCCAGAGTCTTGGTATATTTAACTAAACCAACTCTCTTGGTATATTTCCCAAGAAGTCTTGGAAATTCTAAAAGATGTAAATCTTACCTGACAAACATCTACGATTATTGAGTCATTGCGAGCAATATGATTAGCCCAAAACTCATCAGCAACTTCTTCATCAGGGCGACCATCTGCGTCTCGAGAATTTATATATGGTTTGTGTTTAACACGATTTAGGTCTTCGTGAAGACCATCCAACAAAAACGCTAAAAGCTCCTGCAATGTAAGAACCCCCATTCCTTGAGCTACAATGCCAATATAGCTTAAAGAAGGTTTCTGGTTAGTTAGGCAAACCTGCGAATCATGTTGATTGTATCCACTGAATTGAGGAGCAAAGCGAGCAACTTTTGCTTTGAATGGACGGGGAGCAATTGGTGTACGCCCAGGAGCCCATAACTTCCTAAGCAAGTCACCAAATGCAAGAGCTAATTCTCCCTGTGAACGAAAAACACAAATGAACGAATGATTTCGGAGCATACCTATGCACACACTTATCTATGCATCATAATTATGAGAAACAAGGAACTGCAAAAGGAACTTACAACCATGCCCAGAGGATTTTGCCAATTTATCTCTTGATGATAATCTTCTTGGAAGTAACTAGCAAACTCAGGTGTATGAACCAGACACTGTATTGCACTATTCATGAAACAGGTATTCCCGAGATTCAGCAGCCCTGTCAAGCCAGCAGTGGATCCCCTTGTGGTGACACCAGTGCTACTGTATGTGCTATCAAAAGACTGTGAAACTTCTACACTACCACTTCTGAATGCATTCCTGTTTGAAGAGAAACCTCCTGCAACTGACAAGCTCGATTTAGAAGGATCAATGAGAATAGAAGTAGAGTCTTCATCCACCAATCCATTCTCTTGAACAGATTGAATGTGAGCAGTTGATGCTGTACCATTGATGTCAAGCATCTCCACCAAAATCTGTATTTAAACGAATATACAAAATTAATACGAAAACAAACGCGCAAATAAGAAAACATAAAAGAAAAATAAGAGAGCATACAGAGCCACAAACTTTGACTAGCTACACAATGGAACCAAAGCATAAACGTTCTACTTTCAACTGTTTCCCTCGTTGTCAAAATTGGCTTAAGCCAAACACTAATATCAATTTAAAAGCTCCAGCTAACTAGGTATTGGCGAGAGATAATTGTAATGCCTTTTCCATTCTGTCCTCACAGCAATTGGCCAAAAAGAAACAATGTCAAAAGCTATGACAAAAGTTCAAGTAGCATATTTCTAGTGCCCAGCTAACACATTTAAATAGAAAAAGAAGCGAACTTACATCCTGATCCATTTGTAGGTTAGCATCGTCCAGTGTCTTATCCAAGTCATTCATCAAAGAATACTTTTGGTGGCCGTAATAATCCCAAATACGTACCTACATGATGGGAAAATGCTCATTTAAGAAAAAGAACAGAATATATAAAGTATCACTGAAATGGGGTGTTTGATAACATAGGGATCCCAGATCTTACATGCTCTGAGTTGAGGTCAAAAATTTCACATGCCCTTCGATGGAGCTCTCTGATAGTTTCCTGCACAACAAAGTTTAATAGTACAGTGAGGTAGCAGAATACAATGAGTTCAAATTCCCAAGTAATGGACCAACAAAAACAAGAAGTGAAAAAAAAGTATTAACCTTTTTGCTTATTCTTATGGCACTGTGGTCACTTTTTGGCATCAAAAGTAGCTGAAGACGTAAAGGGTATACCTCCACAGCCATTTCTGTTTGAGAGAGACCCGAGCTAATGACTCTCCGCGCCAGAGTTGGGCCACCCCCGTACCTTATAAAACAGAAGAAATAATTCATCAGAACCATCTCATCACTTAAGTTCTATGACCCAACATACCAAAGGTAACAGAGAAAAATCAAAGGTACTTGAACAGACATGGGAGTAAGTGTAGCCCACACAAGATGAAGAGATGCACAGTTTCAAATCGGTTCCATTCTTATACCCTTAAACTCACCATGAGCGCAATTGGTTCCACACTTCTTGAGGGAGCAAAACATAGTCGCGGCCTTCCTGAAGTGTATCAATAATCTCACTGGGATTAGTTGGGTCATCCTGTGCAGATTCATAGATCAAATCAGAGTTATCAATCCTAGAAGGCTTCTTTAGATTGCTTGAGCCAGGAGAGTCGCTATGCTCTGACAATGAAGACCCATCATTTGTGTTGCATGGTTGGTCTTGATTCACATATTCAATCCATTCTTGCCACCATCTGGATACAAAGAGCAACAACAAACAAAATCTTCTCAGCAGAAGTACCATAAGATAAAATCAATCCCCTCTCTGCTTTATTCTCTCATACAATACCCATAAACCCCCATTGCTTATGATGACAGTTCTATGGAAAACGTTCTGATATGGCCAAACTGCTCTCAGTAACTATAGATATGTTTCAAAAATATGATGAAGATAACCCAATCCGTAACCCTAACCACATTCATAACCAAGGCAATCAAAAGTCAAAATGGCGAAGAAATGGATATAACTCTCCGGAATTTGATTGACACATAAACAACGAAGTCACAATTTGGCCATAAAGCCTTTGAAATACCTCTGAGTGATGAGATAAAACGTATCGCCTTCCTTGCTGTTAGCCTCAGCAGCAATAGCAATGTCTCTAATGAAAACTCGCTCCTCCTCGGGAGACAGATCCGTGCTGCTGCTGCTGCTTCCCATCGATACCTCCGCCATGTCTGGACCCTCGCAAAATTGTTGGATGATTCGAATTCAGATAAGTAGAATTCACGAATCCAGGGTATGCGGGGGACAAATCAAGCTGATACAGCGCCGGTGATGGTATGATGATCAACCGTGCTCTCGCCGCGGTTGCTATGATATAAACCCTAACGGCTTTTTTTTAAGGAGAAAGAAGAGTGAGCCGCTACCAAACGTCGCAACCTCTTTCTATCAAATCCTTGCTGGCTTGGCTCCTAGATTGTAAAATTTCGAAAATTGTTCCACAAAATCCACCAATTCATTTTTTTTCCTCTTTAACTAAGATTTTTCTCAGTAATATTAAAAAATTGGAAAAAATTAGATTTGATCTTTTAATTTTTTTTTCATCAATTGATATCAAACATTTAAAATAGAATATAAAGATGGAATTTAAAGTCTACATAACAACAAAATATCTCTAGAAACAAAATCTAAAAAAAAAAGAGAAATTAAGGCGGCAGAAGAATAAAATATTCTGGCAGAAAATATAATTTTCTCGCAAAAGAGATCTACAATCAAGATAGAATTAATTTAACTAAAACTCAAACATGATATTAACATTAAAATCTGCAAAATTTCATAACTTTAAAAGAGTTTACGAATAAATTTACCATTATCATTCATGACTGATCGAACAATACCATCTTCTTGTAATACAAAAAAACCATTTCTCGCAAACGAACAGCGAACAAGAGAACCACAATCATAAGAGAACACTATAACCAATCAAATCACATAACTAATTTGTTTTATCTCTTGTAATTATATATAAATACGAATAAATCCTATATATAATGGGCTTTAATATTTTAATTTTATATGGGCCTTTCTGTATTTTGTATAAACATATTTTACAAATTATAAAAGATTGTAAATTTTTTTTGTGGGCTTTTTATTCATAGATTTTTTGACATTCAGTTTAAAAGTAAAAAAATTAAACATTTAATTTATAAACTACAAAATTGTAAATTGTCTACTAATAAAATTTTTAGAATGCTATTTCGAATAAAAAATAAATAGAGTATGTGATATCATGGTAAATTAATTTTGTTGAGATATTTTGATCTAGGTAAAAATAAATTAAAGAATAAAAAGCAAAACTGAATAGAAAAATGTGTGAAAAGTGAAAAACATAAATACTTACAGTATTATATAAGCATAAGAAAAAGGTTTTTTTAAACACTTAGCACATCATAATTTTTAATAGAAAAATAATTTTATAATAGTTTTAAATATTTTGGATAATAAAAACCAAAAATAATAATTTCAGTTAAATAAAACAAAACAAATGTAAAACAATATAAAATAATGAAAAAGATAAACATAATACTAATATAAATATATAAAATTATAAAGTTAAAAATTGAACTACAAATAATATCTCTAGTAACATAATTTAAGATGTCAAAATGTTAGAATATAGAAAATGGATTATTCCAAACAGAAATATTATGTGACTTTAGACTGTAACTTTAAATTATCTCGTAGACTATTTATTGTAATGTTCAATTCTGATTACTTAAACAATTTTTTTGTTTTAAATGTATATATGTCTTGACCAAAAAAAATTGTATAAATGTAACGATTTTGTTTATAAAAAAAATGGTAGTGGATAAAATTTTACAGTGGTGTTATAAAAAAAATTTGGGCTAAAGTTCTTGGTTTTTCATTTCTCTGATAATTTTGAGCTAAAAATATTAGTGAAGAAATAAAAGTTTTGGTTTTTCTCCTTCTCGGAATCTCCTCGAACAAGCGATCGCATAGTGGAACCCATCTTCAATTCTCGTTCCCTGACTCTGCCTCTCAAGCCGTAGACCATCGTTCGCTTCCCGCCGGTAAGTATCGCTTTCGTTATTCTTCTTTTTCATTTTTTCCCGGTGACTGAACCTCATTTCCATTTACCACCCAATGGGTTGATGATCTCCCAATCTTCCTTGTTCTATATAGGAAGGCTTCGTTGTTCGTTCCATTGGTTGAAATTTGATATCTGTGAATGCTGATTTCTCACGAACATTGTCGTTGTGGATTTGGTTTGATAGTGGATCCTGTTTCTTTGTCATTTGTAGCTTTGAGTTTTAGGGTTGCCAATTTTAGACAATTGTTTGCATTCTCCCCTATTTTAGATTTTCTCTGTGTTATTCTGCCCCCAAGTGTCTGCCTTTCATGCTTTTTACTTTCCTCTTATGGCTCTGAGAGTCTTTAAACAAAAAGGGTATCATTAGTTCTCGTTTCTGCAGATCGTTTTGTTCAGATTTGGTTCATTGGGGCCGCTTCATATCTGGTTCTCGTGCTTGTTTATGAATCTCACTGAAATTTGGTTCTCAGAGATGGATTTAGCAATCGCTACCTCTTGTTTGTAGAGTGGTATTGATTAGTTTGATCAATGTATCTATGTGCTCCTAGGTGAAGACATTGAATCTCCTAACTTTATGTTACAGTGGTGTGTATTCTCTCTTGAAGTCTTCTCTTCTAACCTGTATAGTAGCTCATTTTGTATAAATTGGGGTTTTTGTTGTGTAGACTACATCATTTGAATCCTGTGTGATCATTCTCTTACAGTTACATGAACTAGATTCGGGTTTTGTTTTGATGTTCAGACTGATGGAGGCCAAACCGAAAAGGAGGACAGTTACAGAGAATGGAGATACAGGAGAAGATTTAGTTCTTGCGACATTGATTGGTAATGGGGATGACGTGGGTCCTCTCGTTAGGCATGCTTTCGAGATGGGGCGGCCTGAACCACTTGTACACCAGCTCAAAAACGTTGTCAGGAAGAAAGAAGCTGAGATCGAGGACTTATGCAAGACTCACTACGAAGAATTCATTGTTGCAGTTGACGAGCTCCGTGGTGTGCTAGTTGATGCCGAAGAGCTAAAGAGTGACCTTGCAAGTGATAATTTCAGGTTGCAAGAGGTTGGTACTGCCTTATTGGTGAAGCTGGAAGCGCTTCTCGAATCCTATGCAATCAAGAAGAACGTGACTGAAGCTATAAAAATGTCAAAGATCTGCGTTCAAGTACTGGATCTGTGCCTTAAATGTAATAATTACGTCTCTGAATGCAATTTCTACCCCGCCTTGAAAACAATGGATCTGATTGAGAGGAACTACTTGAAGCTTATCCCTGTTAAGGTTCTAAAGCTGATTATAGAGAGGAGGATCCCTGTGATCAAGTCACATGTGGAGAAAAAGGTGTGCAGCCAATTTAACGAATGGCTAGTTCACATCAGGAGCTCTGCTAAAGCTATTGGACAGACAGCTATCGGCTTCACTGCTTCAGTTCGCCAGAAGGAAGAAGAGACGCTGGAACGTCAGAGGAAAGCAGAGGAACAGAACGTTGGTGGGTTGGGAGAATTGGCTTATACCTTGGATGTTGAAGATCTAGAACAAGATTCTGTTTTGAGGTTTGATCTGACACCTCTGTATCGAGCATATCACATCCACACTATTCTTGGAGTCCCAGAGCGATTCCGCGACTATTACTATAGTAACCGGACACTGCAGCTCAAGTCAGATCTGCAAATCTCTTCTACGCAGCCATTTGTTGAATCATACCAGACGTATCTAGCTCAGATCGCAGGGTACTTTATCGTGGAGGATCGGGTGGTTAGAACCGCTGGAGGGTTCTTGACAGCTGATCAAGTTGACACAATGTGGGAAACAGCCATCGCCAACATTGTATCTGTCTTGGAAAACCAGTTTTGCACCATGGACTCTCCCACTCATCTGCTTCTGGTGAAAGATTATGTGACTCTCTTCGGTACAACTCTTAGACAGTATGGTTATGAAGTGAGTCCAGTAATTGATGCCCTTGACAAAAGCCGAGACAGATACCACGAGCTTCTTCTCGAAGAGAGTCGGCAGCAAATCGTTACCGCTATTTCGAACGACGGTTATCAGCAGATGTTGATCAAGAAAGAATCTGACTACGAAAGCAATGTCTTGTCGTTTAATCTTCAGACATCAGACATAATGCCGGCCTTCACATACATCGCTCCCTTCTCCTCCATGGTACCAGATGTTTGCCGGATCATCAGATCATATATAAAAGGTTCAGTTGATTACTTGACATACGGGGTGAACACAAGCTTCTTCAATGTTGTCAAGAAGTACCTGGACAAGATCTTGATCGATGTCTTGAACGAGGTTATCCTCAACACGATCAGCAACAACGGGATCGGAGTATCTCAAGCTATGCAGATTGCAGCAAATATATCTTTCCTTGAAAAAGCCTGCGACTATTTTCTCCGGCATGCAGCTCAACTCTGCGGTATCCCAAGCCGATCAGTCGAAAGACCTCAGGCAGGTTTATCTGCCAAGGTGGTTCTCAAAACATCGAGAGACGAAGCTTATCTTGCTTTGTTGAATGTTGTGAACACAAAGCTCGATGAGTTCATGAACCTCGCAGAGAACGTGAACTGGACTACAGAAGAAACGCCACAAGGGGTGCATGAGTTCATAAACGAGGTTGTGATCTACCTCGAGACGGTTATGTCAACTGCACAGCAAATCCTCCCGATGGACGCTTTATACAAAGTTGGTGTTGGAGCTTTAGAGCATATCTCAAACTCGATCGTCTCTGCGTTCCTCAACGAGGGCATCAAGAGATTCAATGCGAACGCAGTGTCGGCGATCAACAATGACCTGAGAGTTATAGAAACCTTTGCTGATGATAGGTATCAGTTAACCGGGCTGAGCGAGATCTACAAGGAAGGAAGCTTCAGAAGCTATCTGGTGGAAGCGAGGCAGCTGGTGAACCTGTTATCGAGCAGCCAACCGGAGAACTTCATGAATCCTGTGATCAGGGAGAGGAACTACAACACGTTGGATTATAAGAAAGTTGCGACGATTTGCGATAAGTTCAAGGATTCTGCAGATGGGATATTCGGAAGCCTTGCAAGCAGAAACACGAAGCAGACTGCTAAGAAGAAATCAATGGACATGCTTAAGAAGAGACTCAAAGATTTCAACTGATTCTGGAATAACCCTATAGTAGGTCTGACTCTGACCCATTGCTTTCTCATCGTCATCATCTAGCTTTTACTTATTTGTTTGCTTCTTTTTTTCTTCTTTTCACTGTTTCCGTTTTATGAACTTTTTTTTGTCCTAAATCGACCGAACTTCTTTATGTAAGAGAGAGGTCTCTGTAGATCATCTCATTTTGCCTTACATTTTCGTCCGAATGTTTCATGTAGAATCTGCTTTGATTCTTAAGCTAATAATTGTGTAAAATATATTAGGTGTATATGTTTCTAGCAATTATTACAAATTTACAAAAATGACGATGTGAAAGTAATACTAACAATCAAATCACATAGTCATGTGGTTTGTGTCATCTTTATATTGTGAAAAAGGGAACATAAGATTAACCAGTAGAGTTGACCAAAACAAAAAGATTAACAAGTACTCTCTTATTCAAAATAGTCTCTATAAATTCACAATAACTATTTATGATGTAAGGAAAGAAATAGTATAACATAAATTGATAAATTTTCTTTTGACTTTTTTATACAAACGTGTATATTATTAATGTGTTACCAGAAAATATTTTCAGATTATCTTCCGAATACATATATTCCTGGTTAATACCATCAGAAGACGACAAAAAAGTTAATAATAATATTAACACCAATTTATTTAAATGAGCGTGTCTGATACTCAGTCCTCTTCTTCTGGGCTCGCGAATCTGAGTTTCATGCTAATCCAATCTCTCCGTCGAGCTCAGGTAAAGAGTTCTACTCACCTTTTATCTTTTTTTCGAGAATAAGTGTCTTCTTCCGTTTTTGCTGAACTCGCCTTTTTTTTTTCTCCGATCCTCTTGGCTCTGTTTCTTGCTCTAATATTTGTTCTTATGTACTACTCCTTCTCTCACTACCTTTCCCGATTTAGCTGCTCTAAAATTTGTCGATATGTTCATTTTTACGCAATTCAAGGTATTAATCTGTTACAGATTTGTTTCTTCGTGTTTAATTTTAGGCCCCGAGGTAATAAGCTCTTTCTTGAAATTGGATTCAATGGAAGAGAAAGGTCATTACGTGCCGCCGCGTTATATTCCATTAACACAGTCGGATGCTGATGCAGAAGTAGCCACCACTCCAAATCTGGAAGTTGCTAATTCTGGAGCCACGAGTGATGGTCCGAAACAGTGGTCGTCTGGTATATGCGCTTGCTTCGACGATATGCAGAGCTGTATGCTACTCTCTGTCCTCCAAACCTTGATTTTACTACTACTACTACAGGAACCAAATTTGTTAAAGGTGCCTCTTTGAATTGACCTGTGAAAAATATGTGTTAGTGTGTGTGTTCGGTTGAATTTCTTACGGAGAGATTAGTTTGGTTCTGGCAATTTGGTATATAGAAAAGCATAACCAAATGGCATTTCTTGAATAGTTTTGGGGGAAGAGACTTAAGAGTTAAGGTGTAGAAGCTTTGGTGCAGAAACTTTGCTTGCATGTTTATGTTTTGAGCTTCTTTTATGCTACTTGTCTTGGATACAGATATGTTCTGTTGTTTATGGTGAAGATCATTTAAAAAAATGGTTTGAAAATGCGTTTTTGTTTCGGATGCACACAGGTTGTATAGGTTTGTTCTGTCCATGTTACATCTTTGGCAAAAACGCAGAGTTGTTGGGGTCTGGAACATTTGCAGGACCATGCTTGACCCATTGCATGTCATGGGCTCTTGTTAACACCGTTTGCTGCTTTGCAACCAATGGCGTCTTGCTCGGTCTGCCAGGATGCTTTGTGTCATGTTATGCTTGTGGATACCGCAGATCATTAAGATCCAAGTACAACTTACAGGTTAGAAAAGTGGCTCAAATGGGCAACATGTGTGGGAGACATCATATTCTTGTTTCTAACCGGTGAGATTTTGTACCGGTTCTTCGATGCAGGAGGCTCCATGTGGGGACTTTGTAACACACTTCTTCTGTCACTTATGTGCCATTTGCCAAGAATACAGAGAGATCCGAGAACGCAGCAGCGGCTTAAATCCTCCTGACATGAAGATGGCTATTACTGACGCCCCCTTAGCTCAAACCATGGAACCAGCTAACTAGTCACTTTGGTCTCATTGAGTTTTCAGTTTCTTTTGTAGAAGACATTTTCTCTTGTCACTGACCCTTGCAATGTATTTCAGAAGTTTGATGAGTAAAGTGAAACTTTCTAAGGTTATAAGTTTATAAAAAGATAAAACAAAAAAGTTACAGCATTCGGATTCTACATCTTGAAACAAAAAACCGGAAAACGGTAATAGCTAAAGGATATTACTTGATTCCAAAGAGTAGGCAGCCTATTTATTCTTTTACATACAGAGCTATAAGAGAGAAGACTGCTGAAAAAGTGTCTTTTTTAAGTGGTCACGAGATGAGGAGCTCCTGATCGAGGTAGGACACAAGAGTATGTGACATACTTTGCACTGTCCAGAAGCACGACGACAAAAACTCGGGACAGTGATTTTGGTCCCCCAATCATCCCATCGATATCTCCATCACCACCTTCTCTGGGATCAACAAGCACAGAGACAACCATTGATGACGCGGGCTTGATTTCTTTGCCAGAGCTGTTTCTTTGGTTCTCTTTGGTGAAGTTAAAATCTGATCCTGGGAGTGGAATGGGCAGACCACGAAGTGTTCTTCTGTTCTTTCGCCTGTGTGTGTCTGTGGCGTTCTTACTGTGTTCAGCAGAGACGTTGGTTGCTGGAGATGCAGGAATAATGGCTCCAGAGGTTGAGGAGACATCGAACTGAAATACTTCAGTGCACATCCCGGAGCTAAACATTGGCCCTACAATCGAGTCATATAGCGAAAACAAGTTACTTTCTACTGAGCACGAAAATTACAAAAGACAACCCCAGAAGTTACTATGTCCCTAGCGTCTGCGGAGAAAGGAAGTTTTAGTATAAACAGTTGAATCTCTACTATTTCACATGTTACTCATTACTGTTTACTCTTTAGCATGTATCCAGATTATGTTTAGCATCTACTCTTAACCAGAGATTAACCGAAGGTAAGTTCAATGGCATAGTTGTTCTGGTGTCAAGAACAAAGATATGATAAGGACTAGTATACCTACAATGCCTTCCAACATAATTAAATGAAGGGAACAGGAAAAGAAACGTCAAAAACCCATGATTACGTACCTGCAACACCTTCACGAAACCATTGCTGCATTTCACCATTGGCTGCTTTTGTTTTGATTTGGTCTTTCAGAGTATCAGCAGAGCCAGAGGATAAGGCTTTCTGTTTCTCAGTCTTGGATCTATAGAGATGCTTAGCCATATCCTCGATCCTTCCCACGTCAGGTAGAGGCAGTGCAGGGGAATAATCTTTCGGAATCGCCAAGTCAGCTTTCCTCTCATTTGATTCAGAGGCCTTTCTTGAAGCCACGGCTTTCTCACTCGCCAATATAGAATTAATAATCAGATTCCCATCAATCTTCACAAGCTTGTCATTCCTCGGAACAAAGAGTGATGCAACTAGAGGCTCACTACCATTTCCAGGAGGTACAGCGCTCTCTGTTGCAGATTTATCATCAGAATCTCTCCCACAATGCATCCCATTACTATTCGAAACTCCAGCAGCACCACTACGAGACGTATCCAAAACTCTATCCCTACGCTGGCTATAAATATGGTCGGTGACATAATTAGGCCTATAGTTCCCATAAAAGGCACCACTAATTCCTCCATAATTAACGTTCACAATCGGAGCCAATGCACCAAACAAAAATAAACAAAACAGAAGACCCAGAAAACTAATACTGGCGACCTTCTTGGTCTTTGCTTCACTCTTCTTACTCTCCGACTTCTTTGCCTTGGATGATCCAAGTGGGTTCTGTGGTTTCAACCTAGGAATGGGAATCAAAGGCACTTGAGACCCTTGCTGCTTCACCATGTAAGGTGGACAAGGCATCCATGGATAAGGCATCGGTGCCATTGGCGGATACATTCCCATCGGAGGCGGTGGATGATGCGGCGGGCACATTCCATTTCCTCCCAGTTGCTGCCTCAAAGTGGCGTTCTCAGCCATGAAATACGATATCTTACCGTTCAAATCCGATATAGTGGAATGCATATTCCTAACCTTCTCCTCGAGCTCCTCCACGTAATGTTTCTTCCTCTGCCTCGAAAGCTGCGCGCTTTCACGGTTTCTCATCAGCCTCGCTTTCTTTTTCTCGTCTTCTTCACCCGTCACCGCACTTGCGTCCGCGTCCTCTCCCGATCTCCTATACTTGCTGCTCCTCGATTCGTCACTCATATCCTCTTCGATCTCTTTTTTCCTCTTGGTAACGGATGTCGTCGCTGCTTCTTCCACCTTAACCTTCTGGTCGACCACAACGTTTCCTGATTTGGGCGAGGATTCGTTCGTAGCTTCCGAGACATCAGAACCGCAATTACCCGACCCCTGAGACGACAATGGAGTCGGTAGATCCAAGGTACGCTCAGCACCTGAGCATCGATCGTCGGAATCCCTGGGAGATTCCCGGTTACAGCATCCCGAAGTGGTCGGCGAGGGACTAATACTCTTAACGGCGTCTTTGGGATCACAATCCCCGGAAATTCCAGAGCCTTCAGAGTCCGGAGTAAAATCTCCAAACTGCTCTAGGTTAGACGCATTCTCAGGGATGAGGAACGTCTCGTTCTCAGCGGGAAAGTAGAGGTCGTCCATACCGTCGAAAGTGAGCTCGAATTCACCGTCGCCGTCAACAGGAAACCCCAGATCGGACATCAGCTCACCGATCGGAATCTGATCGGAATCGGGATGGTAAAATTGGTCGAACGGAGGTATCGAGATGGAATCGAAGTCGGGAGGAGGGATGGTAGAATTGGGGTCGGTAGCAGGTGGAGGCTCCTCCGTAATTGGCGCAGCCATTGCCTGGGAGATTTAGGGTTAGGTTACGGAATTGGGGATGAAGAAGAGGAGAGATTCAAAGGAAGGAGAAGGAAAAGGGGTTATGGAGTTATGCGGTAGAAAGCACGGGAAGAGGACGGGGGTTTAAAGACAAAAAGGAAGCTGCCTTCCTTCTCTCCCGACCTCGGCGCGTGGATTCACGCTCCGGAATCGCACTCGCTAGCTTACTACTGATGGAACAACCAATATCCAAATTACATTTCTTTCCAAAAACAAATCATCATATTATATAAAGATAAATCTAGAAGATGAAGAAAAAAAGGGGAAATTATTAAATAGATATTTTTTACCATTACTAGCTAAATAACTTTTGTTTTTGTTTAGTAATGCTTGTTTGATTTAGAAGCCAAAAACAAGCAGAATTCATTTATTAAGTTTAAAAAAATAAACTTCATTAGTACTAATTTTTATAGTATGATTTAGTGCAAACACGTAACATATGGAAAACTGTTTACGTAATTACTATATATCAATTTTTCGTGATTTTGTAATTTTTTCTGTTTCTGTCTTTGTAATCGTCATCTCTACCAGCAACATCAAAAGTAACATAAATCCAAAGTTGAATGGATTAATTGGTTTTTAAACGAAAAAGAAGGTCTGAGTCCCTTGACCATACATTGTTTCTACAAATGTCTTTGTACCACACTATTTGTTGCGTACGTGCATGAATGAGCTTAGAAGAGTATTATTTATAGCAGAGCATATATGCATTGTTTTGACGTTCGTCTTAAAGTAGTTCATCAGTTTGGTAGCGAGTACTTGTGGTCCTTTATTTTGTTTTTAAGGTGAATATATTTCGATCGTTTCGTGCATTAGCATTCCATATATGATTGTATTAAGTACAAGTGAGTGTTTTTAGTAATATTGTATTTTAGCTTATGCACACGGGCAAAAAAAAGAAAACGTTTATATCAAATTAAATTAACTTGAATTTGTGCAAGAAATACAAGATTATAGTGATTAAAATGTTGGGATTTGTCAATGATTTCTTAAGTTTGGAATAACCATTGCCAACAAAAAAATCAAGCATGTGGAGAAATGATCAAACTCATCTAAATTTTGATCGCCAAATAATAATCAAAACGAATTGATGGTGGGAAAAAATCTTCACGAAAACCAACTAGATGTGTTAAAGTTGTGATCCGATTCAAAGTTTCGTTGTATTTAAGCAGAGTTTTATACTTTAAGAATCTTAAGTCCCATTGGCTAATTCATATTTTATACTAATTTAAAATGTGTTTGATAGTATTAGAACAGTATCGTCGCAAAAAGAAAGCAGTGCGCGTGTAAAACAAACGCTATAGGAAGAGCGTGTGAAAGTACACAGTAGGTTACTATCCACGTGTTAAAAAAGGCACGTTGACTGCATGTTGTTGGAGTGAAGGAAGGGTTTTTGTTATTGCCTCTCTCGAAACTTCCCAAAAACCTTTAAAAATATGCTATCTTATCGCTTCACTTTCCAACTGTGTGTCGTTTTTGAGTCTCTTTTCCGTTACGCATGTCTCTCCTCTTCTATATCTCTCACAAGTCACATCTCACTAAAAAAATTTGTAAGTTAAGACAAAATAACTTGTTTTTCTCATATTGTTTTTAGGAGATTCCCACCCACTATCATGATATTTTCCATGTTTGTTGACACGTAAAACTGAAAAACTTGTCATTTTTATAAGGATGGTCCAAATATTTGGACTCCAAAATCTGATCCGATTATCTCTTTTAGTTATGTTATCCGAGTAGAAAAATATTCGAGTGTGTCTGAATTGAGTAAAGTCATGGAAATTTGTAGTATTCTTTTGCTTCATATACTTGACACAAATAATGTATTATTCAACTTAGAAATTTTAGAGATCAAATCTGAGTTTAATAAACATGTGTATACTTCTAGAACTGATCTTCATACTTAATGACTGAAAAATATGTTTATTGTCTAAAGTGGTACGTAGTTCTTTGTGTAAGTGGTCTTGCCACTACCGATACGTTAAGAGAAAACCGAAGTCGTCTCATCGATCTATCAAAACCCAATTGGCAAACCATACAAATACGTTATAAGAATATTTCACTCGCGTCACTTAATTAGTTATTCTCTACGAATTAATATTTATTTGGCACAATCACATTTTTCGCGAAGGCTACAGCTCGAGATGTCCCATATTGATATAGACCAAAGTTTGCTAGAGTTATCTTAGGTATTAGTTTATTTGTTTAATCCTTATTTTTTTTACTGTAAATACAGATATTAGATAGCAATGAAAATATACATTTTTGATGGATTTGTTGGATTTTCTAGAGCTCCTAATGTATATATTGTCTCAAAGTATAAAATAGAAAAATATTAATGAGGAAAAAAAATATCAGAAAGAGGCGAAGAGGAGGAGAGAGATATAAAAATAGTCGTCTTCCTTCTCCTTATGGTTTGAGAGAGAAAGATAAGATTTGCATCTAAAAACATCGTTCCTCTTCCCTCTCGTCCCCCCCGATGCTTCGATTTCAATCATCCCCTTCCTCTTGATTTCATTCTTCTCTCTTGCTGCTAGAGGAAAGGATCGATGGAGAGAGGAATCAAGGACCCAGAAGCTTCCACAGACACCCACCCATCTCTCATCGACACAGCCTCTCCCGCAGTAACAGGTTGTGCGGTTTCGGCCGAGAAAGGATTCACGGTGGATCCTTTTTTGGTTGAGGCTCTTCAGAACTCTCGGCAACGTCTCACGAGTAAGCATCAGTTTTACCCCCTTTGGTCTTATCTCCGATTAGTTTCCTCAAGTTAAAAAACTCCATTATCTCCTTTCATTATTCGTACAAATTGATCTTTTTGTTGACCTGATTATCTCAATTGAACGATTGGTTGACTTCGTTATCTTCTTCTTTCTCTGTGCACTGTACAAAACTTGACTAGTGGTTTTTGAAGTTGTAAGCTTTACTTAGCAGAGGGTCCATCGCAGACCTCATATAGCTAGGAAAGTGATTTAAAAAAAAAAAACTGGGTTTTGCAATTCCTGATTTGAGATTTGAGATTGTTTAGTGTTTTGATTTGTTTTTCTCCTCATCATGCTTGTTCTCTATCTCATGGATTGTTCTTTCCTTTGGCAATTTCTGTTCTTTGTTATGACAGTTTTGCGGATGGAATTTGATATTCAGAGGTTCTTGCAGAACCCTGATCAGCAGCAGTTCGAGTTCCAGCATTTCCCAACATCGTACCTCCGTCTTGCCGCACATCGTGTTGCTAACCACTATGGACTAATCACATCGGTTCAAGATAACGGTGCGGATGGTAACGGGAGCAGAATTCTCGTGACGAAATCATCTGAGAGCAGAGTTCCTGCCCTTCGACTATCTGAAATCCCTGCTAAACAATCGGAAACTGGCAAGTTCGAGCACATGAAAGTTGCTATAAAGCCTCGACCTTGTAAAGGAACTGGAGCCGGTGAGCTTGAAAAGAAAGGTGGTCCTCTGAGAAGTGTCGAAGAGAGGAAAGAAGACTACGACAGGGCACGAGCACGCATATTCAACGGTATTGAGAGCCTTAGTTGTAATGATTTTCCATCTGAAACGAATCCTTGGAGGACGAATTGTGGTCCTAGCGGAGATGAAAACCAAGTCTTGAAGAATGGTGAAGTGGAGACAGACAAGAACCATCTCCTCAGGGAGACCATTCCAGCATCTCGTGTTGCAATTCTCAGAGACAGAGAGAAAGATCGGTATGACCCTGACTATGACCGCAGCTATGAAAGGTATGTAAAAACCCATTAGAATTGCTTGTGGGTAAACAAAGAATGTGTATTTAAAACATTGTGAGGGTTACAGGTACAACAGGAACCTCCCAGTGGATCAAAATGTCTTCATGGCACATTTCAACATTCAGAAAATGGGGAGTCCGTTCTATGATATGGGATTTAGTGGATATAGTCAAAACCCAGGTGCACCCGCTTCTCTGAACTTGGGACCACCACCACCACACAGTGTTATGAACCACTACATCACCACGGGTTTAAACCATCCTTCAAGGGACGCTGCAATGTATATGCAATGGCCAAATGCAGCAGCTGTGATGTATACTCATTCGTATGACCACTTCAGAAATGCACCTTTTCAGGTAAACAAGCTTTTTTCCCTTTGTTTACTTGTTTTGAATCGTGTAAATGTTGTTGGCCTTCCTCTAGAAATGTTCTTTTGTAGTAGAGCTTATTACTAATGAAGCAAAGTCGATTTTCGGACATCTTAATTGATACTTATTGATTAAGTACGTGTTTAAATAGCGAAATGTTTTTTTTGTCCTGCAGGCGCAGTTCTGTCCGCAACCCCTTAGCTTGGACTACATGCAGAAGCGGTAATTGCTTTTTCGTTATGGCTTAGGGATTTGTGTAATCCAAATTTTGGAGACCGTTGTGATGTCTGTCTATCGTAATACAGAACAAAAATCTCTTTTGACTAGTGTCATTGCCTTGTCTTTTTTTTTAGTACGTATTTACTAAGTTATGCTTCAGCATTTGGAATTATTACCTCATTTTCTCACTTTATTGCAAATCAGGAAAAATTAATTAAATTTTAAAGCTGGACGAAACAAGATAGTAAAAACACACGATTATTCTAGTGATTAAGAAAGATGACATCATAAAAACAACGAGTTATATCGTTTGTGTAATTGAAAAAATTTACACTAACAATACATTATTAAACCTGACGAAAAATGCAAATTACACAGATAGATAATCCACATGCCTTAAAACATTATTGATTCCAAGTTAAAGAATTCATCTCTCATTAGTTTCCCGCAGGGAAGAGCTTAAGAACCTTCCTGCCACCATCTCCACCATTACCATATTCTGAATCTTCATACCTCAGATTACGAACCACTTGGTTTTGCTGAGAAATCGCATGTTTCCCCAAATACGGATTCATCATTGGCGTCATCAAGTACTCCGAGTTCACACGAACAGGGCTCAGGAAATGCGCCGGAACCGGCGAGCTGGCGAAGAGACGATCGGTGGCGGAATCGGAGACGATGACGTGTCCTCCTGAGACTCCGTTACCGTTACCTCCCTGCATTCTCCTGAGGTAGAGACGGTATTTCTGGAGATGACTCGCTACGTTCTCTCTCGTCAACCCTTCCACGCTCATAAGCTGCATTATCGTTTTGGGAACCGCGTTTTTGATCCCTAAATGTCCAACCGCGTCCACGAACCGCTTGTGCAGCTGAGGCGTCCACACTAAACGCGGTCGTTTCAGCGTCCTCGCTGGCTCGTCCCCTCCTCCTCCTCCGATCGATCCCGAACCGAGATCCGTCGAATCGCCGCCGAAATCCGAATTCATCATCATCGGCGGGGGAGTTGTCGTCGGCGTAGGCGTAGGCGTGGCTACGGAGTGAAGCTTCTGGTGATAAACCGCTGATGTTTTCTTCGAGCCGAGATGATTATTGGGACTTCCGATTTGGAAAGCGAGGGCTAGATGAGGAGTGATTAGTGTTTGAGAGATAGGTATGAGCTCTTCAGGCGACGGGAGCTCCTCCTCCCATCTGACGAACCATTTCGGGCTGTCCTCTCTCATCGGAACGGTGTGGTTGCCTCGGTGACAGTGGCTGATTGTGACGGAAGAGAAAGAGAGAGAGGCTCGAGGTGGATCTTTGAAGAAGAAGAGAGAACAAAGTAGTTATAATTGTGAAGTTTTCTAAATATATACTATAAATGGAGAGTGATTGGCTGATTCTCTTTCTCTCGAATAATGTGTTAATGGAGTTATGGAACGGAATATATTGATCATTCTTTTTTATAAACAAAACAAATAAATAATACTTCTAAGAAGCAAAAAAGTTGAAAAATCAAAAGTAGGAGTAGTAAAAATAGTGTGAGCATATCTGTCATTGTCGTATATGGTTCGGTTCATGGCGTCCAAGTTGCCAGTTTTGTGTTCATGCGAAATGTTTTGCCTCATGTCCATTTTATTTATTTATTTATTTTATTTTTCGACCAAGTTGTGATTATTCTTATTTGTAAGAAATATTAGTAGTATTTAAAATCTGTAAGTAGCAGCATCTCTTCATTGTTAATTCCTGTAGAAAAAAAAAATAGATCGCATAACGGCATAAGAATGCGCCAATAGTTGAGCCGACATCATTATAATAAAAGTTATCACAGAAGTCTATGTATTAGATAAAAGAGGGCATAGAAGCTCACGATAGAAAGAAGAAAATCTTATTTATATTCAAATGATAATGTGTCCTTGATTAACTATCCGAATCTTTCGCTAAATTTTTATAAGAAGAATTATTAATGAAGGATATCGAGAAAAGAAACCATAAAATTTAATTCCTTAAAAATGTGATGGAAAAAGGAAAAAAAACACGAAAAAAGGAAGACGACAAAAACAGTTAAAGTTGATAATTGATGGATTGGTTTAACTTTTTGTTTTGTTCGGATCTGTCACTGTCTTATGTGTTTCGGAGTTATGGTCCAAAAGCCTCAGAAAGATTCTTTGGCTTTCCACGTGACGCGTGTCTACTTACGCGCTCACGCTGCGCGTGTGATTATAGGAAACAGAACCCTGTCGTACAATTGGTCTGTCGTACGCATGAGATTCCACGCGCAGACATGGATTAGGTTAGGCAACTTTTTAAATGATTATTAAATTATCTTCCATTTAGTGGGTTAACTGTCTGTCTGTAAACCATGCGTATGTACTAAACTTTTTCCATTTAATTATGAATCTATAAGAGAAATTTTTAATTTTCTTACTCTGATATGTTTTTACAAATTTGTATACAGCGTTACGAATTTGCTATTTTGTAAGTCTAAATATCACAACTATTATAAATTTTTAAACATATCAATACTATTATTTTAGGTATTTGATATTTAAAAAAAAATTGTACAAACCTTAAATTGAAAAGTTAATTATATTGGAATTAACTCTATAAATTAACTAATATACGGACTATAACAAAAAAGGTATGGGTTGATAAGGTGGGGCTTGTGCTGCAATATGCCCCTACATTATATTAAAATAAATCAAAGAACTTTGTAGGTATAAACTATGCATTAGAGTATAGTGTATTAGTGTGAATGATTAGTATTCCAATTTTAGGTTCGGCGTGTAATGTGAAAACAAGGATGCTAATGCTGATACCTTGAAATTTAATCTGAATTAGAAAGTTAAACTGAACTCATCTATGTAATTGATATGATTTTTGATATCTAATTATTATTCTTTCTTTTTGACATATAGATTTTTTTTTTGTTTAAGCATAACTGAAAGATTAAAAATCAAATCGAATTTAAAGATATATTTTACTAAAATGATTTCTTATTCAATTTAACTAAAAATATATGAAAGCTACTCGATTGTTTTGAATTTTTCTTTATTTTTAAAAACTAAAATTGTAGAAATGTGATTTAAATTACTGGGTTGATCAGCAGTGAAATAATGAAGCAGACGAATATTACAATTTCTTAATATTTGTGTGACATTAAAACATTTAAGGATATGAAAAAGATGAAGTATTAGTTAATTAAAATGATCTAGTGGCCAACCTTTCAGCACCATCAGTGGCGGAGCCAGCATTTTGGAAGGAGGGTCAATTGAACCGGGTGAATTTCTGTAAAAAAAAAATTTTACTTGTATTTTGAAATAAAAATTTATAAAATTTGCTAATTGATCTTTGTAATATTCTGAATATATCTGATTGACCCTAGTGAAATTTATGGCTATCTCCGCCACTGAGCACCATCGTGTATATTTTAGAAAATGAGACAATAAGGAATCTCCTCCGAAGTCACCAAGACAAGAAGTGAAACCAGACAAGAGTTGTCCCCTTGATTTCATTTGCACCCATTTATTTTTGGATTTTTAAAGCCGTACTTTGCTTAAGAGGCCAGGGAAGCACAAGAGAGATTTTTTGTGCAACATCCTTTACTAACAAATAATTGTAACCTTTTTTTTTTAGAGAAAAAGATAGCAGCTTACTACTACAACGTTTAAAAATTTTAAAAGCCTTGAGAGAAGGGAGAATGATTTAATGCGGGGAATCTTTTTTTCTCTTTTTTTTTATTGAGATGAAGAACAAGTTAAATTCATGAACCATGTGATGCCCATGTTTTATGACAAACCACCCATGACCCATATATTAGGTATCTCTTAGATCGATTGATACCTACCAACCATTATCAATCACATAAGATAAAAACACGATAAGGAAACCTATTGGTCTAGACGTCTAGTAATTACCATCATATGTAGTAATTCAATTTCCACAATATGTACAATATTTTGGTCTACAACGTAAATGCATGCATATGATTAAGAAAATAGTTGAATTGAGTTATGTTTGTCTATGGTTTGTCAAATAATTAATGGTTATATAGTTTGTGTAATAGAGAAGCCACACCGAAAAAAGTTCGGCGATATAATTTGTATTTTATATGCGTTTAGTATAAAGTTATGTTTATTGGTGAGTTGACTTTTAGCATCGTCAGTTCGGTTTGATAGAAACTAATTAACGAATTGTATGGAGAACTAAGATGTATGTACAACTGTCACCAGACTCACCAATTATTAGCTTTAAGGACTGCGTTTGAAAGACTAAGTTCATGTATATAAATTCTTCATTAATAACAACTGTTGCGTAAAGTATGCATTTTTGTTTGACATCTTCTAGATTCTGAATTGTTTGAATCTCAGCTGCATGCAAACAATTTACTCATGCGATTCATTTTTGAGATTCATTCCAATGAGATAATCTTGTTAAAAAAAACCTGTTCATTCATAGAATTAGTCATATGCATCGGAGACTCCAAAATATTACTATTAGACAACCATTATTTTTTCTTTACCCCATCGCGTTGTTTTGGAGTAGCATTCCAGATTCCATTTCCACCCAAAACATCACACCAGCATTCAAAAATTCCAACCAAACGATGTTCTACTGAAATCATGTGAGAGAGCTATATAACTGCATGGCCTCGGGCTTTCATTTCCTTTTTGTAATTGGGGCCCAATTTCGAAAGAAAGACATTCACGAGAGTATATTCAAGATCATGTTTTTCTTATTTTTGTCAACCATTTTATTGTTTTTCTTAATATTATATAGTCGTTGACAAAATATCGTTAAGTAGATTCTATTAATCTTATTAACGTACACTTATTAACTATAGTTGTTTTGTAATAGCTTCGTGTTGCACTTTGGTGAATCTCAATTAATAAAAGGTAGAAACATATCCATTAAAATACTTCAAAGTTCAAACAAACGATAAGTCGTTAAGTGCATGATACAATTTAATATTACGAACATACAAAGTGTTTCCAATTCCAAACTTTGCATGCAATCATCACATGCATGAATCATGATTCATGATCATCTATTTCACCCCAATTAATGAATTTTCACTCAAAAATATCACTCTGATGTACAATTGGTTCAATAAATTTGGAGAAGTGGACACAAGCGGGCCGGCATTGGGTAAAAGCTGGGCTCATAGTCAAAGAATATTGTCTATAATTCAACTACCTCTCAAATAATTTCATTTTCATTTAAGGTTTGCAGTTATTATTTATTTATTTATTTTTGTTCGTACGTTCATAATTTTTTTGGTATTAATGATCTCTTACATAGAAAATCTAGCACTAATGTAAGACGTTTGTGTTCATACGTTTTATAAGATTTTTTTTTTTAATATATCCAAACAATAGCAGCCGTTTCATATATTCTGCTTGTAGGTGAAAACGATTTAGTGCCCTTATTAATGCTAATTTCATTTCACTATAAAAAATTATAGAATAAAGTTGGGGAATATATATTTTGAATATACAGTTAGACCGCAGTCTTTCTTCATCCCCTACTAATTTTATTGGTTAATAATTGTTAGTGTTTCGTACTTTTGACCTGTCTTGTAATTTAATATAATTAAAAATAAATAAATATATATATACCAAACAAACTACCCAAAGAATTTCAGGAATTTAAAAATAATAAAAAAGGGTAAGAACACAGGTCAGCGAGTTGGACTCAGGCTTTAGGGAGAATCGTCAAAGAAAACGCGAAGACGAAAGAAATTGGTGGCTACAGAGAGAGCAAGTCTAGAAGAAGAAGAAGAAGAAGAGGAATAAGAAGCTGAAGATTGGGATTTTTCATCTTCTGTAATGGAAGGTTCGTGCTTTGTTCATATCTCTTTTTCAGATTTCTCTTTCTCCCCGTCTGAGAAAACCCTAGTTTTTTTTCCCGAATTCTCTCTCGTTTTGACATTAATTTGCTCTTCAATAGCTGGATTCCACACTAGTTTATTGATCCTTACTCGTCTTTCGTCTTCGAAGCAGCATTATCGTCTCGAGCCCTTAAATCTGATTTCGATAGTGATAGAAACTTATGAATTTGCATTTACATGAATTCAATTCACTTTGCGATACCGCCATTAACTTCATTTCGAAAGCTTGATTGTTCATTCTCACTCTCTGCTTTAGATTTTTTTTTCTCTCTTCGTCCGATCTGAGACTGAAGTACTTCTTCAATTACGCAAAGGAGATTGCAGATTCTTCAACGATTGATCAAGTTTCTAAATTCCTTCTCTCTACACAGGTAAATCCCCAGACCTGGAATCCATCGGGTCTGGTACAACAACGAAGCGATCAAGCGTTTCATCGGGAAGCCGTTCCCGTATCCGTCGAGATTTCCTCAGCAGATTCACCGATAGCGAACACTTCACGGAGAAGCTTGAAGACTGGTTTGCTCTAGTGTTGGAAAGCTCTGATCACAAAGGACCGGTCTTTGAGGTTCCTTTTGAGTTGGTTGAGCTACAAAAGTTCGACTACGCGTTGGAAGGGATCTCATTCCAGCAGCTAACTCGAATGCCAAACGCTGTTTACGCTTCAACGTCTACTGCTGTGGAGGCAAATGCATATCTAGCCATAGAGGATTTTCTACACGCCACGGTCAAGAGCTTGTGGGAGGCGTTTTGGAGCCAGGACGAGCCGGTTCCTTTCTCCGTCGGTTGTCTATACAGTCAGAACCTGAAGTTTTATCAGGCCGAGAAAGCTTTAGCTATCGGGAAGCTCGAAGGTCTTTCCGCAACAGGTGTTCTGCTGAAGAACCCTCGGCATCCACACGGGAAATGGGATCACATTCTCGAGCTTGCTCTTCTAAGGCCCGACGTGGGAAGCTTCGCGCTGGAGAGTGATCGTCCGCCTTCTTTGCCTGTATTAGGCGAGGCGCTTTTCTATGCTCTCCGCATACTCATCTCAAGAAGTGTGAGCCGTTTGGATTTCTCTCAGAGCTCAAACTGCGTCTTCATTCTTCTCGCTGATTCGCAGTATGGCGGCGTTGTGAAAGTCGAAGGGGACGTAAATAAACTGGATTTCGACTTGAACAACGTTTACGACTGCGCGGCGGACTGGATAATGAAGCATTCCAAGATCGCGGTGTCGCCGATCGACAGGATATGGAACAAGCTGGGAAATGCTAACTGGGGAGACATTGGTGCTTTGCAAGTAGTCTTTGCTACTTACCACAGTATAATGCAGTACTTTGGGCCACCGAGGCACTCCATTGAAGACTTAGCTGCTGACCATAGTTCACGCCTTCACTCAAGACGACAGGAGAGGCACTTGGGGGATGCTAGTCTCAGCGAAAATGGTATGTTTAGGTTCCAGCAGAGATCCATGTCTCCTGAGATTGTCGAGGTTCAGGAAGAGTCAACCAAAATTGAGCCTGAACCGTCGATGAAACTGGAAGTGGGGTCGGTTCTGTGGTTGGAGGATTCGAACTATGAAAAAGGCTATGAGATTAAGGAAGTATTGACTAATGGTACACTTCCCTATCATATCGCGTCACCAGTGGATGACGCAGGGAAGTCTGTGTTTCTGTATGTTGGTTCTCCTCCTTCACAGTTTGAGCCAGCTTGGGAAGACATGAACTTGTGGTATCAGGTACAGAGACAAACTAAGATATTGAGTATTATGAAACAGAGAGGACTCTCTAGCAAATACCTCCCACAGCTCCATGGGTCTGGTCGGATCATTCACCCAGGACAATGTCAAAAACCAAGCTCAGGTGGAAGGTGTGATCATCCTTGGTGCGGAACTCCTATCCTTGTGACCACTCCGGTTGGCGAGACAGTAGCTGATTTGGTAAATGAAGGCCGGTTTGGTCCAGAAGAAGCTATTCGATGTTGCCATGATTGCTTATCTGCACTTTCTTCCTCCTCTTCAGCTGGAATTCGCCACGGTGATATCCGCCCAGAAAACGTAGTTTATGTCACTTCTGGTGTAAGACATCCTTACTTTGTACTAATTGGTTGGGGTCACGCGGTGCTTGAGGACAGAGATCGGCCTGCAATGAATCTTCACTTCTCCTCGACTTACGCACTCCAGGAAGGGAAACTTTGTGCTGCCTCAGATGCAGAGAGCTTGATTTACATGCTTTATTTCTGTTCTGGAGACTTCCCTGATTTGGATTCAGTTGAAGGAGCTCTTCAATGGAGAGAAACCTCTTGGTCCAAAAGATTGATTCAGCAGAAGCTCGGTGATGTCTCCACCGTTTTAAAAGCGTTTTCCGACTACGTCGACAGTCTATGTGGGACACCATATCCTTTGGATTACGAGATTTGGTTGAGAAGATTGAAGAGGAATCTTTCAGAAGATCACGGGAAAGAAATTGAGACCTCAGGCTAAGCTCTTTGCTCAAGAAAATGGGGATTTTGTTCATCAATCTAGCCACCAAGTAAATGGAAGGTCATAATATAAAGATTTCGATTCCTTTTGAACATTCTTTCAGGTGCTCTCTGCTTAACCTGTCCCAGACTGGAAAGCTTCACGATGAGACGTATCCTTCGGTTTTTGCCAAGTCTGAAAAGCTTACGACCTTGTTCTGTTCTTGTACAGGATCTTTGGAATTGATTAGATTCTGTGGTTTCCCTTCGCTGTTAATGTTCTGTTCTTTTGTCTTCACTATTGTTATTCCCTTGAGATTGATTCTCTATTATTTTATTGTAATGAGTATTGTAAAGATGAGAGCTTTTGTTCCCATTTTGACTTGTGCTAAAGTTTTTACGAGATTTTCAGTTTCCTGTGTCTAAATCCAAACATTGATTCTATTTCGACTCTGTTGTACTATTTTCACGTATTCAGCTGTTTTCTCCTCCTACCCTTTTCTCTGATCCGAAAAGTTAACTCGTTGAAGACAAAAGTGTATGTATGGGCTTTAGAAATCCCTTAGAAATAAGAGAGTAGTTTACACGAAGTAATCAAAGCATATTTTACAGGCGCAAAGATTCCGCAGCAGATCTCTGTTGTGATCCATGGGTTTGTCCTATCTCGATCTCACATCAACGCTCGAGGAGTTTCTTGTAATAATCTCTGGTTCTTGAATCCCAGGCATGTAAAACGCCGTGTTGGTGCCTTCACTGAAACCTTTCCTCTTGACAGTTTCTTCAATTTGGTTGTTGTTGTCCAGTGCCTGGAGATGCAAACCGGTCTTGCTAGTTTTGCAATCGCCAATCTCCATCTCCATGTCATACTTATCTCCTCGGGGTCCAAAGGTTCTGTCTAGCTCAGATGCGATGGATCCAACCTCGGCATCGGGTTCCTCTGGAGCCCAGTCTCTGAACTTGATCATGGGAGGTGGGATCCTCGCAAAGAACAACTCATATAGGTTCTTGAAGAAACCTTTTGCGTAAGGGTTTTCTTTCTTGTCATATCGGTACCGGAAGTTCTCATAAGTTGTCTGCACAAACATATATAAACCAAAAAGAGTCAGTACATAACAAGGAAAATGCAAAAGCATAACACCGAAACAGAGAAGCAATAATCAGATTAAGAGTTTTTTTTTTTTGCCTGATTAGTGCAGATGAGATAGAGGTGGAAAACAGTAAGCCCACCGACAAACCAGACGGCGACGAAGCAGTAGAGGATGAGAGCAACAAATACGGAGTCGTCTGTGATGACCATTAACAATAACATCTTGCCGTGTACCTCAAGCATGCTGAACCACGAGAAGACGAAGACGTACAAGCAGAGGAGTGTTGATGTTGATATGAAACAGATGAAGTACGGATAGTTTCTCTGCAAACACCGCCGCTGTTAAATCACAGATCCTACTCAGTAGACTCAACAAAAACAAGGTTTTTGGAAGAAGACTTACTAAAGCGATGCATTGGCCAACCCATGGACAGTGGTGATCAAATCTCTGGACGCAGTTGTTGCAGATAGAGCAGTGAGAGGCGCGAGGAGGACGGTAAAGCAAACAAGTATCGCAGAACTTGACTTTGACAGTGTAGCCATTCACCATTATATCCTTGGTTCGAGGCAACTTTGTGGAACCGAGCTTGTTGTTTACGCACTCTGTGGATTGACTCATCACATCAAGCCCTTCTGCTTCTGGCGTTTCTTTGCTCCTTGGGATAATCCCGGGATCTCTAGACGATGTTAAGAAGAGAAATATGAAATCCTGCAAGGAGAGAGGGAGAGAGAAAGTAATTAAGAGATGCCTTCTTAAACTGCGGAAAGGGAGACATAGCTCTCACGAAGAAAGAAACAGTTTATTATTACCAAGAGTGTGAGCAAAAGTGCACCCATCAAAACAAGAGAGTGGAACAGATGATGGCGTTGCCCGATCAAAAAAGCCATACGGATGCAGAAAGTGAGCGAAGGACCTCCAATCATAGCTGTGGTTAGAAGAAGCGAAGACGCATCTGGACCAAATACTAGTCTCCCTCCGCAATAGAATTTCTATAACAATATATGAAACAAGAGACAGGACAAGTCACTTTAACACCAAACCAATGTAAGGAGACTGTCATAAAAATACTCACCAATCTAATGATACGTGGTTTGCAAGAAAACGAAAAAAAGAAAGAAAAGAAAGATAAGTCATACGTTATTGCCAGGCCAGATTTGGTAGACCCTCTTGGGTTTAGGAACATGAGAAAACATGGTGACGTCGTCGTCGGAAGGAGCACTATGGACATGACAGCTTTTCTTCCTCCCAAACACCATCTTCTTCTTCTTCTTTCGTTTTCTTTTTCCTCAAGCCTCAGACTCAACGACGAAACGCCCTAACCGTAATCTCCATTTTACTTCTTCCCGTGTCGTCGCTGTCGTCGCGGCCAGCGAATGAAACCGGAGATTTCAAATCGCTGCCGCCGGGCGTTTGGATTCTTTCCTCCTCTTCGCCAACTCTCTTTTTCTCTCTCTCTCTGTTTCGCTCTTTCTCTCTCCCCTGTCGCCTCCACTTTTCCTCTTTCTTTCTAATTAAGGTTTGTTTCAAAGAATTGATTCTCTCTCTTCCTCCTACAGATTTTCCCTCCGCCATTATTAGAAGCTCGTCAACACCAACATCCATTCTCTGGAACATCCTTAACATAGCAATCTCGGCCATCACAGCAATTTCAAACCTTTTTTCCCCTAATTTCTCGCAACCTTCCAATTACAAACCCCTGTTTTCTTACTTGCACTTTCGGTTTCTAACAGATTTCTTTTTTTACTTTGTATGTTAAATAATTTTGGCATAACAATGTTTTGTTGAACTGATTATAATTAACTATGTGTTTTCCAGTACCTTGTGCAGATTCGATTAAAATTTTAAAAAATTAATAACATTAATTATTTATAGATGAAAAAATCAAATTTTATAATTATTTGAAATCAAATTTTATAATTATTTGAAATCAAAATTAATATATTTGATAAACACAATTTTCATGAGATATATTATTTTTTTGGCCGCATATATTTAAAATATTATTTTCGAAAATATTAATAGGTTAAACAATCAATTAAAATTAATTAAAATAATAATTAGAATTGATTTTTTGTGATTTATGTTAGTTACTTTTTTTTAGTAAACTGAATATTTTTATGATATAAATTCGAATTTAGAAATTTAGTTTAAAAAAAATGAAAATCAATTAAAAAATAGATTATATTAATTTATTAATTTCAATAAAAATAAATATAATCTTTTTATATAAAGAACAAATAGTAATCAACCATTATATCTCTGAACCCCACATTTTAAATTGTTTACTAATTAATAATGTGTGTCACACACTATTAAGACATTGGGCCTCGGCCCGGTAGAATAATTATCATTCGGATTCTTCAGAAGTAAATCGGTTCTGTCTGGAGGAAGCGGCCATTAAAGCGCCACGGAGTCTCCTCTCCTTTCTCTAGAAAGAAATAGAGAGCGATTCTTCACTATTCCAGTTTTATTTTTTCAATGTTACCCACACGAGCGCAGATCTATGTACACCAATCTTTCCATATGTATATGCGTAGGCGCTTAGCTCTATATACAGAAGCATTCATTCCCTCGTATCAATTTCAGGTGTTTTGCGATCCTGATTTAGGTTTGATCCGTTGAAAATTTTCGCGGAAGATCCTCCATTTGGATTCATCATGGTTGATCATTACCAAGTTCTAGGGGTGACGAGAAACGCGACGAAGCAAGAGGTGAAAGATGCGTTTCGGAGATTGGCGGTGAAGTACCATCCGGACAAGCACGCCCAGTCGCCGGAGCACGTCCGGCAAAACGCGACCGTGCGGTTTAAGATCGTCTCGGAGGCGTACGAGGTCTTGAACGACGATCGGAAACGCGCGTCCTACAACGCCGTCAGCGATTCGGATTGCTTTCGCCGTACGGGCGGTTCGTATAGCAGCAATCCGTACGGAAACCGTGGCGGCGGAGCGTATGGTTATGGTTATGGTTACTCTGCGAGGAATCGTCAGGCCTCCGGTTTCAGCAGCGGCGTTGATTCGGCGTTTCGTTACTTGACCACGCGCGCGTTTCTCCTGAATCTGGCATTAGCTGGGTATGTGACAACTGTTAGCTTCATCTTTTTTGTTAGATTAGTACTTCCTTATTAGATGTAGTTAGAGTGTGATTAATTGAAAAAAATGGTTTTGTGTTGATTGGAGATTCATCTCTTCTTGGCATCTGACTTGATTCTTAATTGTGAGCGGCTTTTATCTGTTCAAAGTTGTATACTTTACTCAAATAGTCTATAATCTTTTCTTAACAGTGGTCTCTACTTTGCGTTTACTGCAATTGATACAAGTGGAGAAACACTATGGAAAATGCGTAACTCTGGGGTGAGTACCATATTTGTTATTGACCTGTTTTGATGATCTTGTTTCTATCCTGTCTTTGCTCGACATTCTACTGGGCTGTTCCTGTCTCATTCTGCACATACAGTCTTGTCGCCATAGGTGTAATTAGACTGAAACCGTCAAGAATTGTAACAACTAAGCCCTGATTGTAGTTTCGGAGTGTTGTAGTATCGCTTACTGAGAATAATATAGTAAGCCTATTTGCTCTTTGCAATATATGGAAACCATTAATGAGAACACATCTTCTCTCAGGAGTAGGGGTTATAAAAGGTTGTAGATGCAAACGTAGATATTCAAGCAATGATTAATGTTTCACATCATGAGAATAGAGGAAGATGTAGCTTGTTCGCGTGTGACAAACTCACTTTGCATATTTTCAGAAATCATTCGAAGAAGCGATGGAATCAATCGAGAAAACAAAGGCACACAAGGATGAAGGGTGAAAGAAAGGATTCAAAGGTAACTACCAAAGACTTTGACTTTTGACTTTTATGCTTCCTCCGTACGCAGAGGAGTGGATTTGTTTGCGTGGGTCTACTGATTTGCGTTGTGATCCAATTTGAAATTCAACTTTGGGCATTGCTCCCGAGTTTTATCAGATTTCGCTTTCTCTAAAAATGTATCTGCAGTGCAAAGGAGATATATGTATATTAGAGGACATCTATATGTTAGTGGATGCACTATTATATTATTCTACCAATTATTGAGCTCTCCAGATATATCAACCGATTATGAGAGTTTATAACTTTACGCAATTGTATTAGAGTGCACACAATGGCAAGCAAAGATGGGATATATTCTAATAAAACAAATAACTTTGTATCAGACTATCAGTAACGGAGACATTATTGTAACGTATTTGATTGTCTTATAGTATTAAGATGTTGACAAGATATTTACTCTGCTCCATTCAAGTATCTTGTGTTTATTATTTAGTTTTCTTTTTTCAACGGTGAGAAGACTGTACCTTATTTTCACGATTAAGTAGGTGTTATTGATTTTTGTATTTTGGTGGATTTATAAATTTTTTTTGAATTTAATAAATTTATTGATTTCAAAATCAGCAAAATAGAAAAAAATCAAATCCACTCAAATATCAAGGTTAGACCTTGTATTTGAGTCTTTGTATTTTAGTCATAAAAATCTTTCCAAATCCATTCAAATTCAATTAAAACTCAAATCTTTATAATATTTAGATTCTAAAATGATATAATTAATAACACTGTATTTCATTATAGATTTTAAAATCATATAACCAATAATATTGTATTTCAATATAAATTTTAAAATACAAGAAACACTGAATTTGGTTTGGATTTTCAAATCCATTAAAATACAAGAACCAATAACACCTTCAAATACTTTTGATCATGTTTTGTTTTTGAGTTTACTTTATAATCAAATTACCAACCAACCCCATCTTAAAAATTCTGTATTATCTTCATCCAAATCTAAATCACACTTTTGGCTCGACCTAAAGAAGCTTAATGAATGATCTGCTAAAATAATTTTAAACTCAGCTTAACAGAGATTTGTTCCATTACATCATCGATTTACCAAAACCTATGAACAAGCTAATTCATCAAGGGGATGCATAGAAAGAAAAAAAAAATCTAAAAAGAGTTAAAAAATTACATTTAAAATTAAAACGAATTACGTAACTTTCCACGATTCAAGCGTCGGAAAAGTTGGGTAAGTATCAAACTCCGCGGCTGAGCCACCTGCGTTCACCCTTGCATTAGACTTAGCAGACGGTAGTCTAACGGCGCCGTTACCGGAGTAGGCGTTTCCCACCGCTAAATTCTCCTGGTGATGATTAGACAAAAATGCCGACGTATCGAGCGTCGGAACCGCCGTGGAAGGAATACACGGTAGTCGATTAACGAGCCTGTGCGGCTCCGGCTTGACGATCGGAGCGTAAACCGCGCAGGAAGAATCGTCATCCATGTACCTGCCTCCGGTGACTTGCTGAACCATCTGCCGGAAATTCGACGGATCCGCCGTTATGAAAGTGGTCTGAGACTTTTTGGAGGCGCGAGAGCGGCGCTTCGTCGGTTTACCCTCGGAACCGGAGACAGGAAGGAGACAGTTACGTTTCCGTTTTGATCCGCCGCCGATGATTTCTGGATCAGATCCACCACCGGAGAGTGTGTGAGTTGAGGAAGGGTAAGAGACGGCGGCGGAATCGGAGAAAACGGAGGAGGCCGGAGAGAGAGTATGAAGGGGAAGTGGTGAGGGTGATGAGACAGTGGTGTGGAGAGCTCTGGCTAGCAAATTGCTATCGTGAGAGAAGGTATCAGGAAGCAACCATGAATCTACGTTGAACCCTTGCCGATACAACCAAGGATCGACGCTTGCTAATCCCTCCGAAGACACCATAATAACCGATGAGATTTTTCGGGAAATCGAAGAAGAAGAAGAAGATAGTCGCAGTGCAGAGGCAAGAGAGAGTTTCTAGAAGGAGAAGAAGTTAGAGAGAAAGATTGAGAAATGAAATGGGGCCGATGATAGATATTTAAATAAGGACGGCGTTTAGAGAGAGAGAGAAGCGATGAAACCGCGTTGAGCGGAGAGAGAGAGAGAAAATGACACGTGTCAGCTTGCTCGTACCCAACTTTGGTTTAGCTCGTTTTTAATTAAGCTCCGTTGTGTGTTCAGAGAAGGTGCAATTAAAGTGAATTAAATTGGGGAATAAACGAGTGGAAACAAAGTGAAGATTAAATGTGTGTATAGTGTGTGTAACAACAACAAGAGTGATAGTACAAGGTTAGAAGAATAAAATGGTGATTTACGAAAGTGTGTTTAGTGATCAATATATAATCAGAGTTGAAACTAAAATTATGTTTAGTGATCAATATATAATCATTTTTTATTAGTAAAATCAATCTGTGAAGTATCTTTTCTAACTTTGTTGTGTTTTTCAGATGCAAATTATTACGTCTTATCTATGGACCGTCCATTAATTCGATACAAAACAAACTTACGTCTCATCTATCTTTGTTTTCAACTAGTTTTCTGATTTTTTTACTTATTCGGACAACAACACATTGATGTCTCAAATTCTTATGGTTATGCTTTGTACATGTTTGCCATCATCATCCACTGTGCGGACCTAGCTTGCTAACTATATTTCTTCTATTAGCAATAAATATAACGTTTGTGATGGTTTTACATAAATTCTTTGAAAAATTAATGCTTTTGTATAGATGTAGCTTTTTAATATTCAGGTCTTTATACAATAATAACTTTTACAATAGAATCTATATTCATCCGGACCCTACGCGGCGAGACCATGCAAAATAAGCCAAAGCAAAATAAAAGAAAGAAGATCAATAAGAAGCAAGAGGTCAATTTCCAACGGCTGATTCATAATTAAATGTTTTTATTTTTTGCTTAGTGGGACCAAATCAACGACTAGAGAAAATCGATCCTTCTCAGCTTCGGTCTTTCTTTTGCACCCTTTGAGATCACTAATCTCTATCTATAAACTCTCTATAATTGTCGCATAATTCTGGCAAAGCACTGAAAGCACCTTATATTTTTTTTTAGGTGTCGGCTGAAAATATTGAATGAATCAGTATGTTCGAAGGAACAAGAAAAAAAAGAGAATCGAAAGCATGTTATTTCAAATAGTAACAAATATGGAATTAAAAGTAGGCTGAGCGATTAGAAATCCAATTATCCAAAAATAGTTTGACTTTATCCTCCATTAAATAATTATATTAAATTTAATTTCAGTTGAATGTACGGTGGATTCTGGTTGGAGCATTGACCTATATCTATCACAACTTGCTGTTGAATGGGATCATTCCGTTGATCACGTATACATCTGTGATGACAAGGGACTAAACTCCGTGAGTGATCAGTCTTTGTGACCATTATAGTTTGAATAATTCGTTATTTTATCTAAACTTAATTGTTTGCCGGCAGATACGAGAAACTACAACGCAACGTTTAAGAACAAAAACACAAGGATCAAGGTGTTACTTCGGATACTACGTCTTTAAGCAACCTTGGTTCGATTAGTTTATTAACTGATTTACTAAAGTCTAAACAGTTCACTGGTTAATAACAAAATAGTACATCTATAATAATTGTCATCAGACACAACTTTATCGTACGTGATAGATTCGTTTTGGATAAACAATCGGTGCCCCAAATTGATTTCCACTTTACATACAAACTGGAAAATCAGATATCATTTTCAACACTAAAAGATAAAAGTGTACATTTATAGGTGGTTATAAAAGGAAGAAGAGGAAACTGTATCATTATGCCCTTCTTCAATTCATAGTGTATATGTAAACTATGTATCATAGTATGATGCATGGGAATGACAACGGTAATGCCACGTCATTGCTTGAAAACGCGTTTTCACTGGTCACCATGTTTTTTTCTTCTGATCAGATCTGATCTCTTAGAGGTGTGTCATGTCCCCTGTCCCATCTTTTTCAATTATTTGCACATGTTTTCTTTCTTTTCTTCAGTAAACGGCCGATTACGTACTCACTATCTATTCCTTATCTGTATATAATTGTATTGACTTGGGTCAGTGTGTGTGTATGGCTTCAAAGATCGATTTATCAACTCGAATCTTTTATTTGGTTCAATCAATAACGAATGGTAAAACGTTTAACCCCGCTTTACCTATTTGTCCATAATTTTCCTGGAAAACATGACTAATGACTTGAGTTTTTAAATAAAATATTTTGTTTGTTGACTTTTATTTGCTTGAATAAAATATTATATATATATAATACGTTTCATTGGCAATCTTTTACAGTAACATAACTTCAGTTTTAAGTGATGGATTCAAAACTTGTATTGCTCTATCATAGATTTACTTGATAATCTTTTACTGTTGCTGTAGAAGATATATCCGTTATTTTCTATTATTTTAGAACTGTTGATCGCTTTATTTTTCTTAATTTTGTTACCATACCCTTTCGTGCCACTAAACGGATTCGCTAACTTAAAATTGACCCAGTAAAAATACTTATGCATATCTGCGCATCTAACACATTAAGAAAAATCCATGTGCGCGCATATATACCACTCAGCACACAATATCTAAGATAGTCAACTCATTATATGGATTACAGATGACTGCTTGTCCGGGTCGTCGTCTTCGTTTACAAGTACTGAAAATAGCATCTTTCCTACGGCTATCATTATTCTATTATTCCAAGTATTTTCTTACGCTTATTCCTACCAATAACCTATATCACGGTTTTCGTAGGAAACAATTTGTACTTAGAATATATAAGAGCATTTGCCCAAAAAAAAAAGAATATATAAGAGCATGCATATATGATACATTTCACGATACGGTCATGTGTATATATATACACACACTTGTAGTTTGATGCAGCATGTAAATTAGAATCATGATTATGTTCAATAACTATTATATTGATCTTTAAAAATAATAATACGTGACCCTATTTTCCAATTGGAATAGGGTTTTATATAGTTTGATAAAAATTTGAGTTTCTTTTGATAAACAACAAGTTATTGATTTTTTTTTTAAAAATATTCTGTTTGAAATTTGATTAGTTAAAAAGTTAATAGTTGTCCTTATCTTTTGTGTTTTCGGTGTTCATTTTCAAAGTTTTTTTTTTTTTTTGTCTTTTCTTTTAGAAACTATGGTTGGATATTTAAATACCCAACAAAAAATTAGTGTTATTCAATGGACCATTGACAATAGCGGATGAGTGTCTACTCTGATTAATAAGCTTTAGTGGTTCATTGTTTAATTACATATTTATCTGAATGTATTATAAGCGAATGTTAATAATTTGTTGGAAAATTCTACAATCTATATATTCTAAAAGACTTGGATTATTCAACAAGAGAGAAAAAAGAGTAAAACAAGGTCAACAGACGTCACCGGTGACATAAGCAAATTTAGAGGATGTAATGATGATGAGATGATGACCCGAGAGAGAGACCGAAGCATGTGAGGAAGCGGTCGTGTGTGTGTGTGTCCTTCTTTCTTTCACCGAAAGATTTTCTCTTTATTTTATTCCCAATTACACTGACACTCCTCTCCTGTCTCCTAAGTTTTTTCCATCTCGGCTCGGCTCGGCTTCCTTTTACTTTTATAAAAAGATACCTTCATTAATCATTTACATGTAGTAATAAAGATCACAAGATTAACAACTTGAATTTTGTTAGTCATTCTCAGGCTAGAATAGCCCTTATTCTTTTCAACTAATCACCAGTTGATAATACTATTTAAGCTTAGACTTCTTAACATATTTTTAGAGCACTGTGAAACTCTCAATTAGAGTATTTAATCAATATCTTATTAATAGATCTGGTAATGTAATTAAAATTTTTATTTATTAAAGTCTGAACCAATTAGGTAATAGTATTTGTTTAGAAGCGCTTCTAATTCTTTCTCATGTCTTACTTTTTCTTTTTATTATTTTTATTTTTCTATTAATAAAAAGTTTATGTTGGAAGCCATTGAAGATGATCTTATATATAATTATTGATTTGAGATATGGATTGTGTTCAATTATCACATGCTATCCACTACTCATTAACCTTCTAAATTATACTGATTTATAAAAAAATTGCATGAAAGAAAATATTGATGATTTCAATCAGAACCGTAGTTTTTCTGAAAACTAAAGAAATACAATTCATTCTTCTTAAAGAAAAAAGCAAGAGCTAATATAAAAAGGTTAGATGTTTGTCTTCATAAATTTTAGATTACTCCAGTGAATTGAATGATATAGAGCCATAGAGCCAAAGCAAATGCTCTGCTTCTTCTGAAATATATTTGTTCGGTTTATGTTTTCTCTGTGGTGGTGGGCTTACTTTTAAAATATACACGGGCCTTTGTAATATGGGCCTTAATGCTTATCGCGGAAATTAAGCTAGGGCTCAAATTCTCTCTGTGACTCGCAGTTTCTCGTCATGGTTTTGATTTGATGAATTTGATCGGTAATCGGAAGTGAAATACGTTGAAGCTCAGTCTAAGGAGCAAATCGAATCTGTTTCTGGGTTTCTCTAAATACTAAAGCTTTAGGAAGTTAAGGTTGAACTGAGTAATGGGAGAAGAGCTGCAAGAGCAGAACAGTTCTTCTGTTTATAACCAAGAATCTAGTTATGGCTATGGGAGCTCGCTTGCCTACGATCAATCTGAAGACGTTGAATCTGCTGCAAGGAATGCTGTTCTTCGCGAGCAAGTTCGTAAATCTTTTGTTTCCGTCTTTTAAGTTTCTAATTCTTATTCCCGGACGATTGATTCGATGAATGTTGAATTTTTTTTGGGTGTTGTGAAATTCCAGGAAATTGAAACGCAGAAGATCATACAAGGTCAAAGGTTCTGTCTTTCTCTTGGTTTGTCTTTTGTATCCATCTGTTATTTTGAATATCTTGCTGCTCTTATTCATGGTCGAATAGAGAACATCATCGCGTGTCTAATCTGATTTTTGTCTGAACGTTTTTGTGTTTAATTGGATAATTTTTTCTCTCTATTTCAGAGAGGCTGGGACTTCAGTAGCTGGAGACAATAACACTGACATTCTTCGGCATCGTGCTGACCCCAATGCTCTAAAGGTTTTTGATTCTGTGAATATATTGCTTTATTTTACACATGACGAACATGAAGTTTTGAATGGAAGCAGAACCCTAAAATGTTATACACATTTCGTTTCTAAAACAGGAACATTTGCTAAAGTTCACTGCAAATCATCGTGCGGAAACAGCAACAAAGCGTGGGGCTGTGAGTACGTGCGGAGAAGGTTAGTCATTGCTCTCACGACCTCAATTAGGAAAAATTCACTAAATCGGTCGAATCATTGAGTTTTTATTTATTCCTATCGTTGGTTTTAGGTAATGTGGATGTTGGGAATGGTTATGGTATACCGGGTGGAGTTGCGTACGCAGGCCAATCCGAGCTCAGTGGGAAGCCTGAACCTACGGGCGCTTCAAACAATTTGCCTGAGTATCTCAAACAAAAGTTAAAGGCCAGAGGAATTCTCAAAGATGTCTCAGGGGATGTTACATCCAACACACACGATGTAATTGAATCCATCTCTTCACTCTGTAATCTTTGGTGATGACTTGACCATTTTCTTATTGTTGTGATTCTTTTCTGTCCAGGCATCAGCGGTTAGTTGGAATAGACAGACAAGTTCACCTTTTCCGACAAATGCAAACACCTTACCGTTGGGATGGGTATGAATGAGATACAGTTAACGTCTCTTTCTTCTTCGGTTTTGTCATTGCTACATCAAACTTTTTTGTCTGCTTGATCGTTATGCCTGTGATATACTGTGGTCATACAAACAAAAAATAATCTTTAGATCTTAATGCTTAAGGATGAACACTTATAGTTCTGATGATGTGTTTATCAGCTGTTAAGCCATTTAAACTTGCTCCTGTTTCATTCAGGTAGATGTGAAAGATCCTGCTAGTGGTGCTACATATTACTATAACCAGCATACCGGAACATGCCAGTGGGAAAGGCCTCTTGAGCTGTCTTCCACCACTTTAAGTGCACCAACTCTGCCTCCTAAAGAAGAGTGGATTGAAACACTCGATGAAACATCTGGTATGTGATTCACACGTTTCGTTGTCTTTATGACTAGCACTTGCTGCATATGAATAGATTTCACCTTTTCTAGTTGTGGTTGAGAGAGGAAATTCTGAAGTTCTATGCTGGAATTGACTAGCGTCTTCTTATTTCTGTTACACTATACATGTAATGCTCGTTTAGTTTTGGTTGCAATCCTGAGCTCTGGACCTTTTGGTATCTAATGCACAGGTCATAAGTATTACTACAATACAAAGACACATGTATCGCAATGGGAACCTCCAGTTTCTTTACAGAAACCCGCTACCACAAACACTGTCACCCAAAATACTGCTAATGGGAAGGTGGTGCATCCTCCTTCTCAGCTGCCAAGATGCAGCGGATGTGGTGGCTGGGGAGTGGGCCTTGTCCAGAGCTGGGGTTATTGTGCCCACTGTACCAGGTCCGTCCACTGTATTGCTATACTTCTTTCAGTTAGATTGCTGCATAGAGACTGCTTTTATTGAATATTGTCAAAAACGTGTACCACTCTTACCGTGGCTCGCTTTCCTTGTTGAGTTTTGTGTTATTAGAAAGCTTTAAATAGCGTGCATCAAGACCTCAGACACAGACTTTGTTCACTTGCATATTTTTTTTGAGGCTTATGCTTCTTCTCTGCCTTTGGTTAAGGGGACTCATACTATATGGAATGCAGGGCTTTCAATCTCCCAGAGCAGCAGTACTTGGCAGCAAGTTTAAACTACTTCACTAATGCAGGAGATTCTGGCCAAAAGGATCCGACTCAGAGGTATGCAGTCTCTTAGAATTTTAGTACAAGAAAAAATAAAATCCTTCTGTAGTAGTGAACCAGGAGGCTCCCATGCATTTGGTTTACGTCTCACTTACTCTTTGTGGTTTACTCCTTACACACATGACGCAAAAATGGCAATGATTGAAACAGGTCAAGTTCAAAACCTCCGATTAAAAAGGGAGTAGGCAAAAAACGTGCTCACGCCGAGGAGGATGAGTTGGACCCAATGGACCCAAGCGCTTACTCAGATGCTCCACGGGGAGGCTGGTAATGTCCACAACACAACATTTTTAACAACTTCATGGAATCATACATAATATTGGGGTTTGATCTGATTCCTTGTCATATTGTAGGGTTGTTGGACTGAAAGGAGTACAACCGCGAGCCGCTGATACAACTGCCACAGTAATGCCGCTTGTTCTTTTAGTTCAAATAATCAGATATTATAATATACTTGATGGATAGTTGCAGCTTCTCACAAAACCTGGTCCCTAACGTAATGAGACTGAGTCGTGTTTCAGGGTCCTCTGTTTCAACAGAGACCGTATCCATCACCTGGAGCTGTTCTGAGGAGAAACGCTGAGGTGGCATCATCGCAGAAGAAGAAACCAGGCTCTCATTTCACCGAAATCACAAAGAGAGGCGATGGAAGTGATGGTCTTGGGGATGCAGATTGAGAGCTCCACTCCACACTGATCCTTTTTCTTCTGTTTTGTCTGTTTTTTTCTTCTCCATATACATAATAGATGTTCGCCTCTTGTGTAATGGTTAATGAAGACGAACCATGATTAATGTGGACTATAGCATCACGTTCCAGTGTATGTATATACATATAATCAGTGGCTTTTGATCGACGCTTTTGCAATCCATGTTAAGTAAAGATACACGAAGTCGTGGACTTGTGTGAGTGTGGACCCAATTTAACCACTCGATCATGTGGACCCAATTTAACCAGGTAATAAACACTCATTGTCCTTTATTTTCTTTATTAGAACGAAGAGAATGTGAATGGTGAAAACGAGAAGTGTGCGTCATTGATTTCGCCTTAAAAACATAAAAACAGACAGAACCAAAACTTCGGACACACATTTGTTGCATCAGATTTTGTTACAGGAAACGCAAAATTCTAACTCATCCCTCTTTTCACTCTTCTCTCTCTCTCCTCAGCAGAGAAATTCTGTATAAATTGAGCCAGACCATCTCTCTGATCGTTGACTCTAAGCTCCGATTCTCTGCTCTAATGGCGATGGCCGCACTAACAGCTTCTTCTTCTTCTTCTTCTTCTGCTATCGCTCTCATCAACAAACCTTTATTACCTAACCGCTCTTCCTTCTTCTCCTCTAACTCACACTCTCGTCTTCTCCGATTCTCTGCTTCTGTTCGTCCCCGTTTTCCATCTGCCGCCATACGCGCCGCTGCTCTCGAGTCGGTGCGTTCTGTTCTTCTCTTAATTTGTATTCCTTTTGATTTGGTTTACAATTTTGTAAGTTAGTTTCGTAAAATTGGCATTCAAAGGGGAGAGAGCTCAGTTATCTATCTTCAATGGTATATTTCAGGACAAAAACGAAACTCCAATCGTTGAAATTGAGGAAACACAAGTTTTCGCGTGTCCTGTTTGCTACGAGCCACTTATGAGGAAAGGACCTTCAGGTATCAACCTGTAAGTTCTCACCTTCCTCAGATTATAAAAGTTTGTTTCTTTTTCATTTCTCTCTGAAGCCTTTTTGTTGCAAAAATCTGCAGACAAGCAATCTACAGGTCAGGATTCAAGTGTGGACAGTGTAACAAGACATACTCTAGCAAAGATGAATACTTGGATCTAACTGTCACTGCTGATTTGGATGATTACAATGAAGTCAAACCCATTACAACCGAGCTCTTTCGGTATACTATACTTATATCTAATTCAAGATCATGTGACTGTTTTTGTTCTTGGCCATGTCATAAATTGTCTGAGGTTTTGTTTGTTTAGGAGTCCATTAGTATCATTTCTGTATGAAAGAGGCTGGCGACAAAACTTTAAGCGAAGCGGCTTTCCTGGTCCAGAGGAAGAGGTACCATTTTGTCGAACTCCTTTTTATCTGTCTGAATCTCATATTATATATGGTCTGATTAATAGTATAATTAACCTGAAATTCGCAGTTTAGAATGGCTGAGGAATACTTCAAAGAAGCAGAAGGTGGGGTTCTTGTGGATGTTAGTTGCGGAAGCGGTTTGTTCTCGAGGAAATTCGCAAAGTCTGGCAAATACTCTGGCGTGATTGCTCTCGACTATTCAGAAAACATGCTTCGTCAGTGCAACGAGTTCATCAAAAAGGACAACACTTTCGACAGATCCACTAACATAGCGGTTGTGAGAGCAGACGTCTCTCGCCTCCCTTTCCCATCGGCTTCCGTCGACGCAGTTCATGCTGGTGCTGCCCTCCATTGTTGGCCTTCTCCTACCAATGCTGTAAGTTTGTTCTTCATTCTTGATGATTGAAGTATTGCAGATTTTCACTCTGTTCTTTTTTTTTTTGTTCTGTCCTCAAGATTGCTGAGATATGTCGTGTTCTAAGAAGTGGAGGTGTTTTTGTTGGGACAACTTTTCTAAGATACAGTCCTTCGACTCCATGGATTATACGGCCTTTTCAATCGGTAAAGAGAATTTATAAAGACTCAAAATTGGTGATTATATGCATACGTTTTGTTCTGATAATTTTTTTGCATTATGCAGAGAATTCTGCAGAGCTACAATTACTTGATGCAGGATGAGATCAAGGATGTGTGTACATCATGTGGTCTCACAGATTATGAAGCTATTGTTCAGGATTCCTTTATTATGTTTACTGCTCGCAAGCCATAAAGAGAATTTGCTCTTTGCTACAATTTTATTCATGTAACTAAATTTTATCAAATTAAGCAACGAACTTCACCACATTTGCTAAAATGTGATCATAGCTTTGGAACAAATGTTTTATTGTGGAGGCGCGAGATATTCACCTTTAACTTGTAATGACTATTATTGTTGTTTTATGGCACTTATTAACAAGTAGCATCTTGTATTCTTGTGAGAGTTTTTTCTATCTTGTGTGTTTCATGTAATCATGTTCGTCTAGAGATCTCATTAAAAACCCTAAATCCTAGTTTTCTGAGATTAGTGTTTCTTCTACTTAAAATGGCTACCACTGAATAATTCACAACAAACAGTTGACCATGGGAGATTTCAACCGATTCATTTTGCATTGAAAATAACTATAAATAGATCACAATGAATATTTGTCCAAATGTTGGAATCACACTACATTTTATCTCTGTGACTAGTGAGTCTCTATAAACTTTTAAGGATATACCAACCAAACATCATTACCACAATAAAAAGATTAAAAGAATATATCATCTTTCATATGCATATTTCGATATTCCTATTCCAATCAAAGCTATCATCTTTCATATGCATATTTCGATATTCCTATTCCAATCAAAGTTGTTCCTTGCAGTCCAAACCACTTTAGAGTTGTAGTCTCATTGGATCTGAAAAAAAAAAACATGAGTTGATTGAGGCAAAGAATAGACAAAGCTAAGATTTGTGTTTGGTCTTTCTTATTTTAGCCACAACACTCCCACTTCCGAACAAGAAACTTATCGTACTTGGCATAATCATCAAAAGACCAAATGTCCAGATGGCATAATCAGCTTCTTGTGTAGACCAATACGCACTCTAACAAAACAAACCTCCATCCTACAAATAAAAATAATTCATCAATAATATAGTTTTAAAAGAGAAAAAAGTTCAAACGAACAATCAAACTTGTTTTCTTCATTCTTAGGATTCATCAGTTCGCACAATTTTTGGTCAAAGTTTACATTTTTTACATTGGTAATCAGTCTCATCTGCAGATGATAATATCATGCTAAATCTTTTATCTGAAAAAATCAAAAATTTACTGAAATAGAAAATAAACAAAGGTAATTTAGAAGATTTATGTTGGGTTTCTTACCATATAAACTAGGTTTTTCATTCCAGCCATTGATCTCCCAATTTGTAACAAATAAGTTATCATATCTGAAATACTAAGAACATATATAATCCTTCTTAGATCAGGTCTAGAGAGCAAATGTATCTTTCTAATATCATGGCCATTTTTGTTTTAATCGGAGGTGTAATTGATACAAAGTAATGTTTCTGACTAAGAATCATAGCTATATCAACCCTTATTCTTCAAAAAATCAAACACGCATGAATTTGTTACATTTTAAAATTAGAAACTGTTAAACAACCGTTACATATTACAACAAACGAAAGGGTAGCACCATGATCTAATATATAAAACAAATATTGCTAAAATTATTTCGGTTATCTGTTTTCGGGTACGTTAACAAACACATTGAAACTACTATAAAGAGAAAAAATGAAAAAATTATTATAAAGTCATATATTAATTGATAATGAAATTGGTAACATTTAAAGTCATATATTAATTGATAATGAAAACTGGTAACATTTACGTTCTACACACACTGAAGTTTTTTACTTTTAAAATTAAAAATTGATTTGATATCAATTTAAATTTAATAACAGCAAAGAAACAAACATGTGGTAAATAATCTTTTGCAATTGATGCGATGCTCTCTTAGAAGAAAACAGAACAAGATATGGCGGTGATCATTTAGTATAGATTCAAAACCATGAACACCTTCTATTGTTAAAAAAACTCACAAGTCACAACACAAGAGTAATGTTATCATCAGCACAATACTTGAAACTCAATCCCGTCATAAAGAAGGAAGAAATCAATAGAATGAGATGAATCCTGCTGGTCAGATCAGATCAAAACTGCATCTGTTCGAGGCCTTCTTGGTTGGAGTAGCCAAGCCTTAGACAGCTTCTGCGGTTTCATGCTTCTTGTCAGAATCTTTGTTTTTGCTACAACGGAAGTGGAAAAACTGAAGCAGAATCTGAAACAAAGAATTAAAAGGAAGTTCGAGCTCAGTGATAAAGAAAGGAATCAAAGATCATCGAGGTGATGAGAGATTGAGAGATAGAGAGAGAGATTGCATACAAGAAAATCAAGCACAACACATCCTCCTGCATCAACAAGCCATGGTAGATTCGGTGCAAGTTTTGACCATTCGACGCTGTTTACAAGTATGCTGCAACAAATACAACAAGTTAGCAAACGAAAAAAGGGTTTTAAATGATTCAGTATATAAAGCTTATCGATTCTTCTTCACCTAGCAACATAAGTCATATTGCCAACTAGAGCAAAGAAGAACATCAGTGGATTCAATCCCTGCAATTACAAAAGAAGAAGGTCAAATAATTTCATCAGATACAACACTGTTACTGTTTACTGTTTAGCCTTGCACCCTGTTCATTCTACTTGCTTACATCAACATGTCCTCTCCTCATCTGCAACCAAAAGATATATCTGTTATAAACGGTAAGATCGGTAATATAAGTATTCATCATAGAAGATTTAAAAAGACTTTTTACATTGAGACAAATTTGGGGAAGCCTTCCACCCACGTAAATGGCTGCCATTGCCCAACCCAACAACATTCCAATTTTGCTGCTTTCTCCACCGTGATTTTCTGCTAAGTTGCCGCTAGTTACCTGAAATTGAAGAAGAACTCACAGTTTACAATTTACATTTTGTTGTTTTATAGATTCAGAAAAGGGTAACCAGAAACTCTCATAAAAGAATGTGACAGACAAATGCACAAACCAATGTGCGACTTTAAGAGTACCTGCAAAAGCTTTCTTGCTGCTCGAACCACAAATACTCGATCTCTCTCTCCCAAAGCCATAGTTCTTGATTCACTTAGCAAATCAGAAAAGTTGAACATTCCAAGAAACAGGAATACCGAGACCTATACAAGAGAAATCAAAGGTAGTTCAGTAATGAAACCACTAAGAAGAGTTGAGAAATCAAAACCAGAACAAGGCTAACCACGCATAGCATTGATTTGGTGGAAGGAGGCATTGCGTCCTCGGGAAGCAAGGGCTCTTCAAGAGTTGGTTCACTTTGACCACGAGCCATTCTCTGAGCTAAGACAGATCCAGCTGGTGGTGTATGACTGCTCGACAGAGATCTTGCTGACCTGACAAGAATCAAAACGCCAAAAAAACTTCTAACGAATGTCTTGCGTATAAAAACATTTAACTTTCATAATGCTAGAGAATCTAAAATGGGCATCATTACGTGTAAAACAGTTCTCTTCCTGTAAAACTACTCCGATGACTCCCAGGAATCATACTGATAGGTGTGGTTTGACCTCCACCAGGAATAGCGTCAGAGCAGCTGTTCCTCCATATTCTCGGAATTTTCGCATCACTGCTTATGTTTGCTATACGTTCTGCATCAAGCTACCACACAAACATACATTACTCAAGCTGTTTTAGTATCTATCTACACATATATCAACAGCCTTGAAAACAAAGAACTAAATGCTGAATCAAATAGTATACCATCTGGTTTCTTCTGTTTTTCAACCGAGGGTAGATATGGCCGTAGTATATAGACTGAACATAGAGAATCGATGTAGTCACTGTATACAACTGCAAACAAAATCAAACATAATCAACCAAAAGAAACAAACAAACATTGTAAAAACACAGCTGATTCAGCTCTTTTGTAATTTACCAGTGCCATGTAGAACTGTGTAGGAAGCTGCAAAAGGATTTTGGGAGATTCAGAGTTAGGTAAAAGCTACTCAAAGGTAATAAACAACAAGATCAAGGAAAATAGGGTTCATGAAAGGATTCACTCACAGTGGCTGGTTCCATCAAGCATCCAAGAAGATTGAAGATATCCCTACACAACAAACCAATTCAAAAATTTGCCAATTCCCCATTGAAACTAAAGGTCAAATTCACTAGAGGAAGCAAAAAAGCACATGGCTTTTGTGCTGTTTGATCATCTTACCCAATCATCCATGTTGTTAAGAAGGCAATAGAGAGACCTTCAGTGGATTTCTCACTGAAGTTAGTCATAATCTGCGGTACCTCGGCGACACCCCAACTGATAACACTGATGATACCAAGGGATAACGACAATCCATGTCTCAAACTGCTATGGAGGAACATCTTCTTCACACCCAAAACACCAAACAAGTCCCTGAATGTGCAAAGGTAACGTCTTTACACTAAAGTGTTGTTCTTTTTGTTATGTTCAACTAGAAACAAGAGTTTGAAGAGAAGGAATCCTATATATATAATTCTTGCCAATAATGCATTTAATAGATATATTCAACCAAAAAAAGACCCCACAAACTGAATATTCGCCCAAAACCCAAATCAATCCCAGGATTCAGATACGATGAAATTGATTTTCTTCCTTTTTTAAAACCCACAAAAAAAAAATCGAGAAGCGTTACACTGAATCTGGTTTCGACATTCAAATGCCCACCATTTGTTTACATATCTTATTCGTAAGCTGAAGAATAAATAAGAGAAATTAGATTCATTCATTGACACATTGCATTTACGAGATACATATTTAACATTCATCAAACACACACATTAACGAAAGGCCTTACCTTTTTCAGAATAAGAGACGAAACCCGTGATTGGACGAGTTTTTTTTCAATTTTTTTCCTCTACCAAGAATTATCGGAGAGATTTTAAAAGAAGAGCATTTAAGCGTTTAGAGGTCTCCCTTCGCTGGTTCGTTTGTCTTTTTGTTTAGTATGGCGATATTATGTTCTTCTGGAAAGTACACATAAAATCACACCCCGAATTTTCTTCTTTAATTCCTAAATTACGAAAAACAATATACGAAAATTATTTACTTATTTTATTCAGTCTCTTCACATTATTGTAAACTGAGATAGTGGATTTGGTTTCGACTTTTATTCTGTTTGTTATTGGAAAGTGTTTTTTCTTTCTGTCACGTCGCCAAATTGGTCAATAAAAAATATATATATTTGGAAACCAATTTCAGAAAATCTTTTTCTTCACAAGATTTTAGTAGGATCTTCTGTTAAAGCTATTTTAGTACTGTTGTAATTTTCTGTGTGACTAACATTTAATTTTCTAGTTGCCTTTGAATTGTTTTTGTTGTTTTCCAATTTGATGACACAGAAAGTTACTAGCATAAAGATTCTCAATAAGAAATGAAATACATAAATAATTTACTAAAAAGTTCTCTAACCTATTTTGATCAGGCTCATTAATCCAAAAAACACACTAAATAAAAATTATTTAAACTAGTAAAGTTAGTCAATATTACAACAAAGGTAATAAAATTTTAGTGGAAACTTTTAGAAAAGAGAAAAAGTTGAGACACCTGTCGAGCGGCATGAAACTACCAATTGCCCACCCAGTAGGGCACTCTTCTTCATTCAGAAAGAACCACTGCCATTATTTGATTGGTTCAATAATTTTTAAACCGGGAAATCTAATCGATTTCAGATGAACCAAAGTCAAATACAACATAGTATACGGGCCTCAAATATTCATAAATGTGTGACATGACGATTTTTAGGCCCAATATTCTGCAATGCCATATTTCAATTAAATTTGTTATTTAACAAGTAAATGCGTGAATTCACACATTCGGCCAATCCGTGAGCTTTTCAATTCAAGCAGCGTTTGCAGATAGGGAAGAATCAATCTTTGAGAAGCAGCAGAAAATTACAAAACCCTAGACTTCGTAGGACTCTCTTCAATCAACATTTACACCGCAGATCCCGCCATGGTAACGAAGAGAAAGCTCGATTCTGAATCTAATGAGACGACAGAGCCGCCGCAGAAGCAGCAGCAATGTACGGAAAAGGATCAGGGAATCCGAAATGATAAAAATCAATGTGAGGGAGATGAAGAAATTGAACACGGCGGAGTAGAGGAAGTTAAAGGTGATGACAATGAAGGAGGTGAGAACAATACGGCGGGTGATCATACGGAGGCGGCTACGTCGTCCGGATCTGGGAATCAGGGGGATAAGGACGACGAAGAGCCAATCGAGGATCTTCTGGAGCCATTTTCGAAGGATCAGCTGTTAATTCTGCTCAAGGAAGCGGCGGAGAGCCATCGTGATGTTGCGGATCGAATCCGGATGGTGGCGGATGAGGATTCTGTTCATCGTAAGATCTTCGTGCACGGGCTAGGTTGGGACACTAAAGCCGACGCACTTATCGAAGCTTTTAAGCAGTACGGAGAGATCGAAGACTGCAAATGCGTGGTTAATAAGGTCTCCGGGCAATCCAAAGGATATGGCTTTATCCTCTTCAAGTCACGTTCCGGTGCTCGCAAGGCCCTCAAGCAGCCTCAGAAGAAGATCGGAAGCCGTATGACGGCGTGCCAGCTGGCGTCCATAGGGCCTGTTCAAGGAAACCCCGTCGCGGCGCCTGTTCAGCATTTCAACCCGGAGCACGTCCAGAGGAAGATCTATGTCAGCAACGTTAGCGCAGACCTCGATCCCCAGAAACTGCTGGCGTTTTTCTCAACATTCGGAGAGGTAGAAGAAGGTCCTTTGGGGCTTGATAAGGCTACTGGGAGACCGAAAGGCTTCGCTCTGTTTGTCTACAAATCCCCTGAAGGCGCCAAGAAGGCATTAGAGGAGCCACACAAGACCTTCGAAGGCCACGTCTTGCATTGCCACAAAGCAAACGACGGACCAAAACCTGTTAAGCAACAGCAACATCAACATCAACCTCAACATCACCATAACCCTAACAATCACAATTCACGCTACCAAAGGAACGACAACACTGGTTATGTCGCACCTGAAGGCCATGGACATTTCGTAGCTAGTAATATGCAAGCTACGCAGGGGTTAAACCCGGCCATTGGCCAGGCCATAACTGCGTTGCTGGCATCTCAGGGTACTGGATTGGGTGTAAACCAAGCATTTGGGCAGGCTTTGATGGGGACATTTGGGACAGCTAGCCAAGGAGCTGCAGCTGGAATGCCAAGTGGCTATGGTGCTCAAGCAAATATCACACCAGGGGTCTTTCCTGGGTACGGTTACCAAGCCGGTTTTCAGGGCGGTTATCAGACTCAGCAACCTGGTCAGGGCGGTGCGGGAAGAGGGCAGAATGGTCTAGGGTACGGTGGCCCTTACATGGGTCAATAGATGTAACCACTCAGGTATACATCTGAAGCTTCTTATCACTCGTTTTCATTGATGTTGTGACTCTGTGTCAGACTTTATCTGGAGCTCTATGAGTATATTGATTATGATTACGACCTTTGTATGCGTAAATAAATGGACTTGCTGTGTTTTGAGCCTTTTATGGTTAAATCCATTTTGTTAAAAGAATTTGCATTGCAAGATTATCGTTTTTATAAGTTAACTTTCCGCTGATGTGTATCAGCTAAGCTTTTGCGATTTTTTTTTGTCAAACTAAGGACTTTTTTTTTGTTTTTCTGAAGGGTGTTCAGTTTTGCACCAGTTTATATTGCGAAAGTCTTTTCTTATTTTCTTAATTCATTGTGCAGATATTCCAAAACAGTGTTTTTAAAATTGGCCTGGTGAATCTTCTGAAGTTATTAAGGAGCTGATGCAAATGGAAGTTGTTTAGTTTTGGATGAAATGTTACTCTTTCGTGTCTCCAAAGGCCATGACTCTTCAAACCTTTCAAGACGTTTTAGTTTTCCCCTACTTGTTTTCCGAACTCTTTTTAAGATATTCCAAATACACTGTGCTCTTACTTCACTATTATCTTCTCTGTTTTAATTTCTTATGAAGGATTTCATATGTAAAATTTAAAGAGTGTTTCTCATTATACTCAAATGCTTTCGCTCTGTTTAGATTCGTATTTTCCGTTTTTCTTTTAATCCGGCTCTAGTTTATATTGGTTTTCTCTATGTTTTGCTGTTTTTGGTGGATTTTTCACCCTGCATGGATTATTTTGATTTACTCATTTAAACTTGCGTAATCCATATTCCTGTCGCAGGAAGTTTTGACTGCAGGCTGAAAGGTAAACAGTGTTGACTAACACTCAACAAAGTATTACATGGTAAACCCCTACAATCCTCAATTCACTGAACAAAGTTTTCAATGCAGCATATCTCCTATATTTACTGACAGAATTAAAGGGATGAAGCTATAAATTAGTGGCTATATAACTATTAAGCAAAAGCTGTTTCCTTGTTAAGGTTCCTTAGGTATATGAATGAACAAAAAAAATTCAACTTGTTTTGGCTCTCTGCTAAATGTTAGAACTAGTCTTGCGGTGCATCTTTTTTGTTTTGGGCTTGTCTTAAGGCAGCGTTTTCTCGGGCGTCCTTTGAGTTATCGTAGCTCGAAAGCATACATTTTGAATCAGTGAGCACAGTAGGCAAGTAGGAATGAGTAGACTATTGGTGTGTTAATGTTGCATCATAGGAGCTGTGGAATGTCTTTCTTTAGACACAAATGCTTCCCTGTGGAATGCCTTTCTTTAGACACAAATGCTTCCGGGCTTTGAACTGCTGTTTTGTGTTATGGTCTGTTGAATCAAGTGCTCTATCAAGTAGCTAGTTGAGTAATGTCAAGTGAGATCATGATTAGTGCATAGTTTCTCTCTCTGGTTGTCCTTTAGGCCACTTGGTTAAATTTGGATTTTAAGCTAATGAAACTTATTCAACACTTGAGATTCTTATGAGACCTGTGTAGCCACAACAAGATACTTGTCTGTGTTGTTGTGTTCTTTCTGATCTTTGTGTTACATTTAAGGTGTAATAATATGTAGTTTGATATATGATGTGTATCTTTGGATGTCTTTGGTGGAGTAATAATATAAAAAAAAAAAAAAAGGAGAAGAGGGGAAGCAGAAACACGTGGGAGAACATCCCAAAGAGGAAGCACACGCGGATCTTCATGCAAACCCGATTCTCTTCACCCATGTGGTCCCTTCCTCCCTTTGTCCCCTCTTTCTCCTTTTACTCTTTTTTACCATACAACGAATCTTTTATGATCAAATAAATGTAATTTCATTTTTCTTTATTTATTTATACTTCCACACCAGCCTCACTTTCTCTAAAAAAGAAATTGCATTTTTTGGGGAAACTTGTGTTCGTGAGAAGACAGTCTTTAAGGAGAAAGTGATTTCTTAAAAAAAAAACAAAGATAAAGCAAAGTGATTATATAATAAGTACAATGACTTTAACACTTATTAGGTACGAATACAAGGTTTATTCTTAGGGAATAAACTTGATGTCACATAAGTACGGAAACTATTGCATTATTACTTTTGTGTAATCTAAAAATAAAGTAGCTTTTAATTGGAAATTTCCTTATGGCACAGTTTCGAGTTCCAGTGTGTAACAGTTTCTTATGTAAAAAGACTCTTTTTCTCTTTCTCTCTCTATTCTTTCTCTCCCGTGTGTAAACTAAACTAAGGAGAGAGAGACAGAGAGGGAAGAGAATGTGTGTTTGGTTTTGTAATCTCTCTTCTGCACCTACCAAAGGTTTGTCCGAGACTCACCATCTCCACACACAGAGAACTCAAGTTCCTTTTTTTCTTTCCTCCATCTGTTTTTTCTTAATCTCCAAATTCTGAAAATTGGAGCCACTTTAGCATCATTCTTAATTTTTTTGTTCCTTTCTTCTCAATCTCCTGCCTCCCCTCTCTCAATTTTTCTTCTAGTTTCGGATTTCTAAGTGTAGTTTTCTGCTTTTTGAGTCCTCGAATGCTGCATGCAATTCCCCTTGATTCTCCCAGACTGTTCTGCTCGCAGTTATGCCTTTGATTACTAAAATTCTCGACTTTTAGGTGTATAAGATCGACAAGGGTTTCTAATTAGCAAACCAGACAGACATTGATTTTGTCACTCTTTTAAAGGCTTTTACATGGGTTCTCTTAGAGGAAACGTTGAAGAGCCTATCTCTCAGTCACTACCTAGACAGAATTCTCTCTATAGCTTAAAGCTCCATGAGGTTCAAAACCATTTAGGAAGTTCCTCAAAACCGTTGGGAAGCATGAACCTCGATGAGCTTCTCAAGAGTGTCTGGTCTGCTGAAGCTAATCAGCCACCAGAAGCAACAGAGGAAGGGATTCCTCGTCAAGGATCCTTGACGCTGCCTCGAGATCTCAGCAAAAAGACAGTCGATGAGGTTTGGAGAGACATTCAACAGGACAAGATTGGAAGCAGTAGTAATCCTCGTGGTGAGAGGAGAGACAGTAATGATAATAAGCAGCCTACACTCGGTGAAATCACACTTGAGGACCTGTTGTTGAAAGCTGGTGTAGTGACTGAGACAATAGCGCCTCAGAATGTTGTTAACATAGCTTCGAATGGGCAATGGGTTCAGTATCATCAGCCTCAGCATCAACATCAAGGGTTTATGCCATATCCGGTTTGTGAGATGCAGGAAATGGTGTCTCCAACGCCTTTGATGATGGGTGGATTATCTGATTCACAACATGCGCATGGGAGGAAAAGATTGGCTTCATCAGGAGGAGAGATTGTGGAGAAGACTGTAGAGAGGAGGCAGAAGAGGATGATCAAGAACAGAGAATCTGCAGCACGTTCACGAGCTAGGAAACAGGTTAGATGAAGACAACAAAAGCAAACTTGTGTTTTTTTCAGTTTTTGTTAATTGCTTGGTTTGATAACCTTGAAACTTTTTTTGTGATGAGCAGGCTTATACTCATGAATTAGAGATCAAAGTTTCGAGCTTAGAAGAAGAAAACGAAAAACTTCGGAGGTTAAAGGTAACATAACTCATGATCTCCTCTTGTTTCCATATAATTTCGGTTAATGGTAATTTGATTCAGTTGTTTCTTTATTTGAATATTTGATATAATGGCAGGAGGTGGAGAAGATCCTCCCAAGTGAACCACCACCGGATCCTAAGTGGAAGCTCCGGCGAACAAGCTCTGCTTCTTTCTGATCTAAAAGACTCTTCTTCTTTCTTCTTCTTCTTCTTCTTCTTCTTCTTCTTACTAGAGTGAGACAGCTTTGTTCTTTGTATATTTCTAGACTTAAATTACATTTCGTTTTGCAGCTTTTTCAAACTTTTGAGTATAACTGTATAAGCACTACTACTATTTCAAGTATGATGAATTCAACAACATTACCTCCAAGAAATAAATGAATGAACATTATTGTGTGGTTCTTTGATTTACATTTTGGGCTTTTTCTCCAAATAAATTATTGGGCTGTTTCTCCAAATAAATTATTGGGCTGTTTCTCCAAATAAATATTGGGCTTTTTATTACGGCCCAATCAAATCGAGCTACAGAGAGAAAACACTCGCGCTCCTTCTTCGTTTTCTCTTTTCCGGTTAAATCTCCGGCATATCAATAAAGTGATACCGATCGGCTATTTCCAGGTTATGTTGTCTGATGCTATACCAAGCATCTTCCGTTGCTCGTTCTCTATCAGCAGATCCTAAGACCGCCATATCCATTTTGTGCTCAAAGGGGAACCTCCGAGAAGCCTTCCAGAGATTCCGACTCAACATTTTCTCAAACACCGATCTCTTCACACCTTTCATCCAATCATGCGTCACCAGACAATCTCTTCCCTCTGGAAAGCAGCTCCATTGCCTCCTCGTCGTCTCCGGATTCTCCTCCGAGAGGTTCATAAGCAACCACCTCATGAGCATGTACTCCAAGCTCGGAGATTTTCCTTCCGCTGTCGCCTTGTATGCTCTCATGCCCAAGAAGAATTTCATGTCATCTAACGTACTCATCAACGGGTATGTGCGTGCCGGTGATTTGGAAAGTGCACGGAAGGTGTTCGATGAAATGACTGATAGAAAGCTCACAACTTGGAATGCCATGATCGCTGGATTGATTCAGTCTGAGTACAACGAAGAGGGTTTGAGTTTGTTTAGAGAGATGCACGCATTGGGGTTTTCCCCCGACGAGTACACTCTGGGTAGTGTATTTAGCGGATCTGCTGGGTCGCGGTCGCTGCTCATAGGGCAGCAGATTCATGCCTACACGATCAAATACGGGCTTGAGATCGATTCAGTTGTTAGCAATTCGGTGGCTCATATGTATATGAGAACTGGGAAATTGCAAGATGGCCAAGATGTCATTAGATCGATGCCTGTGAGTAATCTGGTTGCTTGGAATACACTCATCGCAGGGTACGCTCAGAATGGATGTCCTGAAACCGTGCTTTATGAGTATAGGAAGATGAAAGTCTCGGGCTTTAGGCCGAATCAGATCACTTTTGTAACCGTGCTGAGTTCTTGTTCTGATTTAGCGGTTAGAGGTCAAGGCCAGCAGATTCACGCGGAAGCTATTAAGATTGGGGCTAGCTCTGTGGTAGCTGTGGTTAGTTCGTTGATCAGCATGTATTCGAAATGTGGGTGTCTTGAAGATGCAGCTAAAGCTTTTTCAGAACGTGAAGATGAAGATGAAGTGATGTGGAGCTCGATGATTTCGGCTTATGGGTTTCATGGACAAGGCGATGAGGCAATCAAGCTGTTTAACGCTATGGCAGAGAAAACCGAAATGGAGATAAACGAGGTCGCGTTTCTGAATCTGCTCTACGCGTGTAGCCATTCTGGTTTGAAAGACAAAGGGCTTGAGTTGTTTGAGATGATGGTGGAAAAATACGGGTTCAAGCCCGGTTTAAAGCACTACACTTGCGTGGTGGACTTGCTCGGTCGAGCAGGGAATTTGGATCAAGCCGAGGCAAAGATCAGGTCCATGCCAATAAAGCCAGACACCGTTATATGGAAAACGTTGTTATCTGCGTGTAACACACACAAAAACGCAGACATGGCAGAGAGAGCCTTTAAAGAAATCCTTGAGATTGACCCTAATGACTCTACTTGTTACGTCCTGCTTGCAAACGCTCACGCCTCGGCTAAGAGATGGGGAGATGTCTCGGAGGTGAGAAAATCAATGAGAGATAAGAATGTGAAGAAAGAACCGGGAATCAGCTGGTTTGAACACAAAGGTGAATTGCATCGGTTTAAGATGGGAGATCGTTCTCAGTCTAAATCGAAAGAGATCTATTCGTACCTTAAAGAACTGACTCTGGAGATGAAGCTGAAAGGATACAAGCCTGATACAGCTTCAGTGCTGCATGATATGGATGAAGAAGAGAAAGAATCAGACTTGGTGCAGCACAGCGAGAAGCTAGCGGTTGCATTTGCGCTCATGATATTACCTGAAGGTGTGCCCATTAGAATTATCAAGAACTTGCGGGTTTGCAGCGATTGCCATGTGGCTTTCAAGTATATATCGGTGATCAAGAACCGAGAGATCACGTTAAGAGACGGTAGTAGATTCCATCATTTCGTTAACGGGAAGTGTTCTTGCGCCGATTATTGGTAAACTGGGCATGATGTGATGAAAGTAGTTAAAAGTATGGAATGACTCTTTGCTTCACAATCCTTATTGAGTGTGTTTAAGCAATCGAATTGCGTTGAAAGCATTCAGCAACAACGGTGAATTTGCGGATGTTGGAGGTACTTCTCAGAACATATGAAAGTGAAGGAAGTTGAAAATAGCTACGAGTCTAGAGAATTGAGGAGAGACCTTGCAAGAGAAGACGACACCGTTTCATATGACAGCTCTTGTACCTCTGCCACTACAACTTCACTTGTCATGGCTCGGCCTTTGCAACGAGACAAGAGGTCACACCCAACTTAACGTTTGCAAGACTCAAATGCCTTTGTAAGTCCAAATTCAACCTTTTTTTTTATCTGGTCAAGTTCCTTAAAACTTAATTTTTTTTGCATTGTGTTAATTTTTGAAACAAATAATGGTTATCTTATGTTCAAAGAAAAAACAAATGGGTGAAAGTTCCTCGTAAATCAGAGAAAAGTCGTCATATTCAATTATTCATAAACTAAATTAGTGGAGTAGAAGCAAAATCTTTAAATTTAAGACAGATGTGCGATTGCTCCACTTGTGCCCATCGAAAGAAACGTTCACATAATTGTGATAATTAAGTTGTTATAAATAAAAGATTTCTTTGAGATTGTAGCATTTAATAAATACCAATTATTACAATCACGAAAAGATTATCGAATTGAACTACCCCACTCACCAACGAAAATTAAACAGAGCGACTCACTAAAAACGAAGGACCCATAGGGAAAAGCTGACGTGGCAGTCAACGATCCGCGTAGAGACCGCGTGAACGTGTGGTCCATCTCTTTTCTCTCGTCAACCTGGCGGTTTTATTTAAAACTCAAAAATCGAATGGCATCAACGTAATTAATGGCTTTAACTGAGGCTGTAACCGAGATTTCAGAATACAAATAATCAGGTACATAAAACGCTCCGAGAAGAACGGTCTATCACTCTCGCAAACGCTTTTCTTTTTTTTTCCTTTTTTGCTCTCATCATCAATCTCCTTCCTCCATTAGAGAGGAACCCAACCAGTTAGCAAATTTTAAGAAAGTAAATACAGCAAAAAAAAGAAAAGAAACTATGGCGGATCAGCTCACTGACGATCAGATCTCTGAGTTCAAGGAAGCCTTCAGCTTATTCGACAAGGATGGTGATGGTATGTTTCATCCCTTTTCCTCTCTCATTTCTGTGATCGTAGATGTTGGATCTTGATCAGATGGATACTTGTAGTTTTAATTGATTCTCGATTAGGTGGCTTTTTGATTTGTAGCGATGCCTTATGAATCTTCTATGTTTTCGTTATCTCTTAATCAAATTGAGTTTTCAGGATTTGACCGTATCTATTGAAATTAAGAAGGTAAAAACGCATTTGCAGATGTAAAAGATCTATGTGGTTCATCGTTTTTGTACCAGCGATTGCCGATTCTTCATCATGTTTTTAGCATTTCCTTAGTGATGAAAATTTTGCATTAGGTTCTGAATCGGCCATTTATGATATACTTGATTCCTGTTTCAGCTTTGTGTTTAAACCATTTCGATTGGATTGTTGTAACTGTAGGTTGCATTACCACGAAGGAGCTTGGCACCGTGATGCGTTCGCTCGGTCAAAACCCCACCGAAGCCGAGCTTCAGGACATGATCAACGAAGTGGACGCAGATGGTAACGGGACCATCGATTTCCCTGAGTTCTTGAACCTAATGGCTCGGAAAATGAAGGACACAGACTCGGAGGAAGAGCTCAAGGAAGCGTTCAGGGTCTTCGACAAGGACCAGAACGGTTTCATCTCGGCCGCTGAGTTGAGACACGTGATGACAAACCTCGGCGAGAAGCTGACTGATGAAGAAGTCGATGAGATGATTAAGGAAGCTGATGTTGATGGTGATGGTCAGATCAACTACGAGGAGTTCGTCAAGGTTATGATGGCCAAGTGAATTTGCTCAAACAACTATTTGGCTTCCCTTCTTTTACCTACCCTCCTATTATGTAATTCCCCAAAAAAAAAAAAAAAAAAGAATGTTCCTCGCTTGTTCTAAATTTCATTCATGGCTGGTCTTTTTTGGTGGTTAAAAGACAGGATTGTTATATCCCTTTTGTGTTTTTAACTTTCTTGTCTGAACGATTCATTTACTTATAATGGCTCATTTGTCTTCATAGGTTTTATCATCTCCACTTATATCATCTTCGAATTGTGGATTTACAATCAATAACCAAATCATCCTGGTAATATGTATGTTGTACAAATCTTCTAGCTCCGATTCGTAATCATGTACTAGTACCTTGCTGATCTGGTGATAGTATCACTCTGTATCATTGTTTTCTTGAATGCAAATCATATCCTAATTTGGATCATTCTCTTAGAAACTCTCGTCGCCTGTAAATGCAAGCAGATGCTTATCGGTTGCGGCTAGTGTTGGGAGCTTCACTCGTGTTGCCTCCGAGGAAGAGCTTGAAGGAGAAAAGAGTATAGCACTTGTCTCAGACATTCCATTGTTGAAATCAACCACTGTCTCTAAGCTGTATATATTTTCTCCAGCTGCATAACCACCCAACAGTTGGTAAGACCTGTCCGATTGATCCATCGTCACACACATATCTTCCGAACCTATCATCAGCCAATTTTGAGATTTTCTTGAGTGTCGTTATGTATTATAATATAACATTAGTTGCGAAACGATTTCCTAAAAATTCAAAACCTACAGGCAGCGAGTTCGAGCTGAGTTTGATAAACGAATTCTAAAACGGCAGAGACATCTCTCTCGAATTCGTGAAACGGTCCGTCTTCGAAATTCATCCTCCTTAGCTTGCATACTCCTTCTCCTAACTCCATCATCGCTCCTTTATGGTTCTACGTTATCGGAAAAAAAAAACTCGCAACTCAAATGTCGATGAATGAAAATAAGAGGAACGGAGATTTACGCTGTTGAAGAGATGGTGAAATCCGACGGCACACTGAAGAATTCCATGGAAAAGGGTTCGAGATGGCTCCTCTGCTCGGATCCAAAGAGCCTCGAGCGCGTCGTGGCTCCTGTAATAATCTCTCTGGTTGAAGAGCGCGACTGCTTCCTCAAAGCTCCAATCCTCTTCCTCCTCCTCGCCGTCAATACTTTCTTCATCTTCTCCGGCGTGATCGTTGTATCTGACGATCGATCGTCGACTGAAACTGACGCGTACGGAACCGGATTTCGTGGAGACTCGAATCGTTGAAGCAGAAACAGAGAGTGGAGACGAAGGAATCGAAAAGCCGAAGGAAGAATAGAGAGGAAGCCTACAAGAAGAAGGAAGCTGGAGATGTTTAGGAGGAAGAGCCATGTCAGAGTCAAATGTGGAAGGCTCTGTCAACTGCATGGTTCTGGTTTTCCCCCACTTTCCTCCTGCTTGCGCCATTTTTGTGGTCACCGTTTAGTATGAGTGTATAACTATGAAGTTGGGCTACATTGGGCCCTTGTTCTTTTAAGCCCATTATTTATGGCGTACCTTCTTTTCTGGTTTACATACCCTTCTCAGATAATCTCATTGGTATCATCTTTTTACGTACTCAAGATTTTTTTATACTAAGAAAAATCAATTATTTTTACCATTAACCTTTTTTACAGCTATTTTTACCATTAAATTTTATCGTATAAAGCTAAAAACAGACAAATATACAGAGACAAGAGAGAAAGAGAACATAAATTAGATACATTAATTCCTATATAGATTAATGAAATATGCACTACATATGAGAATTCTACTTTCCTTATTTTCGAAATTGATGTAGGGACTAAGTCATAAATAACATGAGTTTTCTTAGAGCACATTTTTTTTGTAAGAAAAGCATGATTTTAAATGTGTTATAAACAAATGGCATGTTATTTATTGATGGCATGCTTATCTTACATGATATCATCTATTCAAAACAGATGCAAAATCACATCCATCTATTTACGATTTTGCAATAACATGGATATCTGACAAATTAGCCTTTAATCATATGATGTAAATACAAAATAGAGATTGAAAAAAACAAATACGTAGAAATGCGGCTGATGGATCATAGAATCATTTGGAATGATGATGGTATTGGTGCCAAAACAATGACCTAATTAAGGACCCTTCCCAAAATTTCCAAGCTCAATAGCAACTTTTTCCCCCACCGATTAAAAAGAAACACTATTAAAAAAAAATCCCGTTAAAACACTTTTACTTATTAACATCTAATAATATAAAATATTTAATCTACACTATCTACTCTCTCATTTTACGTATATATATTCCATCTTTTAGGACAGAACCCACCGAAAGCTCCACAAACCCATTAAAAACAAAAGAAGGCGGCGCAATAGAAGAAAATATGCAACCAGAGAGCTCAGATCAGATGTTGTATTCGTTCCTCGCCGGAAACGAAATCTCCGGCGGAGGATTCTGCGTCTCCGGTGACTACATGTCGACTATGCAGAGCTTATGCGGGTCATCGTCGTCCACGTCATCTTATTACCCTCTAGCGATCTCCGGAATCGGAGAAACAATTGCTCAAGACAGAGCTATTGCTGCTTTGAAGAATCACAAAGAAGCTGAACGAAGAAGAAGAGAGAGAATCAATTCTCACCTCAACAAGCTCCGTAACGTACTCTCTTGTAATTCCAAGGTATTATCATTATTAAAACTGTTTCATATGGCGTATATATCCCCATACATATGAAGATACATATATATACGTACATATATCATAATACATATATTATATACTATATGTTATCAATTTTAAGAGAAATATTTTTAATGGGTATATGTACTAGGGTTTTGCATCTTCTCAGACACAAAGTTTACATCATTAGTTTTTTCTTATGTCGTCCATTCGATTTGGTGTTAGCTCATTAATACTATTTTTTTTCATGATATGTTTGTGTAATTATAATTCTTACTAACACACATGTTTTCAATAAAGATAATTCATAGCTCTCATTATATAGATTTACAAAGATCGGTATGTTCATTGATTTGTGAATGTATTTATAGTGATTATGAATGTATAATTAAAACTAACAAGTAGTGAGAAGTCTAGAAGATGAAGAAGAAAAGAAAAGCTTCATGGCCTTTTTGTGAATCTTATTGGGATAGTATATCACTTTTTCGGAAAGTTCTCAAGCTTTTTTCAGTTGATTTGATATTAAATGAACATCAAATTTCAACTTCTTACTCCAAAACTTAAAAAAAAAGTTTTCTGAAGATTTCAACTGTTAATATGTAATTCATGTTTCTATTTTAGACTGATAAAGCCACACTGCTCGCCAAAGTGGTTCAACGAGTCAAGGAACTTAAACAACAAACCCTAGAGATCTCCGACTCCGACCAAACCCTTTTACCCTCAGAGACCGACGAGATTAGCGTTCTACACTATGGGGACTATTCAAACGACGGTCATATAATCTTCAAAGCATCTTTATGTTGTGACGACAGATCAGATCTCTTGCCTGACCTCATGGAGATACTTAAGTCTCTTCACATGAAGACTCTTCGAGCTGAGATGGTAACTCTTGGTGGCCGGACAAGAAGCGTTCTTGTTGTAGCTGCAGACAAAGAGATGCACGGCGTCGATTCTGTTCATTTCTTACAGAACGCTCTCAAGTCGTTGCTCGAGCGATCAAGCAAGTCGTTGATGGAACGTAGTTCTGGTGGTGGAGGAGGAGAACGGTCAAAACGGCGTCGTGCGCTGGATCACATCATAATGGTGTGAGATGATGAGATTTGAGTACACTAAAGAGTCTTTAATTGATTAATATATAGGGTATGATCATAATTAACTTGGTTATAATTGCCAATACCTTTTGTTTTTATTTTTTCCTACTTTATATGTTCTATGATTCTAGTTATAAGTCGTGGGAGTGTAAGCAAATGTTGTAAGTAGGTTTGGTGTGTTCTTTTTCTTTTCTTTTTCAAGAAAAAAGAAAAAGAAAATATGTATAAAGAAATATATTTCGTATTATTTTCTCTATCTTATACTGTTTTTCGGCTGTTGGTGTGAGGACTAGGGTTTTGAGAATGAGGGAATATTTGTCGATGTAGAAGAATCTAAGTAACAGATGTGATTGGTGAAGTCCAAAAGAGACTAAGCTTCGATACATATTATGTGAATAGAAGAAGTCTATGTTTGTATGCTGTGAGTTTCAAAGTGACCCTTATGTCACCTTTGTCCCCATGAATCCAATCTCTCCTCTTTCTTTCGTTGTTCATGTCTTTCTAAATGTGTACATTTGACCACATTATTCAGACCGAAGAATATAAGCAGGGCCTCGTTTTCTTTCGTGTACATATTGATCAAATATAATAGTACGACTACTTATTTAAATATATCCATATGATTGTGACGAACATGTTTTTGCTTTTAGTTGAGATTGATAAAGTATTAGCGAAATACTTAGTCTACGATTGTTTTGATCTTATGGAAAAAGCATGCATGTATGCATAAACAAAATTTATATACTTAAACCTATTCGAATTGAAAAACCTAACATTGTCCACGTACGTATTTACTGTACTAGTGTATATTAAAGTAGGAGTGTATATATATATCTGTTGCCTCCAGGAACATAAATTAACTAACAGAATAGTCGTATTGTTTATTAGTGATTATTAACATTAAGAAATTGTTTTACTAGACATAGATATGAGTGAATGTTAGTTATGGTTTTGGATGAACAACCTCGATGAAATATATACACGCCGATAATGGGTGAACGTATGGATCCGATCACTGTGGAAAATGAGATGTATATGAATGAAATAACTTAGTAATAAAAGTAATAAGTGAAATGGAATATGAAGAAGAAGGATGAGAATGTGGGATTAAAGGAAGAGGAAGCGTGAGAAAAGGAGACTGACAAAAGGAAGGAAAATTGATGGGCCATTGGCTCTATGAGACAAAAAGGACCGACTCTTCTCATCACTCTCCCTTTTTTCCTTTCTCTCTTTTTTAATAATTCGTTTCTCTATTTTTTTTGGAGAATTCAATAAAATAATATTGAAGAAAACTAAGAGAAGAAGAAGAGAAAAAAAAGGTGGAGAAAGTTTGTCCATGGAGCGTGATGGTTTTGGGGCAGCTGGTGTCCCCTCTATACTCAACCTCTCGACCAAAAAGTATATTTTATAGAAATCTTTATAGCTTTCGCACTATTTATTATTATTAAAGTTATACTTGTATTCAACTAAAAAACAATTAATAGAAAAACTTGAAGTTTTAAAAATTCCTTTTGAAATTTATGGGTATTGTGACAAAAGCAATCATTAACCTCACACGTTAGTGTCTCATCGTGTGAACATGTGAGTCCCCCTTTCTTATCTCACCACACAATTTTGACCATCCTATTTCCTTTTTGAATATTATTACTATTGTTTCTTTGTGTTTACTTTAATTTATTTACATTTCACAAATAAGCAAATTATACTATATGTCAAATGTGCTTATGTTTTCATGCGTTCTTGTGTCTTTCTTGGTCAAGTGTTCTTGTTTATCGACTCAGAAAAATATGGGAACCTTTTCACTTACTTCGGGGTTCTACCGGAAATTTAAATTTAAAGTACTGAAACATACTATTGTATCCGTTTTAATATATAAATAAGTTTTCTTTTGACACAAAACTACTTCTACATAATCGAAGTATATAAACTATTGATTTCGATTTTTTCTACAAATGTTTTGTTGTTCTATTGTCATATATAATCAACTTAGAACTTTTTAATTGACCTATACAAACTTACAAACTATGAACATATAGAACATTTCGATATTATCTAAAGATTATTTAAATGGACTGGTTATGAAAGATCGCAATGTTTAAAAATATATTTGTATTGTACCCCCCATATGAGCCTCGTTTATCTATGACTGACCACTTTATCTAGAATACACAATATGTTTTTATGTTTCTCCAAAACTTTTGATAATCTAAAAGAATTAAATCTAGTATATATGTAATGCAATCGTTCTTCTGAATATAGTTTTAGGGTTTAATCCAAGACTTACGACTTAAATACTTAACTTTTCTCAGCTTTCTCTGACTTTGGTATGGGTCACTCTTAATCTTTTTAAATAAAATAACAGCATGTACATAGATGAAATGATCTGATCAAACTGTTTCTCTTTTCAAATTTCAATGTCAAACTCTTAATGAATTATTTAAACATCTAATAAAAACAAAAACAAAAAGGAAACAGGAATGGAATAGAGGATCTAAGCCCATCTAAAGAGACAGAAGAGGGGTCCAACTTGAGATTGGAACCAAATCAGTTTAGGTTTTCAGGGAAAGGCCCAAATTAGATTTGAGTAGAGCAGTCCATAGTGACAATGACTCCGACATGACAACACTACGACACTTCGGTTACAAGACCACGTCTCTACTCTAACCCTATGCCGTACGTCAAGGGCACCAACTCTTATTCTATATCAGAAATAATTTATTCATTTGATAAGGTTTCTTACAAAAGTCCAGATAATTCACGGGAACATCAGTTTTGAATCGAAGTACTGGACCATATACTGAATCGAGACGTAGGCCCTTTTGTAATAATTTGTACTTTTGTACTCCTAAACTGAGCTTTAATTTGTAGATGCAACCTAAAAACTGAGTAAATACATGAAAATACGTACATGTGGCTATTGTGTAATTCTGTGAAAAAGAAAAAGAAGAATACACTTAAGAAAAGGAAGTGAACAATGTGGAGGACGACTGCAAAAAATGAATTATTTTTTCCCGTTATACGTCACACACGTACACTTCGTTTTGGCCAAGACGTTGGTATTTACGTTGCGAAATTAAACTTAGAAAGAAAAATCATACTCCGGAGGATACAACATATTGCGTGTATTACATGTTTATTGTAATAGACTTCAGGAAGCTTAATACTTCTGATAGCTAGGTTATAGTAATACAACATAGTTTTTTTCTTACGAATATTAGAGAAATCTTGAACAACTGTTCGTGTCCTTTGTGTTCGGGCTCAACTCTAATTTTAGAACTTGAGAAAACAAAGCCTTTTTAGAATTGCCATATAGAGGGGGGAAATTAGAAATAGAAAGAGCTGCCCAAAGAAAATGAAATGGATGAGAATATAAATAATCTTTCTTTTTTTCAGTTTTAGTTTTACCTCATTATCTTGTTACAATTTAGAGTTTAGAGTTTTGCTGCCAAAATCTCTTTCAATCGGTTATGTTCAGAAAATATCATAACCAAAAAAGCCCACCGGCCAACCGACTATGGTTGGTAACTGATAAGGCTTTCTTTAATTTCTATTTTCTTTGGGCTAATCTCTTCTCACCTCAAATATTTTTCTCTGTTCATCTGTTTAGTTTACAAATTACACGTACAAATTCTTGAAATCATCTACAGAAATAATTGATTTGGCTCTTCTACATATGGTTTCAATTCAAGAAAAAAGAAAAAAAACTGTTGTTGACTTTTATTCTTTCTACCTGGTTTGAAAAAGATAATCAATACAACAATAATCCATAAGTCTCTCCTGGTGAAGACACTTAAGCTTTTTCAAGCTTTCTCACTATGACATCTCAGCAAAAAAATTCACCAATCAAATTAAAACATTAATACACATCATCCATTTCATTTATCACCTATTTCATTTATAAAAGCCCAAATGATAAAACATACACACCTATCTTGTAAAAATATATAGTGATTACAATTGCCCCACAAAAATGTATTATGTCGACCATATTTATTTGCACTCACTTTTGCGGAAAATTAGAATTTGACTATTTTGGCGAGAAATGCAATTTCTCAGTTTGATGGAGAAAAAAAAAATTCTCGATTTTGACGGGAATAAGCAATTTCTTGGTTTAGATTTCTTTGTTTAGATGAGAAATACAAATTTTCAGTTTTTAACGAATAATGTGATTTTTTGTTTTTGCGGGAAAATGTAATTTCTTAGTTTTCACGGGAAAACACAATTTCTCGGGAGATAATACAATTTTATGTTTTCGCGGGAAATTGTAGCTTGTTTGTTTTGGTAGGAAAGCGTGATTCTTGATTTGACGAGAAAATAATTTTTTGGTTAGAAAATTCTCAGTTTTTAAAGGAAAATAAAATTTTCTGGTTTTAACGGGAAAATAATTTTTTTTGGTTTTTGCACGAAGATGAATTTTTTTGATTTTGGTGAAAAACATGATTTTTTGGTTTTTGTGAGAAAACATAGGTTCTCGTGGAAAAATGAAATTTTAGGTTTTAGGTTTGACGAGAAAATGATTTTTTTTTCGGCGGGAATATGCACTTTCTCAGTTTCATGGGAAAATGAAGTTTTTTTTTTTGTTTTGATGGGAAATACGATTTCTCGGTTTTTGTAAGAAGATAAAATTTCTCTGTGCTAAATTTCTAAGTTAAAGTATGTCTATAGTATCCGAAAATTTAATTATTTAACTTCAACTAAAATGATATTTCAACAGTTCAAACTGAGTTTTCAATTTAGTTATAAAACAATAACAATGGTTTTGATATGAATGTTATTGATTATAGTTTGATAGTTTTAGAAACATATGTTTATAATAAATATTTAATAAATAAATAAATATTATAATTTAAAATAATTAGATTAATTAAGAAATCTTTTTTAAATGGTATTTTGCTTTATATAATTACAAAGGAGGATCAAGTGATAATTTATTGGAGAAAATAGATTACATTTGCCATTAGCATGAAGGTACTAAAAATATATTGCTTTATTCTTACATATACATATATAATTAGTTAGCTAAATAAATTTAATAGCAAATAATAATTTCGAAAAATAAAAAAATTAAAGTTATTAATCAAATTGAAAACACATAAATACATAACTTAAGCTAATAAAAAAATATAATATTCATTTATATTATAAAAATAATTTTATTATATTAAAAATATATTCAAAATGTAGAAAAATATTCTGCAGCACAGCACGGATAATTACCTAGTAAAAACCAATATCTAAATCCGAATTGTTTGTTTGATGAATTTTGTGCATTAATGATTTATGTATATAAAAAAAAGCTGACAACAGAGCCCACTGGCTGAATTTTACAAATACTGGAGTCACCCATTTCAAAAGAGAATCAATCAAATCATTTGCCTTCCAACTACGGAAATTGAGTTTGATACTCATTTGTAACACGTGAGATAGTCACTGTCTCACTGTCACGCATTACACAAAAGTTTATCTATGAAATAAACGAAAAATGACGATTGATTGCATTGGATGTGTTTAGTCCATGAAATGATTAATACTAATATTATTTGGTAGTTCCATTGTAAGAAAAATAATCAAAATATTACTCTATAGATTTTTTATGCTATGTAGACTCTAATCTATTTACCCATTAATGAACAGAACAACAAATAGAGTCTAGACTCTGCTCATTACACCCGGTCATGAGAGTTAAAGACTTAAAGCCAAAAGAAAACAATGATACTCGGCTGATTGATTATGCCAACGACAAGAATTATTTTTTACGATAAGAATTTCATAGCTATATATTAAATCATATCTGCCTACACTGTACTGCCTAGTACCAAACCCAAATTATTTGTTTATTCACCTGTTCGTTACTTCATTTGGGCTTTGACGTGCAAGTAAATTTATAGATGTTGTTTTCGAAGTTATGCGTAGGCAGACCAAAATTCGAAATGAGATTTGGGCAGAAACAGAGAACCAAAAACTCTATAAATAATAATCAATTATGACTCATTTGGGTCATATTTAAAATGGAAAGAAGTTTACATTATTAAGATAAATAAAATATAACTATTAGTAGTATATATACTATGTAAATATTAATATTATAACATCGAAAAACATATGTAAAATTAGATATGTGGACAGTGAAATCCACCCATTATTGGGTGTAAAGTTCATAACTACTGGCTAAAACCTATACTGAAACTAATTAGGCCTTTCTTTGGGTAGCTTTCTTTTATCAAGTGCCAACTTCGAGGTTATATATGATCTTTTTTATATATTTTTGGCAAGATTCAAGGACTCTTTTGGATCCTTTGATTGATATTTTTAGCATTACAAAATTGGGCAGTGCAAAGATAAGGTTGCTGAGAGTCTTGATAGGATTTTGCAATGTATTGTCAACATACTTTTTATAGACTCGTCTATTCTCCCGAGTCTATCATCTAAATTTTTGTTTTCTCTCTCTCAATAAGTTTATTGATGGGAAAATGTCAATGCAGTATTTCTAAAACATTGCATAAAGAAAAAAATGTATATATAACCATATGGTTTTAACAACAAATTTTAAGAAATATCAAGTTTATCATAATTTTGTTGCAAAATACAGCACAAGACTCTTTTCTTGGCAACCAAACATCACCTTAACCCCATTTATCAAAAAGAGGTTGTAAGAGAAAAATAAAGAAAGAGAAAAAGCAACAAAAAGGATAACAAAATTAAATGAAAGATAAATTAAAAATATTACAAAAGAAACCAATCAATCTTTGCTTTCTTTTTGATTCTCTCCTCTTTTATGCCTTCTCTCTCCCTTTTTCCTTGTTGCTACTGCGAAAGCATCTTCTTCTTCTTCTTTTTCTTCATTCTCAAAACTTTGCTTTTGCTTCGTGTAGTTTCTTTACTTAACTTTCCTTCTGATTGGAGTGAAACTCGCTTCTCTCCTTCGTCCTCTTCTTCCTCTTTGCGTGTGGTTTTATCTTCATCTAATCTCTTGATCTCGGCTTATTACACTCCTAAGTTCCCATCTATTTGGGAAACTGAATTTGCTTGTCCTTGTCTGATTATACCACATGATATCACTCTTCTTTCGTAACTAATAACTTTGATTCCTTGGAGTGAATCGATATACTTCAGACTTCTTTTGAACCATCAATCCAAATCTAATGGGAATCTGTCATGGAAAACCTACGGAGCAGCCATCGAAGAGCCTCCCAGTTTCCGGCGAAATCGATGAAGCTCCGACGAATTCTCAGCCGGCGAGATCCTCCGGGTTTCCGTTTTACAGCCCAAGCCCGTTACCAAGCTTATTCAAATCCTCGCCGGCCCTATCCTCGAGCTTGAGCTCGACTCCTCTTCGCATCTTCAAGAGACCTTTCCCTCCTCCTTCACCTGCAAAGCACATACGCGCTTTCCTCGCGCGTCGTCACGGCTCCGCCAAGCCCAACGAGGTCTCGATCCCTGAAGGCAAAGAATGCGAGATCGGTCTCGACAAGAGTTTCGGCTTCTCGAAGAATTTCAGCTCACACTACGAGATTGATGGCGAGGTGGGCCGTGGCCATTTCGGGTATACTTGCTCTGCAAAGGGTAAAAAAGGTAGCTTGAAGGGTCAAGAAGTAGCTGTTAAAGTTATTCCCAAATCCAAGGTTTCCTTCTTCTTAAAACTCTTTTGCTTTCCAAAACTGATCGATTTCTCTTAATTTTTGTATCCGTTGTTGATTCGAGTAGTAGTTTCATTGCCATGTGTTTAAAGATTCTGCATTTTTTTAAATATATACTGTCAGAGAGACATGATTAAGTGCTCTGTTCTGGTTTTTATATGTTAAACTGCGTGATATTGCTTTGAATTGTTGGCGAATGATGTTTGATTCTGCTCCAGGCTTATGATTGAAAGAAAAATTGATTCTTTTTTTAAGAATTACGTGAATTTAAGTTGAATCTGAGTGTGAATAAAAAAAAAAACAGAGTTTTATCAGTATGTGTTTATTGCTGCAACAGTCTTTATGTGTTTTAACTGTGGGAGAATGAGACATTGTTTGTAGAGTAAAAACAGAGTTTTCAAAATTATTCATTGCTTAGTGTTATATATGTTGTTGACTGTAGATGACAACTGCAATTGCAATTGAGGATGTTAGTAGAGAAGTGAGGATATTGCGAGCTTTGACTGGTCACCAGAACTTAGTACAGTTCTACGACGCGTTTGAAGATGACGAAAATGTTTATATTGTGATGGAGTAAGTATACGTTCTCTCTTAAGCTCCGTTGATCATCTTCCTATTCCAAGATTGCGATCTGAAAATACTTACAATCTCTTGTTCGTTAGGTTATGCAAAGGTGGTGAACTCTTGGACAAAATACTTCAAAGGTAATTTGCTGCTAACGTCACATGTGGCCATGTCTTTTTGATTGCTTGTCTCTATACTGAATCGTGCTTTGATGTGTTGACTTTGTGCTTTGATCTCATTAAGGGGTGGCAAATACTCGGAAGATGATGCTAAAAAAGTTATGGTTCAGATTCTTAGTGTAGTAGCTTACTGTCATCTACAAGGTGTGGTTCACCGTGACCTTAAACCCGAGGTACAGTATACACTTTAATAATCCATGATGATGTTTAATTATCCAGATTGTTCTCTCCAATTGTTTTCTTGTAAACCACTTTGGCTTTTGGTGACACTTCACTTTCTATAGGTCCCATCACATTACGAGTAGTCTTTGTACGCATAGAATGAATTCCACTAATTTAATGCAGAGTGATAATGACGGTTATGTTTCTTTCTGTTTGTCTGTTTCTCTCTCACAGAACTTTTTGTTCAGTACTAAGGACGAGACTTCTCCTCTGAAAGCAATTGATTTTGGTCTCTCTGATTATGTCAAGCCAGGTCAGAGATGCTAATAATAATGACCCCAAAGATCTCTCCAAATCGAAATCCATCATCTCGATGTTATAAAAATGTGACACTCTTTTTGCAATTCTGCAGACGAGAGGTTGAATGATATTGTAGGAAGTGCTTACTACGTGGCCCCGGAAGTTTTGCACCGTACGTACGGAACAGAAGCTGACATGTGGAGTATTGGAGTGATTGCTTACATTCTTCTTTGTGGCAGTAGACCCTTTTGGGCCCGTACCGAGTCCGGAATCTTCCGAGCTGTCCTTAAGGCAGAGCCCAATTTCGAAGAAGCTCCTTGGCCGTCACTATCACCTGACGCTGTAGATTTTGTTAAGAGATTGCTAAACAAAGATTACCGTAAAAGACTAACTGCTGCACAGGCTTTGTGTAAGTATATTCATCTTGATCTCTCTATAACGGGTGTTAACATATTGTTACTGTCATGAAAACGTGAAGAATGAATCGTCTTTTTTTTGTCCTCAGGTCATCCGTGGCTTGTTGGCTCGCATGAACTAAAGATACCATCTGATATGATCATATACAAGCTTGTAAAGTTGTACATAATGTCAACTTCATTGAGAAAATCAGCTTTAGCGGTGAGTTGGATTCTAAGAAGCTGACGTATTATTCTACTTGGCAAATTCGATCCATGGTTGAAAACTATATGATAAATTTTGGTTTTTTTTTTTTCTCTTTTCATGGTTCCAGGCTCTTGCCAAGACATTAACTGTACCGCAATTAGCTTATCTGCGGGAGCAATTTACATTGTTGGGACCAAGCAAAAATGGATATATCTCGATGCAGAACTATAAAACAGTGAGTTCTGTTTCCAACGATTCCATCTATCTCTTCCCTTTTTCATTTGTGATTTTTTTTCAGTGATTCTTGATTTTTTTTCAAACAAAATCTCAGGCAATCCTAAAGAGCGCAACAGATGCTACGAAGGATTCACGAGTTTTAGATTTTGTTCACATGGTAAGAAACGAGGCTAATTACATGGACTAAGGTTTATATCATTTGGTTAAACGTTCTAATCTTTTTATTTTGGGGATGTAGATAAGTTGTCTTCAATACAAGAAACTAGACTTTGAAGAGTTCTGTGCATCAGCCTTGAGTGTTTATCAGCTAGAAGCAATGGAAACATGGGAGCAACACGCAAGGCGTGCTTATGAGTTGTTTGAGAAGGACGGGAATAGACCAATCATGATTGAGGAACTTGCATCGGTATATGAATTTTACAACTTTCTTATTCACCTAGATACACTCATGAAGAGCGAAACTTTGGAATTGTGATTTTGATTGTTTAATGAGAAATGTGGTAATGGCAGGAGCTTGGACTGGGGCCATCAGTGCCGGTGCACGTTGTACTTCAGGATTGGATAAGACATTCGGATGGGAAGCTTAGTTTCTTGGGTTTTGTGAGACTACTACACGGCGTGTCTTCTCGATCATTACAGAAAGCTTAGAGCAATGACATTGTTAGATAAAGAAAGATGCAGCTAGGTGTAGTAGATCTGGTTTCTTCTTTTCACCCATTTCTTGATAGTTTTTGTTTCTTGTTTTTTCTCTGTTCATGGGTAAGGTGTTAAGTCAAAGATTCATAATTATGTCAGTGTGTGTCTGTGTGTATGTGTAAGAAAGGTTTTCAGATGAAGAGGAATGTACAGAATGAGACATCATCATATTCCATAATTATATTTCGGAACATAAACTTTACTTATGATCAAACATGTAACTAATTAAGCAGACTTTGATTATTAATGAATGGATATTATCGGTTATTCCTTCAAATTAGCGGTTAGATTCGGTTTAAAATTATCCCCTAGACAAAGAGAAAGAGAAGATCAACAATTGGATACAAGGAAATCTATGAATCTCCGACAGTAAAAGTTCAGAGTGTTTATATATGTCAGGTAATGTTAGGACCTGCGCGCTACTCTTTACGTGTCGAGCACTCACTCTTTCAATGGCTGCCGGAAAAACAATTGGTCAATGACATCTTTGGATCATGAGCCACGTGATTTGTCTCACATTTGCCGGAGACTCCCACGTGACCGTCCTTGAGATCTCTGATCCACTACCTAACAACCATCGCCAAGCGGGCCCAAGCTTCTTTCTTTCTTCTTCCTCCTCTCCAGTCTTCTGCAACAGTTGAAATGGCGACAATTAGCAGAACCCAGAGGTCAAAATCAACTCTTGGATCTCGGAGACTTGTTCTGTTATGTATACTCGCCGTCGCATTCCTCCTCTTTTTCTCTTCGGTGGTTTCCACCGGCGGATTGGGTTTACCGTATCGGAAAACTCTGATTGGTTATTTCGTGAAGTCTCCTCGAAGCAAGAGACATCACAGTTTGTGGGACAAGTATTTGTATTGGGGAAACAGAATCGATTGTCCTGGTAAGAACTGCGAGACCTGTGCGGGTTTAGGTCACCAAGAATCCAGCCTTAGATGCGCCCTTGAAGAAGCCATCTTTCTTAACAGGTAAATTTCCAAAATCTCCCTCCCAAAATTGTCAAAAAACTCTTGAGATTTCTCTGATGGAGTTGCTGTTGTTGTTGTTGCAGGACATTTGTAATGCCTTCTCGGATGTGCATTAATCCAATACATAACAAGAAAGGTATACTCAATCGATCCGACAATGAAACTACAGAGGAAAGGTTAGAGTTTCTGTAAAAAAAAGCTCAACTTTTGTTTTGTTCCCACTTTAACACAAGAGAAGTCTCTTTCCTTTTGTATGTTCTTAGTTGGGAAGTGAGCTCTTGTGCGATGGATACATTGTATGATATTGACCTTATCTCTGAGAAGGTACCTGTGATCTTGGACGACTCGGAAACGTGGCACATTGTGCTATCGACGAGCATGAAACTAAGAGAACGAGGGGTTGCGCATGTGTATGGAGCCAATAGGCATGAGCTTAATGAGACTAGCCACTTTGCAAATCTTTTGCTCATTAACCGAACCGCAAGTCCCCTCGCATGGTAACCATTGCTTTATCTTTACTTCATTGAAAAATCTCTAGCCTCTCAAGTCTATTGTATCATTTATTGTAATCTTCATGGTAGGTTTGTTGAGTGCAAGGATCGAAGTAATCGTAGCGCCGTCATGCTTCCTTATTCATTTCTCCCTAACATGGCAGCATCAAGATTGAGAGATGCTGCGGAAAAGGTGAATTAAACACAACTTTGAGGGAGAATGGTTGTGTTTTTTGTTGTCTCTGCTTTTTTTTTCTGAGAGAGAGGCCTTAGCTTATTGTGAACCAGTTTTGGGTGAACAGATAAAAACACAACTCGGTGATTACGATGCGATTCATGTTCGTCGAGGTGACAAACTGAAAACAAGAAAAGACAGGTTTAAGGTTGAGAGAAGTCAGTTCCCACATTTGGACAGAGACACACGCCCCGAGTTTATCATGAGGAGGATACAGAAGCAGATCCCACCAGGACGAACTCTTTTTATCGGTTCTAATGAGAGAACTCCTGGATTCTTTTCCCCTCTCGCAACCAGGTAAAATCCAAGTTTGTAGGTTTACATACTTAGATGTTCTTGTAAGATGCTTCAAAGATTTTTTGCTACACTGCAGGTACAAAGTGGCTTACTCATCGAATTTTAGTGAGATTTTGGATTCTGTAATCGAGAACAACTATCAGTTATTCATGGTGGAGAGGCTGATTATGATGGGAGCAAAGACATTCTTCAAAACATTTAGAGAGTACGAAACGGATCTCACTTTAACAGATGATCCAAAAAAGAACAAGAACTGGGAAATACCAGTTTACACCATGGATGAAGGCAAAGAAGAGTCAAATTTCTAACTTCTACAAATGGTCTCGCCAGCAAAGACTACACAATGATTCAGACAAGAGTTTCATCATTTTTCACTTACTCGGCGTTAAAAAAAGCCCAATTTTGTCTGAGGAGTTTACGGCCAAGAAGCAAGAAAAATTCTTAAAGTAACTCTTTGCTTCCTGCCTGTTCTTATTTTTGTGTGTAAATCAATCTTCTCATTTTTCTTTATTACTTTTTTTTCATTGATCATCCTTTATTGCAACCAATAATAGTTTCGGGATTTGGGTTAAGCGTTTTGATTATCCGGCCCTTTGAACAAGTTTTTACAAGGACTTTAGATCTTTTCACAAGTCCTCAGCCAGATTATCTCCTAATCCATCAGAGAATTGGGTTTATGAGAATAGCCTCTCTATGTTTCATTTAAATCTGCAAGAAAAGACTGGGAAATCTGCACTACATAAACACAGCCTAAGCAATTTGTCATATTTTACAACGGCAAAGAAAAGAGGCCAAAAGAAAGAAAGAAGAGGGACAAAAATCAGATCATTTGCTGGACATACCATCGTTATGGCAAGACCGTTTCCGTTGTTAGAACGCAGCAGAAGAATACCTCTCGTGTCTGCATCTCGAATCAACAATGTTTCTAAAAAGTTCCTAGTAAAGGCTTAGTGAGCTTCAAGAAGAATGTTGGTGGCTGCGTTGACATCATTTCTGGCGTGTACAAGCGCCTGTCTTGCTGCGTTCTGGTCAAATCCCATAGATACCAAAGTAGCTACGGCTTCCTCAGATGGCTCTATACTTGACGGAATTGGAGCTTGATACGATCTCTGAAAAACACAGAAACGTCACATGTCAGTAAATGAACAGATGTTGCAGAGTTTAATTTGAGAGGTAAAAAACAGATGTTGCAGAGTTAAAGACTCGCCACTGCTTGGCGAGTTAAGTTGGGTGATGTCCTTCTTGGTGGTTGAGAATGGCTGCTCGAGGATGGCAAAGAAAGCCGAGAAAATAACGAAGCCACGAACTCAGGGATCTGTCAATGTATTTTATACAAAAACTAGTGTTATTAAAGTGACAAAAACCCACATTATGAGGAGATAGATGATGTTTGAATTTTAAGCAAAAAAGTTGGAAAGGTAATAATAACCTTTGCCTTGCGGATACCAAAGATGTTCAACCGATACAAGGAACCAGCAATTATGCCGCAAATTCCAGGAACGATGGATCTTTTCCAAGATGATAGTAAAAGCTACAAAAATGGAACCAGAGAAAATTTATATGGCTAAGAACTGTATTAAAAAAAAAATATTACAAGTAAACATATGGTATTTGTTTACCTGGACACCAGCTAGATATATGAAGGATTTATCAGAGAAGTGTATACCAAATATGTGAAACCTCTTTGAAACTGGAATGTCCAAGTAGAAGGGTACGAAGGAAGCAAATATGAGGGCGTATGGTCCAGATGTTAGTAGGTTTGCTGTAGGATCTACAAAAATAAACAACAGATATTTATGTAGCCTGTATTTTATAAATGTGAAATGTTGGCGTTACAGAATGTATATTAGTCATATCACAAGTTCTTATAAACACCCAAAAAAAAACAATGGATTTTTCAGTAAAACATCTTCAACAGTATGAGAGTGAAGAAAACAAAGCAGGATAATCACCAATCCTAATCTTCCCTACGCACTTTGATAATTGGTGAGACTACTAACAAGGCTGGCTTAAGCGACCCTATTTCATATCATAAAGTACGAGTAGTGACCAAAACAGTGTAGATTTCAAATAGACAATCTGAAAACCGGAAGATGCCATACCTTTGAACAATGATAACAAAATGGTCTCTAGTATCAGTGATACAAACCCAGAGAACAAGATGAAAACCTGCAGAATGAGCACTATTAACCTCTTGTAAACATAATAACAGGATTTCAATCTTGAAGTAAATACCGGCTGATATCTTTCTATTTACCAGGACAAGGGAGAGTAAAGACCATGACGAAATTAATCTACGATGAATATAGAACTAGGATGATCTATCCCTTACCGAGTGCTTATTAGAACCAATCTGTCGCTCAAAGACACGGAAGTAGTACAGCAAGTACAAGCCAAAGAGCAATTCTGGTGTGGAAGAGAAGGCGAAATTCGATATGATTAACTTCCATATCCGAAACTTCTCGAAAACGTCCTGCAATGAGATTGGCAGAAGTTTATAAATACAAGCTTTAGCATCTTATTTTTTCATAGCAACAATCAGTCCTTCACAAGAGGAACGTATATGAATTTAAATTACTCGTCCGAGACACCGGTTTCGAAAGTTTCGAAATAATCAAAAACCTTCCACTAACAAACACAATCAGATTAGCAGAGGCGAGTTATTGACCTATCTAACACATGATGATCAACATGTGAAGCCTAAATCTGCTTAAGTAATGCATCTATTATCGAACTATATCTAACATCATGGTCAAGATTTGGAGCCTAAATCTGCTCAAGGGATCCATCTATTATTCAGCATCACTGGCTGGTGATTGCAGTAAAATGCAAAGACTGAAGCTTTTTCGGTTTAAGCTGCTTTCTCCCAATAAAGCAAAACCTTGCAAACTAGAGTGTAAAGCCCACAGAAAACCTAAGCATAATCCAAAATCGAAATCGACGATATTATCTGGTGCAGCACAACAATTGGTACCAAAAGCCTAGAGCTTTTAGAAAATCGAAGGAGACAGAATCCAATCCTAATCCTTCTGTAAACCCAGAAAGCATAAAGTCTCATCGGATCAAGTGTAACAGATCAATAACGGAGCACACTGAAATGAGAAATTACCTGGTAAGACAACCCGAGCTTGGAAGAACCTCCTCGGATCCCCAAGAAGAAAGTGAAAAGGGCGCTCGCGATGACAAAGGCTCTCGTGACCGGAGCATTATCTGCAAGTTCGAATAACTCGACATCAATCGAAAATCCATGATGAAATCAAAGACAAAATTTTCCAGAAGCTGATCGAGCTAAGGAGAAATGGGTCATTCGGGTACGTACTGAAACCAGAAGGACCTCCGTTCATCTTAATCGGATGAACAGAAAAAACTGGGGAGAAAGCAACAATTCTTGGCGTGAGCTCGTCGAGAATCAATCTGGAATTGGAGATCGATCGAGGCTTTCGTTTTCTCCTCTCAAGTCGTCTCCGATGTATAATTTTCTTCAACCGAAGGATCTTTCCTGGAATTTCAGTAACCTCTCGAATTCAAAACATCACTCAGAGTCAGATTTTTTTTTAAAACATAATTGAAAAAATAAAATCAGCAGAAAGAGAACAATCCAGAATCTTTCGTATCGCGTTTGCTAATAACTAAATTAAATAAAATTAAAGAATAATTGCAGATAAGACCTCCACTCTTCATTTTCTTGCGATAATAACCCTTTAGTTTTAATTCGTATCATAATAAACCTTTATCTGATCATGTTCACATCCAACACCAGATGCCTCAAAATCAATTACATTTAGAGCCAAAGAATCATACACAGTTGCCTATTTACACAAACAAGTCTCTTTTCTTTTTTGATAAATTGCGACATTCATCACCCAAATTAATCAAATTAATGACATTGCTACAAAAACTATTGTAAAACTTGCGCAGGCCACAATTGCTTCCACGTAGAAACCTCTTCCTCCGTAGCCAATTTCTTTACTCCGCCGTAAAAACCGTTGGATTCATTTCCCGTCTCACGGTGTTCCTTCCGATTTAACACCGTCGTTCTCCACGGCGAGTCCGGTCTGAATTGTCTGAACTCCATCACCACATTCTCTGCCGATAAGAAAAGAACCAAAATCAGATTCATTTCTTAATTTTCCTAGTCAACGAATCGAATGTTTCTGAAGTAAACAAACATATATATATAAGCTTCTTAATTGTTACCGTCTAAGTGGCAACGGCAACTCTCTTCTCCGTCGCAGTTTTGCAGGTGACCCACGATTCCGAACCACCAACCTACCCCGGAGAATATTTTTAAAAAAGCACCAAAATCAGATTAATCAAACGCAAAGTATTCGACTTTGATTTGGATTCGTAGTAGAATCATTTTCAGCGAGATGGGTTTCGAATGCAATTGACAATTTTTAAAAAGAGAGAAAGAGACCGTAAGGGAACTCTTTGGTTCTTCTCCACTGGATCTCGAATTGGTCGCCGGGTCTGAGTTCCTGCAAACAGTCGGACACGTGGAGGTCACGTGACTCTGCGTCGATTAGAGACGGTCTCAGCCTCTGCCACGTCACGTTTTCCTCCGCCGCTCGCCGGCCATGCGCCGAGTATCTGACAATGAGAAACACTGACAGAAATTGAGAAAACCAAAAATTCCGGGGGAACGATGAGAAAAACAAATTTCAGAGTTTCTTCTTACCTTGCTTGAAATGTATCAGTCTTGGAATCGTATCTGATTTTAGCATCGTAACAAGACATCATGAATCCAACATGTCCGTTCTGCATCCCGCAAAACAAAAAAGACAACAAAAAAACAAAATCAATACCCACAATCACCAAATATAGAAATTTGTCTCCAAATTCGTTAAATGCGTCTTCTTGAAATAGCCATAAAACCCCAAAAAGGTGAAGCCTTTATGCATGATTCGATCATTACCTCGCGATTGTAGACCTGAGCTGGAAACCAAAACTTGCCACTCTCAAGATTCGAGTACCAATACATCACAGAGTCGATAGTTGCGAGGTATGATGAACCTCTCTGGTCGCAGCCATGGTTTGAGCTTAACCACGAAAAGGGCTTAAGATTCGCAGCAAGCCTCGACCTCCACTGTGTGTTACTTCTTCTACTGCTTCGATTCGGATCTCTGAGACATTGCATTAGAGTAGCGACATGAGATTTCCACTCTTTAATCGCTGCATCACCCATTAATCTGCCCCATTTCTTCTCCATGTGCTTCTCCCACAGATGATCGCTCACACATTTATCCCTCAGCTCAGAGCAAACACAAGTCATAGCACACAGCTCAGATGGGGAAAGCTTCTCTAAGATGCAGTCCAAGGTTAAGTCAGGCAAATCCAGCAGAGGCATTTTGTTTTCACCTTGTGGAATCTTCTTCTTCGTTTCCTTTCTCCACGCTAATGTTCTGAACCCAATACGGTTGATAATGCTTCTTGCAAGGCAAGAAACCATGAGTAGCCCACAGATCGTGTTGGAGAAACAAAACGAAAGGAAATCGAGGAACTTGTTCTCCATTGAAAGCAAAGAATGAGGGAGAAGAAGCAAAGAGAAAGAGAGAGAAGAGAGTGACATTAAAAGTATTTACAAAACAAAACAAAAAGGGGTTTTGTGCTATTCACACACGCTATTCAAGAGTAAGCTGTCTCATGTAGTCACGCTATGTGTGTGTGTCTTGTGTATATATATATATTTACAAGTATTAAGCAATAAGAAAGAATGCTTGAAGCCATTACTTATAAAGAAAACAATAATAATAAAAGAAACATAGAATTGTAGGCAACAGTGGGGTTTAGAGATTGTAAAGATTCGTTGTGAGGCTATTTAATTTGAAACATTGAGTTGGGTGAGCAATAAATACCGTTGGAGTTAGGTGGGGGAGAGGAAGAGAAGGAACCAATGCCATTAAGTTGGGTCAATACTCAATACCATAGAGAGAGTGACCCATTATAGAGTTTCTGTCGTGGGTGGTGACAGCTGGCGCTCCCTTCACCAAATTTTTAGCTCGATCCATTTCAATCTTAAAACTACTTAAAATGGAATTTCACTTTGGGCTAAAGATGTATCGGATTCGTAAAACGCCTTCTCAACTACTTAAACTTTTGTTTGTTGTAGACTAGTTCCACCGAACTTCCAACCACTTTGTTGTATGTATGTTTTAAAGATTATGGAACAAAAGGTGGGTTTATTGATCTATCCACACAATCCTAAAGTCTTTAAGCCACAATTTCACGAAATCAATACCGACTTGGTCAACTCCTTTTGTTGTGTAATTCAAGTTCAACTAAAACTGAAGTGGCCCACACGACAAATGCAGTTGATGAGTTTTGAACAAAAACAAAAAAGTGGTCTTTTATTTCCAAAGTAGAGAAATCAAACACACCACCAAGTAATAGTAAACCCAAGGGTGAATTTCTCATTCATTTGGGAAGTGGAAATAAGGAAAGGTGAGATTTTTAACATCAGCTTGTTGAATGTTTCTTGTCGCTCAAGATCACCAATTACCGTACTATTTCCAGTGATGCGCAAGAATGAGTTGAAAGGGAAAAAGATAAATGTATAGATTACAGAAAAAATTTGTAAATTTTCATACTTAACAGTATTAGTAAAGCTCATTTGAGCTTGAATCTATCTTTGCATTTGGTTTACTCACAAACAGCTCCTTATACAGCACCTATTCTATAACCACACTTTCCTTTGCTTCATCACAAAAGCTTTTCTCTTTTGATCTGTGGTCATGGATGCCTCTTTTATAAGCAAGAAAATGAATTTCCCAATGGGCTTTCTTGTTTATCTTCTTAAAATGTGGATGAAGAAGGTTGTAACTTGTAAGCGTAAGCTTATGGAGTTTGATCCAATGGGCTTCTCTTAATTTCCTTTTTAAATATACGGATTCGGAGGTTGCTTTTAGAGGTAACTTGTAACTTGCAAACATTGATAATTTTGTCCAATGGGCTTTTCTCTTATTCTTTTTTTTTGTTTCACTTTTTAATTATCAACGGGCTTTTCTCCTGTGCTACAAGGAGTTGGGTCATTGGAACTCTTTTAATGGTTTAAGTACCATGCATGCACCAGTATTCCGTTTTCTCTCGGTTCTTTTTACTCTATTATATACACCAATCAATCATAGTCTAAGTGGTTGGAGGATAATGTGTACAGATCGATACGTATAGATAAGAAGTCCACAGATATACGTATAGATAATAATAATAATAATAATATCAGAAGGAAGTCGTTTTGATCCGTTTACTTCAAAGTCAACACACGTACGTGCTCTCCTTATGATGCAACCACGAATGCGTTTTTAGTCTTTTGTCTCCTTACTTTTTTATTTCACCAATTTCTTCGGTTATGGAATTATTGCAATTCCTGTAATTATGCCAAATATTAATATCTCATCGCCATCAAACATTGTCGGTCATTAGCTAGAGATGAGCACGGTATCTCGCCGACAAATTCTTGATTTTCAAGACTTTTTATCTTGAAAAAATATCATTGGATTTTGAATTTATAAAAATATGAGATTGGTTAAGCTATAAATCTGATACATAATCTGAAAACAGTGTTTTGGATTTTTTTTTTTTTTTTCTTCTTTTTCTTGACATCGTTGATGTGGAGACAATATTAAAGTTGATTATAATTAAACAAAACCAAGCTGCGGTGTTTTGTAGGAAAATGATATATATCTCCCGTGATAGACGATATTTTTTTCCAAACTTTTATGGACATCGAGGTAAGTCTTAAAGTTGGATATATCTTATTTGTCATGAGAATCTGAAAGACTCTGAATGTAACGTACTCGTGACTTGACCAGTTGACTTCTTTGAGAGATTTATAAAGCTTCTATTTAAAAAATAAATAGAAAAAAAAAACTGAACTGAACATATAGGAGAGTTATGGAGTTTTTAAAAGTAGGGACTAAAAGTTTCTCGAAGCTTTGGGCAACTTTATCCTGATCCAAAACATTTGTATTTTTTTTTAGAATTGTGCTTAAAATTAAACGTTGAAACCTCATAGTACAAAGTATAATTAGGAGTGTTAAAGTTACACTTACACTTATGGGATGAGAGATTAGAGGGCCCGCCCTAACATTAGACCGATTTAAAAAGACCTTTTAATTACGACTGACCACACAGCACACACCTAGTGCTACCCTCCTTCCCACTTGTCCACGTGGACCCCCTTGGCCTTCATTTCTGTCAATTATTTCCCAAATTATTAAGTTTTTTTTTTTACTAATTTCTTTTTTAGTTTTCTAATCATAACTATTCGAGGTTTGACAATATGTTTAGAAAAAATCGTTTAAAATATACGGATATGCACTATTGTTTTTAAATATTTGATTAAGATACAAAGAAAGTTCTTGCAAGTAACTTATATTGTTGGAGTCTTCCAAAACCGCCAAAAGAATTGAACTAAAATCAGTAATAGCTGATTTGAAATTCATATTAACTTTAAATTTTCATTTAATAAAAGGAAAAAAAACGGATTTATTAATCACTGGTTAGAGCAGAGAGCTAGACACTCTATATTGATATTCCCATGCTCAACAACTGAATTGGCTCTAATTAAATAACTTTCAAATTTTATCATTTTAGCTTTCTCTATACATCCACACTGCAACTAATTTTTCGACGTGTCTTCAAAATTTATATATGAGATTTTTTTTCTTTTCTTTTCTGTAAGGCATATATGATGAAACATTTATAAATTCATTATTTTCCAACCACTGACATTTCCCGTTTGGATGGTCTTGTCATTCTTTCTTGTCCGAAGATTATTGACAATAAATGTTATTGGATCAGTGTGCTCTAGAGTAACGCACGAATAATATATTATAATTTTAAGGGTGTAAGTTTGACTCTAATCGGTAACATAGTAGACGAAACAACGCAAACAAATATTTAACATACAAACGTGCAAAACAGACCGAACAAGTACACTAAAAAGGAGAAAAGGAAACGTACACAAAGATAAGTATCTATGGTTAGAATTTGTCGGTTAAATCATTCTGGCTTGAGATCATACTATTTGAGTTGATTCATGATGGTTAAGTATCAACATTACCGAGTCCTTCAAAAAACAAACATTATGGAGTGTTCCCGCGAAGGTTAAATTTGTTTTTCCTTATTTTTCTCCCACATTTGTGTGATTTGTTTGTCTTTTACTTTCAGTTATAATTAAGTTGGTGAGATCACCATCGTCGGGTCAAGTGACGTCATGGCGTCTATGTGTCTACATCACCGATATTGACGTGGCGCTTCTGTGTTTGCCCTGATGGCTTAGCCGACGGCGGCTTCCACTTTAACTTTATTGTCATTTTCTCATCACGCGACTCGAACGGCGCGTGCACAACACTCTGAGACAATTAAGAAAACCCCTGTAAATTATTTCAATTTAATTAGTATGTTCCTCCTGAAACATTGGTGTTTGTAATTTTTGTTTGGGATTGTATAAAACAGTTCATTATTCTCAATATCCTAATTTATTATTGTTTGGTGAAAATGTGAATATACACGCGCGTGGATTAAACGTGCCGTCGGCTTACAGCAGCCGAGGTCTTAGTGGAACTTGTCATTAAATGTTTGTTTGCTTCCCTTACCATTAATTTCTCTTCTCCTTCCTGAAAGAAGCTTAAAGGTTTTTATATATATATATTTTTAAAATGGGCTAAAACAAGAAAGCTCACATCTGGATTATCGTTCTCTCTCTTTGCTCTTTTACAAAGAATCAAGAAGATGGAGTCATCATCGACGTTGATCACAAGCTCAAACCAGAGAAAGCCATCATTGTCTCCGACGAGGAAACAACCGAAGCAGAAGAGGAAGACGACGAGTAACAATAGCAACCCCATCAAAGTCCGATACATATCAAATCCGATGAGAGTGGAGACTTGCGCTTCTAAGTTCAGAGAGCTCGTTCAAGAACTCACCGGTCAAGACGCCACCGATCTACCTCCGGAAACCACCACTTCCGCGGCCGCAGATCCTCACCAGGAGGAGATGAATCGTGGATCGTTGGATGAAGTGATCCCTGAGTACTATTCACCGTTGGATGAGGAAGTGTTTAATGCTCCTCAAATGTCGGCAGGTCTGTCTGGGTTTTTCTCGTCTGGGTTTTACAATGTGAATGCCTTAGGAAGCATTGGTTCTCTCTGAAAGTCTTCTATTTTTTTTATGCAACACCGATCAGAAGAAGAAACCATTTTACAGTTCTAGGGTTTAATCGAAACCTTATATCGATATATATATATATATATATAGGCGAACTATTTGTGTATGTGAGTTATATCTAATTAATGATGTTCAGTTTTTTTCTTTTAAACTTATCTTCCATTTATTGTTTGTTTTAAATTTATCAAAACTTGTTAGGTGGGTCGATCTATGTATATATGTAATAACCTAAGGTAACCAATTAATGTTTTCATCATTCGAAAGATATGACATCAATTTTTCAATTTTGTGGTGATAAAGAAATAATCATGTATGATGTTAAAAAAAATGTAATCAGTTTGATCGCCGATGTAGAAAATGATCAAAAATTAAGAAGAAAAAACAATTAATGCTTTCATGATACTATGGACTTTAGACTTTAGTAGAATATTTGGATAGATGTATGATGCAACCCTTTTCTTCTTTGGATTTTGGAAGATTTTTTCGGATGACCCATCTCTATATAATAGGAAGTTGGAACTATGCAATAATGAATTATTGTCTTTTATTTTATAGAATAATAAATATTCTAATATAGCAGAACATTTGGATAGAAGCATGATGTACTGCAGCCTATAACTCAATGAGTTATTTTATTATTTATAAAGTTGATTAAGGTTATATAACCTGACTCTAACACGATGGAAGTTTAATCCAAAATACAAACACAAAGAAATGTTTTTTTCTCAACTGGTTACTAAACAAGAATTGTGACATTGATGAAACTTTTCGACATACTAGATTGTTTTGACCAAAAAGAAAAGAAAAGGCATAAGCTTTTCGTTCAAGGAACCTTATTAATAGAGTTTTGTTCTCTCTATGTTCACTGTCTAAATACATTACAGTCACTGTATCCCAACATCAATGTGAATTAGTATAGTTTATCGAATATTTAAGAAATTAATTAAGTTGTAGAAGTATATATAGATTTAAAGTGGTGCAAATTATATTTCAGTTTAGTCAATGTGAGCTATGAATTCACTTATAGTATGGAGATAGCCAGTTTCATTTCTAAACAAAAGATGTAGGCATCCCACTTGGAACCGTCTTATCTTTTGACAAGAAAAGATGATTAATGTCTTGACGCTTGTTTCGCACGGCCACTTGTTTGTAACATTAAAAAAACACGTGTCAACATCATATTCACCGTTTTTTTTTTAATATGACTTTTGTAATACAAAATTTAATTCAACGTTTCTGAAAGTCTACAAAAGATAAAAATTTGCAGCGATAAGATATAAATAAAGGTTAAAAATGCTAAACCAAAGCATAGAGAGAACTTATCGTAGATTGTATTCCAAAGAGTGGATGGGGATTAGCTTGTCGCGTACGGATTTGTCGGTCATGGATTCGAAGACCTGAGGACGATAAGAAAGCTGACCGTAACGCTTAATGTGTCTTTTTTTTTTCTCTCGCTATACTACGGCTAAGAAAGAAATTACATTTTCTGTAAGAAACAACAAACGTTTCTAGAAATCTCGGTCAGCTTAATAATGTTTCTATCTCTTGTAATTTGTTGGATTATTTTATTATTTCTCAAGATAAAATTTGTTTTTTTTTCTCTCTAAAATATAGTTTGTTTCAGTGGTAGTTTATATATTACTAGTGGTTGACTCGCGCTTCGCGCAAAAATTTTATTTATTGTTAAATTTTAGTTGTAATTTATTGTTTGATTTTATTATTTAGATTTTATGTTGCTTAAATATGAAATATTTTTCTTTTATCTGCTATTTTAATTCTTAAAAAGTTATATGTCTTGAAGTTTTGATCTTCAATAAATTAGTATTTTTTGCTATCGCAAGTTTTTTACCAATCACTTTTAGGCTATTTGTATTTCATATTTTTCTTATTATTATATTCCTTTTTTACAAAAATTCTTATTATATTTAATTTGTGTGTATATATTTTGTTTTTCATCTAGTTTATGTGTATATATATATATTATTTAATATTTAGTTATCCATATATATATTCTTTTGTTGTGATGTTATGTTCATCTTGTTTTTATACATATTTTTGTGTTAAGGATCTATCTACGTTTCTTTTAGTTTGTTGATTATTTTTAATTTGCTTTTTCTCTTTTTTAACCTTATGTCACTATGATCTTACTGTTTGACGGTTTTCTTATTGTGCATCTGTTTTTATAGACGATTTCTTGTTCACAGCTTGCAAATATTATTCATTTAAAATTATAAATCTACTCTATTAAATTATTTTGTTATTAGTTTGTTTTTTGGGGTTTTAAAAACTTGTATTTCAAAATTCCATACTTTAGACGCTGATATATATATATATATATTGAAGTGTTTTGGTTAAATTTGTGTTTAGTTGGATTATTTATTAAAGTTTTCCCGAGCTCAATTGAGTGTACACATGATCTGTTAAGAAAATTTGGTTATTAATTTTATTTTTATTTTTTGCAGTTAGATTAGATTGTAAAATTTTTCTTTTTTTTCTTTACTAATTTTTTTGTCATAACTTTGAATTAATTTTAAAACTGCATGTAATGTTTGTAGGTTGTCAAATAGTTTTGATTGTTGCATTTTACATGATTCAGGAGAACTCTTCCTCTTCTCTTTTATATATATGGTACTGTAATTTGTGTAAGTTGTGCTTGTGCTATTGGTCAAATGTCAGATGCACTTATGGGATTTTAGATTTTATGGACTAAATTTAATAGTGAAAGTTGATTCTAAATTATATAGTTTGTGTTGTGTAATGTTTTAAGTATGAGATAGATGGTTAAATGGCAAAATAAAAAGTGAAGAAAAATAACTTTATATATTTGGTAGGCGTAATTGTATTGTTTCTTTCTCTTTTTTCTTTCTTACCAAATGTTGTTGTAAGTTCTATTATTTGATGTGGTTCTACTTGCGACATCGGTTTTGAGGGATGATTCTTGTTCCCGGTTTTCAAATGTTATTTGTTTAAATTTATTTAATTTATTCTATTAAATTATCTACTTATTTTGAGTTGTGGATACTTTTATTTCAAAGTTTCATACTATGGTCGTTGATATATATTTAAGTCTGTTTTGGTTAAATTTGTGGTAAATTAGATTATTTATCAAAATTTTCCCCACTTCAATTGTGATATCTATAATCAATTAACAGTTTTTGGTTATTGTTTTTAATTGTTGTGGTTAAATTTGATAGAAAATTGTCTTTTTCTTGTTTTCTAATTTTATTCGTCATGACAAAAACTGATTTATAAACGGAATGTTATTATGTGGGTTGTTATTGCTGTAATTTGTTTGATCATGAAATTTATAATTATATAAAAGATTTATAGTATGTTATTTGATGTAATTTTAGGCTTTTGATATTGGTCAAATAATGTTGGTTGCATGGAATTTAAGTTTAATGGGCTGAATTTAATAGTAAAATTTAAATTTAAGTTATATAGTGTTTGTTATTAAATATTGAATGCTGAAATGGCAAAAGAGAAAAGCTCTCTTTACATATAGATTGTACCCAAATCTAAAACAAGAGAAATATGCTCGGGAAAATGAAGAAATACACAAAAATACAAAAGCAAAGATGACAGCTTTTTAACAAAAAACATTAAACACAAAGAAAAGGAGAGACTAATGGGGGGGGGCTTTGTCATGGAGATTCATCAATAGTTCCTAATGATCTTTGCAACCGAAGAGTATGTCCCTAAGGTCCCACTTACCAACCCAATCGCCACTATTATCGAACTCAGGATCATCTGTATCACACACAACAAAGCACAAGTCAGTGTTTTATATATTAAATCAGAACACAAAAACCCATCATCCGAAACCACTTTCAAGAAAATTTGAGAAGATGAGACTAAAAGAAGGCTTAATATATATTTACCTGTGTTCTTGTAGCTTTGTTACCCATTATCCTTATAAAGCATAGAGCAGGCATTACTATTGCCTGAAACACACATACAATTAATGCAAAAGACTTTTTGAGTTTTGGGTTTTGTTCCAAAGAATATGTGTGAGAGAAGAGATGTTGAATACTAACCACGAGTATGCTGAGAAGAGATCCTATCAGAGCCATCACAAGACCTATGCAACAATACAGTAATGTGTCTTGAGACCATTCAAGCAGCTAACCGATAAAAAAAGACAGGCGAGTTCTCAACACTTTGCTAAGCTTTAACGTTCTTACCAAAAAATGGGATAAGGAAAGCAGAACAAACAGAAGAAGCCACGAGTGCTGTTCTTAGAAGAAGAAAGCACCATACGTTCTCTGAGATTCTTTCGGGTAATAGTTCTTCTATACTCCTTGCAAGTGGATTCATCAGGAGAGCATATTTTGTAAACGGACTCACAACCTGAATATAAAACAGAACCAAGATGAAGATTTAGTGTAAAAAGAACTTCAAAAGATGATAGAGAGGGAAATAAAAACCGGTTTCTTTTCTAACCGTTGTCCATTGCGCCACTTTCGAGAAAAATAAGCCCTTTGGCATGTTTAGTGTAATCTGAGACAAGGTTGCTTCACCAAACATGAGATAACCCATGATTGCAACTCCTCCATATATCAAAACACATAAAACGAAACTGCAATGTAGCAACAACTCGTTGATTTTATGTAAACTTGGATCAACAACACATCAAAAGCTCATACAAGAGTGAAGTTATTTATCAGTGTGTTACCAAGTGATAACCGCTTTGTTGAATTTGGTTTTATCAGCCATGGATTGGTATATATTTGGGAACACAGAGTGGCCTGAGTAGCAAAATCCATAGATACCAATTGCAAACGGTATCCCGTTCCATTTCACAGCGTGACCGGTGTGATGAAACCCGATCCCTCCCGTTGTCCCGAGGAAGAACGTGCTCACTGCTATCAACACAGTTGCAATAACTCCACCAGCTGTGGAATCAAAAGGAGACGATTCAAGATTCTTAACTAAAGGAGTCAACAATGTATATATTACAGAGAAAGCAGTTTGTTGTACCAGAGAGGTAGGAGATGATTCGAAGATCCTTCAACCAAACAGTTGGAAGAACGATGAGAGCAGTTAAGATTCCGAATAAATGCTTGGAGTCGAGACGTATCCCGAGCCAATCCACGGATGTACCAGGGAAAAGCCCTGTAAGGTTGTCCCCTTCCAAAATGATGAATTCCACACAGTATGACTACAAAAGAAAAGTGTTACAAAGATTCCTGTAAGTTCACATGGTGCATACAGAGACAAAGCTTTAGATCGGTTCAAGATCCATGAGTATAAAAAAGATCTTTCACTTACATATAGTTCCGTGTACAGTAGCACCTACACACAAAACATTGCAGAAACTATAAGGAAATGTGATTCTATAGATGCAAAAGCTAATGAGAACAGAACAGCTGATCCAGAAAGTGGCTTACACAGATAAGAATACGGCCGTATTTCCCAAAAGCAGCTTCTCCAATGTCAGGATAAGTGATAATGCCGGATTTGTTCTCGAAACAGTCTTTCATCAAAGTAGCGGTGTAACAACATATAACCGCAAACAAGAGAAGAATCACCATACTTGCCCAACCAGCTTCTTTCACTGTAAAAGGTGTTGACAGAAGCCCAACTCCAGCCATTACGTTAATCGCTGTAACCAAATAATACAGATTTGAAGACATTACACATGTTTGTTAATAAGGCCACAGTCATAATAATCCATAATACTTTTCTTTAGTTACCATTGAAAATGGTTTGAGTGAAGCTGCATCCATAGCCTCCAATGGGCAATTCTTCAGCAAATGAGCCTTTATGAGACCAAACTGATTGTGTAACCGAGGCTTTGTCGGATTCTTCGTTCCTCTCAGGGAGCAGAGGGGCTTTTGACTCGACATCTAAATTACTCCTGCTCTGTCTATAGAAACTCGGATTACTCCTGAGAGACCCGAAGATTGGTGATGCAGCAATCGTATAAGAATCAGTGGTTTCCCTGATTGAAAAAAAGAAGAAACAATCACAATCAGAAAATCTCTCTGTTCATTACAAATACGAAAGATTCGAGCTTTACAAAGGAAGATGTTAGAATCAATTACCTAAAGCTTTGAGGCCATTGAACCTGGGAAATGAAAGTATCATCGTTGTCGTCGTCAGCAGGAAGATCTCCGACATCGCTCTGATCAGTGCCACTGTCGTTCTCGTACTTACTGCTATCGTCTAGATCTTCATCGTCTTCGAACGTAAACTCGGGATTTCTCTCCTTATCCTTATTCTTCTCCTCCATTTTCTAAGGACAAACCCCCACCACTAACAATGAATCTAGCGAGTATTGAAAAAGAGAGAAAGAAAGAAACCTTGATAAAATCTCAAACGAAAAGGAAAGAGAATCAACAATCTCCTTGATTGGTTTTTTTGTTTTGTTATCAGACAAGAGTGGGTTCGAGATGTTTGCAGAGAGGGAGAGGTGGCGAACGACCAATAGGAAACTTTTTTTTTTTTTGCTTTTTTTAATTATTCCACTTTCTGATCTGATTGCTCTCTCTCTCTCTCTTGCTTGCCTAGTTATAAGGCGGGAAAATGGTGACGTGGCGTCGACGATGGAGATTTAGACATAGAGATCAGAGTTGAGAAGCAATGTTAAAGACTTTTGACCGATGACAAGTGTTGAGTTCTCGTGGTTCGGTCTCTTTCACCGATCCAAAGGTATGTGTTGCAAAATCACCATTTACACGCGTTTGCAAATCGCGATTACGTACTCGCGTCAGGATTTATGTCTTCTTCTTTTGATTCCCTTTTTCTTTTGACGGTTACAAAATCGCGTTTATGTACTCGCGTCTTGATTTATCGTGTAATATCTTTAATCTTGGTCAGGCTAGTCTGCTACAAAAAATAGAACCATAATCAAATAAAAAAGGGTTAATTTGCTATATGACTATATTTGTGAAACAATCATACAATATAACTATTATATTCAAACAATTGGAAAAATAACTATCACCTCTAGAGAAATTACACTACAGTCCTTGCATTTTAACCGGGAATCGATACTGTTAATATTTGTGTGTGATGTCAGTATATCACTTAGGGTGGGGGTTCACACGGACAATATGATTGTAGCTGCTTACTATATAGACACATGACACACGAGTTTGATGAGAAGATTTACCTTATCCCATTTGTTGGAGGAGGCGAAATTGGCGAGAGGTTTTCAACTGATCTACTCCCACCATACAAAAGTATATAGTATAGCTTTGACAACCCCGGTTCAAGATCATACCATACAAAAGTATATAGTATAGCTTTGACATGCCATAATACAACTTCTATTTGATATTTGACAGTGTCCAGTTTCGAAGATTGGGCGACGATGCACAAGATACTGTAAACAAGGACATAACTGTGCGTCCTGTCGTAACCCAATATGAATGGCGCCAATTGACAGAGCATATGTAGGTGGTCCAGCACTATCATTTTTGGGACAGACATAATAATGTAATCTCACATCATGTGCAGATGTGAAGACTGTAGTTGGCAAGAGGTGGCGTCAAGGATGTTCTAAATACACTGGTATATGGATACTATATAGTACAAGTTCATGACACTATTTTGAGAAACATACTATTTCTTAAACGAACAGTATAGCTTTGCCGAAATATTGCGAAGGTAGTCGAAAAATATATGAAAAATAGTTAAGTAACTGTTATATCAGTAATAACTTATTTACCGAGTCATCAAATATTTTCACTCCATTTTTTACCTAAGGATTTTTTGGTATATATTATAGAATATATAAGAAATATCATAGCTACTATATTGGTATAGTTATTTTCCATATTATATATGTTTATATGGCTATATGAGCCAATTTCCCAATAAAAAATGCATGTACTGTAATCAATCGTTTTTTTTGTTTTGGTAACTAATCATTCCGTTTTTTCCTCGTTTCTATTTTCGCTATATATAAACGTTATTTAGCTAATATATTTCAATATCGAAATGTTCGTGTTAGATTTTCTAATACTATTTGTCAAATACATGAACATCAATTACTTTACCATAGAAGATTATGAATGTTGAAATTAATTTCATTTTTTGTTGACGTTAATCCGGTTGTCTAGAATAATATGTTGAAAACAAATCAGAATAGTGTAGAACTGATGGGTAATACAATCATCATTGAATGTTGCTGGATTCTTATGCTTAAGTGCTAACTAAGTAGTCCTCATTCGTTGTTCTGAATCTTAATGTCTCAAAAGAGTCCAAATTATGATTTGAATGACGCGAAGTCGACGAGGGAATGGGGTGTAAATGTAATCGCCTGTCAGTAAACAAATAAATACGTTATCTCTATGTGCTGTCATGTGGTTTCTCCAAGTGTCAAAGCATCATATGGTTCAATAATATATCCTTAACGCAATTTTATTTTATTTTAGTTAATGCATATTAGTATTACACCTTGACATTTTGCCAAACAGACGAAGAATCTCTCCCTTAATAATATTTATAAATATAAATGGGTTGAAGAAACAAATTAATAGATCATCAAAATTTCAATCACTAGTACCATTTGGCTTTCAAAAATCAGTATTGTGACCATATGCGATTTATCAAATGCGAAAGTTGTAATGTAGAACACAGTGAGTCAGTGACCAGTTAGTTTTAAGGTAGAAAAATACAGTGGTTTTATTAAAACTCTCAACATTAGAATTAAAATCATTACTTTCTAGTTTCTTCTAATATTAAAAACGAAATGAACTCTCACTTTTTTATCACGATGCTTATGTTCATATGTCACGCTTCCGGTACGTGGCTTATCGATCAGGAAACGCCAAGATACTGTGCCGACCTCACAAGTCACAAGTCACGCCTTCAAACATTTATTTCTCAATATTATCCTTCAAACTTCGTTACAATATGAAAAACAAGCAAGAAAGAAGACGTTATCACGGAAATCAAAAGGAGAAGAAGTTATCACAATATGGGTCAAGCCCTCAATACCGGTTCGTCCTTTCTCTTTCTCCCTCAATGTCACAAAATGTTCATTTTTTATAATATATCGTATCTTTGATGTTTTGTGTTTATTTGTTTTTGGGCTTTACTTAATAATGGAACGAAGCAAAAGGGAGAGGAGAAGTAGACGGGAAAGACTTGGAAGCTATGGCAGAAAATTGCTACCGCAAACGCCTTGAAGAAAAAAATGACGATCAAGAATGGTCTTTCGGCGACTTCTACCGCATTGTGGCTGAAGCTGTCGAGTAATTCTTTTTTTTCCTTCTGATTTATTTTTTATGTATATACGTAATTAGTCGGCATCAGGATATTATGAATATGCTACATGAATCGTATATTTATATGTGATGTGATTAAACCTTTTTTTTTTTTTTGGTGTTGACAGAGAAATTAATAGAAGACTTGGTGGTACCCAACTTAAGGTGCCAAGTGTTGAGAAATTACAAGAAGCTTATGAGGTAAAAAGTCTTACAATTTCTATTTCCTTGTATATAGTTTTATTAACTTAGATTAATGGTATCTTGGGATCATTTTTGAAGCAAGAACACGATGGATTTTTAGATTATAAACTGATCAACGCAAAGCAAATGAGAGATCGATTAGATTTGCAAACACATTCACATGAAAATATCATTCATTAAGTTATATATAAATAGTATGTAAACATAAAATACCATTTGTCATACTACAAATATTTATATTTTAAAACATTTCAAGTAAATTAAAATATATTGAAAAATTATTAGAATATTTTCAAAAGATTCTAAAAAGACGCAAAATAGATATTTGGCTCTAAATGCATTGCAATCTTCGTTCTGTATACTTGAATCACGCAGAGACATAATCTCGGAGAAGGGAAGAAGCTATCGAAGGACGAGTTCCAGAAGCTTCTTCAAGAGGTTTTGATCGGAGCTGGGTTCACTGGCGTCGGAGGAGTAAAAGAGTTTCTACTCTTCATCTTCGGAGTTCCTGCCTTCGCCGTCTTCCTCAAGAACCGCATAGCTCCGACGTCCATTCCCAACGACTTGTTCATCCCCGCCGTCACCTCCGCCACCGTATTCCTCCTCGCCAAGCTCAACAAGATATGACTCTTATCTGTTTGATCTTTTCGAGCTTTGCTTTGTTTTCGAAATTTGTATTGGGGTTTGATTATGCTTGTCTGTGAATTACATTGGAAAAAAGGATAAACGAGAGCTGAAAGTCTCACTCTTCGAATTCGTTTGCTATATTCATGAAATGAACCTAAGTTGTTCGACAGAATGCGTCAATGACTTTGAGTTAACTCTGTTTCTGACTGTTGAAAAAATTCGATTGGAGTGTACTTATTCGTCTAAATTGGTAAACTTTTAAAAATATTCTTCATTTTATATTTCTAAGAAAGATGTATTTGCATGAGAGGGAAGCAATGAGATGCTAAATATAGATAATTTGAGGGTCTTGCTTGTTTCTCTAAATTTCAAGGCTTTCATTGGTTTGAGGATAATGAACGAGTCCTTGTTTGAATAATGACAAAATTAGTTTGAAAAACTGATAAGAAAAGATGAAATCTCGGAGACATTTTTTCCCTTTTAACTCTTTTCTGGCCATTAGTATTCTTCTCTTTTTCTTTGTTTGGTTTGGAACATGGTCCACAGCAACATTCAATCCAAACAATGCTGTAATCTGAAAGGAAAAGTAAGATCTTTGCCACCGACTCAATTACATTGAGATGACAGAGGCAAAACGAAAATTGACCAGTGACACATATCTTTGTTGATTTCTTGGGTGTTAGTACATCTTTAGGATGGTTTTATACATGTTTTACGAGGGCATGTTTCTAGGTTCTAATAACACACAGTTTTCTTAGATAGAAATTTTTGTTTAGTTTAATACAATGAGCAAGGATCAAAGCTATGTTCTCAAAGCATGGGAGGTGACCGTGCGAAAGACCCAACAAGCCAAGAAGCGGGCAAATAGCGTTTTTGGAACAGTGTCTGTAGCTCCACATACGGATAACGATACTACAACTGATGACAATGACGACGAGACCACCACTAACAGGAGCAACTCAGAGGAAGTTTACCACGCGGAGAGAGTACTTCCCAATGGGGACTACTACACAGGGAAATGGTATGATAGCTTTCCTCACGGGCATGGCAAATACCTCTGGACAGATGGCTGCATGTACATTGGTGATTGGTACAATGGAAAAACCATGGGGAACGGGAAGTTCGGGTGGCCATCTGGTGCCACGTACGAAGGAGAGTTTAAAAGTGGTTACATGGATGGTATTGGCACATACACGGGTCCGAGTGGAGATGCGTATAAAGGTCAGTGGGTGATGAACTTAAAGCATGGCCATGGCGTTAAGAGTTTCGCAAATGGAGATGCCTATGATGGTGAATGGAGGAGAGGTTCGCAAGAAGGTCAGGGGAAGTATCAATGGACCGACGGGTGCCATTACATTGGCGAATGGAAGAACGGTACGATCTATGGCAAAGGGACTTTTGTATGGACAAATGGGAATAGATACGACGGGTTTTGGGATGATGGGCTCCCTAGAGGGAATGGGACGTTCAAATGGGATGATGGGAGTTTCTACGTTGGGAATTGGTCTAAAGATCCAGAGGAGATGAATGGTACTTATTATCCGTCAGGAAACGAAGGAAATCTTGAATGGGATCCTAAAGATTTGTTCAATAATCTGAGTGAGTACAAGATCTGCAGTGGAGAGAGGGTTCCTATGTTGCCTTCACAGAAGAAACTAACTGTTTGGAACTCTTCCAAGCGTATAGAGAAGCCTAGGAGGTTGTCAGTTGATGGGAGGGTGAGTGTTGGTGTGGATAGAGCATTTGAGAAGATGAATATGTGGGGGACCGAAATCGGTGAAGGAGGCACCGATATGAGGAAGGAGTTGGATGCAGAGCTGATGAGATTGGACGCTGAAGGCATTCAGTGCCTGAAGTCGAGTCCTGTGCCTATGAAACTGCCAAAGTCAGGGAGGAAACAAGGGGAGACTATATCCAAAGGCCATCGCAACTACGAGCTTATGCTTAATCTACAGCTAGGAATCAGGTACATATGAGAGAGAGAGACTATGTGTCCTAAGTTATACAATCTGATCTTTGTTGGTTATAACTTATATATGTGCACAGGGAGCAATGCTTGTGTTTTTGGTGTCATGTTTAGTTATTTTGTTTCCACAGGCATTCTGTTGGAAGACAAGCTCCAGTGGCATCTCTTGATCTGAAGCCTTCAGCGTTTGATCCAAAAGATAAGATATGGAGAAGGTTTCCGCGCGAAGGATCCAAGTACACACCTCCACATCAATCCACTGAATTCAAATGGAAAGATTATTGCCCACTGGTTTTCAGGTTAGACCACAATATCTACTTTTATTTTTCTCACATTGCTACTAACTCTGTCTTTATTATCCTTGACATATCTTGCTTTTACTTTATTTATCCAGGAGCTTGAGGAAGCTATTCAAAGTAGACCCAGCTGATTATATGTTATCCATCTGTGGGAATGATGCACTTCGAGAACTATCATCCCCTGGTAAAAGTGGAAGCTTCTTTTACTTGACAAACGATGATCGTTACATGATAAAAACAATGAAGAAGGCGGAAACAAAAGTGAGTTTTTCTTCTCCAAAAGTGTTTGCTTGTAATTACCGAGTATTCATCAGATAGCATATACTAAATAACATTTGCTTTTGGTCTTCTTGGTGTAGGTGCTTCTAAGGATGCTTGCAGCATATTACAACCATGTTCGAGCATTTGAGAACTCTTTGGTAATCAGATTCTTTGGTCTACACTGTGTGAAATTGAATGGACCAACCCAAAAGAAGGTAAATAGAAAACATCCACACTTAATGTGGCATGGCTTTTGAAATAGCTTGGTTTGGTTTCACATCTCTTCTCTGGTCTGGCAAATAATGCAGGTCCGGTTCGTCATAATGGGTAATCTATTTTGTTCCAAGTACTCTGTTCACAGACGCTTTGATCTGAAAGGATCTTCTCTTGGCCGCACCACCGACAAGCCTGAATCAGAAATCGATTCAAACACGATCTTGAAAGACCTCGACCTGAATTTCATCTTCAGGTTGCAGAAAGCATGGTACCAAGAATTCATCAGGTGAAAACTAATTGTACTTTACTCTTCCATAAAAAACGTTTGTGTTTGTTTCATTTCTCATGGCTCATTGATTTCATCTCAGGCAAATCGATAAAGATTGCGAGTTTCTAGAACAGGAGAGAATCATGGATTACAGTCTTTTGGTTGGGATTCACTTCAGAGAAGCTTCAGTCGCTGGAGAGCTGATTCCTTCTGGAGCAAGAACACCTATTGGTTCGCTTTTGTCAAATCAAATAACTTTTTTTCTCCCATCAGAAAAAAAACATGTAACATTCACAAAAGCAAAAAAAAAGGTGATAACTTTTTCTTATCTACAGGTGAATCAGAAGACGAAACAGGCCATCGTCTCTCTAGAGCAGAGGTTGATGAGCTTCTTTCAGATCCTTCAAGGTAACACAACACAAGAGAACAATAATACCAACATATTTCAAATCAACACAGAACCACAGATATATGAGTTTTGGATATGGTTGTGTTGTTACAGGTGGGCTAGTATCAGATTGGGAACCAACATGCCGGCGCGAGCAGAGAGAACGATGAGGAAAAATGACTGTGAGTTTCAGCTTGTGGGAGAACCCACAGGAGAGTTCTACGAAGTGGTGATGATATTTGGCATTATTGACATTCTTCAGGATTATGATATCAGCAAAAAGCTTGAACACGCTTACAAGAGCATACAGTATGATCCTTCCTCTATATCTGCGGTTGATCCAAGACAATACTCGAGGCGTTTCCGTGACTTTATCTTCAAGGTCTTCACAGATGACAGTTGAGAGAGCGTTTCTGTTGTCTTTGAGCTTTTTTTTGTTTTGTTTGTTTGTTTGAAGTTATTATAGATCTTTCTAATTTTGTATTATTACACTTTGTAATCAATTCAAAACTATATATAGCAATGGATATTCTCATTAAATTTTTGTCTCTTGTATACTGATATGTAGTATTTCATTTTTATGAAAAACATGGTTTTATTGTTTGTAAGTTCTTGTAGATAATTTCGTTTGAATGGTTGAATATTTTTGATATTTGCAGTAAAAGAAATGCGGTTAATGTAGATAAAATGTTAAAACGGAAGATAAACCAAGTTACATAATTTCAACTAATATTTTGTTAAGAGTTGAAATAATATAATCAAAGTGGTTTATAAGAAAAAAAAAAGTAGTAAAGAAAACATTTTTTCCTCTAACGTTATAGTCCTTCAACTACACAAAAAGATATGAGGTGGTTTACATTTATAATTCCAAATGTGACTGAATTTGTTTCTTCAAATGGTAACAAAGTATCTTTGATGCACCAATCAAAAAGAAAAAAAGAAGATTCTGGAAAGAAATTAAACTTTCGTAAAAAATGAAAATGTCTTTGTCTGGTAAGGGTATGCTGAACAAGACAGCAATCAAATTTTATAACTATACACTACTTTGAGCAAAGTAGTTACGTAGGTGATGATGTTATTTTTTAATTTTTTCAATAAAGAAATAGAGTAAAGATTCCAATAATTCGTTCAAAGTTAGTATAAAACTTGCTGTTGTTGTCGTTTTCTGTAGAGGAACTCAGAGAGAATCTCTTGTTTTCATCTGTCATTGCCCCCACAAAGTATAGTATAAATTAAATCTGCGACTGTTCAATCGCCCGTTAATTAGATCAGTAATCTAGTTTTATACTAATGATTACGTATTCTTCAATTGAAAACAATAGCAGGTCCCATTTAATCTATCGATTAATTAATTACCTTTTCAACATGTAACAGTAGTATTCAATTCAATTGTTCTTGAACTCTAAAAGACACATGCGTCACCAAACGCACCGCTAGATCTTAAAGACGCGATCGGCGTTTGAAGACATAAAAGCTAAACTTTTAGCTTTCAATCATCCATCACCTTTACAACAACAGCAACAGCAAAAAGGCGACGGCGATTAGAGTCCTCCTTCGTAGTCGTGCTCACTGATCGCTCAAACTTTTTCTCTTAGCTGTACAAACACCAGCGGCTGGATTTTCTCTGCGATTCCGGTGCACTGTACGCTCCGTCGCAGGGAATAAATCTCTGCTTCCATTTTGACTTTTTGAAAATAACGGCAACAGTTCCAGGAGAGAGAGAAAGTTGGAAATCCGATCGATCGCTTTCTCCCTCGGCGTTTTCAGTCGACGCTTTGTTCTCGTTCTTAGGAGCTTCATTCCATGGCGCTACAGTCTCCGGGCGCCGCCGGAGCTTCATCTTCCGTTTCTCGGCTTCTCTCCTCCGCGAAATTAAGTTCTACTAAGACTCTCTTCTCTGTCGACTTCGTCGGATCCTGCTGTATTTCCAAGGGAACCAAACGGCGTAATGAACTCTCCGGGTTCCGCGGCTACAGTCCACTGCTGAAGTCCTCGCTAAGGTCTCCGTTGTCGGCAAAAGCGAACCTGAATTTTGACCGGCCCGCCGGCGATGCGTCGGCTTCCTATTCTCATCTGAAACCCGAGGTAAGCGTGGTTCTCTGCGAATGATCATTGTTAAGTTGGAAGCTAGAAGTTTGCATATTCATCTGCTGTTGATCTAGGTTTTGCACTTTTGAGCTCTGGTGTATTTGGGGTTAACTTTAAATTTGTTTGACGATTCAGTTGATTTTCTGGAGGTTTAATTGTTTGGATTGCATCGTCGCAGGTGGCGAACTTAGAAGATATAATCTCGGAAAGAGGAGCATGTGGGGTTGGGTTCATAGCGAACTTGGAGAACAAGGCTACACATAAAATTGTAAGTGATGCTCTGATAGCACTTGGCTGTATGGAACACAGGGGAGGTTGCGGTGCTGATAATGCTTCTGGCGACGGTTCTGGTTTGATGACTTCCATTCCTTGGGATCTATTCAACGAATGGGCTGAGAAGCAAGGAATGGCTTCTTTTGATAAGCTTCATACGGGTGTTGGAATGCTGTTCCTACCGCGAGATGAAGACATCAGGAAAGAAGCCAAGAAAGGTGAGCCTAGAATTGTTTTATGCATATTGATTTGTGGATTGCAGCTCTGGTATCCACTCCAAGTTATTATCTTTCTTGCTAAATTACGTTTTGAAATATCTCTTCAGTGGTTACAAGTATTTTCGAGAAGGAGGGCCTGGAGGTGCTTGGATGGAGGGATGTTCCTGTAGAACCGTCCATTGTCGGCCATTATGCGAAAAAGACGATGCCGAAAACGGAACAGGTCTTTGTTAGAATTGTCAAAGAAGATAAAGTAGACGACGTTGAAAGAGAGCTTTACATTTGCAGGAAGCTGATTGAAAGAGCTGTTGCTTCTGAAAGTTGGGCCTCTGAGCTCTACTTCAGTTCCTTGTCCAACCAGACCATTGTTTACAAGGGAATGCTTCGCTCAGAAGTTCTTGGGTTATTTTACCCCGACCTTCAAAATGATCTTTATAAATCTGCTTTTGCCATCTATCATCGAAGATTTAGCACAAATACTAGTCCCAGATGGCCTCTTGCTCAGCCAATGAGGTTTCTTGGACACAACGGGGAGATCAATACCATACAGGTTATGCTTCTCTCCTGGTCGATATGTTTGTTGGATCATGACTAAGCTAGGACTTCTCACTGAAACCGAATAAGTTTTGCAGGGGAACCTAAACTGGATGACATCTCGAGAAGCATCTCTAAAATCACCTGTTTGGCATGGACGTGAAAATGATATTCGCCCAATTAGCAATCCAAAGGCTTCGGACTCCTCTAACCTTGATAGTGCTGCGGAAGTAAGAGTCATCTAACCTCCAACTTTTGTTTTCCCGTTGTGATTCTCTCTGTGGTATCTACTTTTGGAAAAATAAAGAAGAAGCATAGAAGATTCTCTTGATTTTTGAACTAAAACAAAAGAGCAATAGTGATGTTCTGCTTACATAAAATTTCCCCGACTGTTGACGCCCCCCAAAGAACTTGGTTATAGACTTGTTTTAATTGCTGCAAGAGTTCAATTTATTTATATTAGTGAGGTTGTGCAGCTTTTGATAAGAAGTGGCCGGACTCCTGAGGAATCTCTAATGATTCTTGTGCCAGAGGCATATAAAAATCACCCGACCTTAATGATTAAATACCCTGAGGTATTGCTTCGTGTTTGCTTTTTTGATCTTTATGGATACTTGCAAGTGCTTCTCTTATCTGCTTTCCAACTGTAGGCTGTAGACTTTTATGATTATTACAAGGGCCAGATGGAACCCTGGGATGGACCTGCATTGATATTGTTCAGGTAATTTTCTTGAAGATTTCTTACCCTTGAAAGTTTAGTCATGTGAGTAAGATTGAGCTCCGAAATTTATTTAACTAAGAAAATTGAGTACGCATAACTGTTCTCAGAGGCTTGTAAGTCTTGATCACTCAAATATTTGCTGCTTTTCTTTTAGAAAATGTCCACAACTGTGGACAACTGGCGGGAAAATGAGCCTGATGGTAATTTGTCATTCAAAGTGTTAGGTAGTTTAGCTAGCAAGTCTGTCGCATTTCTTTCTTCTGCTTTCACATTTCAAACTGCGTCATCTTGATTTTGTTCAGTGATGGAAAGACTGTTGGAGCTTGCCTAGACCGCAATGGACTTCGGCCTGCTAGATATTGGCGGACAAGTGATAATGTTGTCTATGTAGCCTCTGAGGTGCGTTTGTCTTTTGCTCTATTTACTTGTTCTTTATCTAAGCATGGTGGTAAATGGTAATGCTTGCCAGCAGATGATTGGGCTTATGCTTGAATCTTAAAGCTTTGGTCCTGACAGGTCAGAAAACCAATTCGTTTAATCACTTTGGAAATTTCTTCGTTTTTCTTTCTTGACATAGCTATGCGAACTGATTTTTTTAGAAAGATGATCAGTACTATTAAGTAGTTCTTGGTGATCATTTAGTGTGAAATCTAGGAGTATTTTAAATCCTCTCATTCAAGTGTTTTCTTCAATAACCGAATTAATGCTTTGCAGATCAAGAAAGATAGATAATAGGTTAGAGTTTATATCTTGTATCAAATTGTGTTTATATCTTGGCATCAGAAAGTTTCTAAGTCATGCCTTTATACAGGTCGGAGTTCTACCAATGGATGAATCGAAAGTCACAATGAAGGGTCGTCTAGGACCTGGTATGATGATATCTGTTGACTTAGAAAGTGGACAGGTTGGTGCACCTGATCATGGTCGATCTTTCTCTTAATTTGTAGACATCGATATATAATTTTGGTTTCTGTTGTCTCCCATTATTAATATGTGAAATTTCAGGTATATGAGAACACAGAAGTGAAGAAGCGGGTTGCATCATATAACCCATATGGAAAGTGGGTTAGTGAAAACCTGCGAACTCTGAAGCCTTCTAGTTTTCTTTCGTCAGCAGTCATGGAGACTGAAGACACCTTAAAACGCCAACAGTAAGCCTTTCTGTTTCTCCTGTTCTATGATTCAATATGCTAATATGTGCATCATATGGTGATTTCTGAAGTCAAAGTACTCAAACTTTTCATAATTGTTATTAATCTTCTTGTATACGTGGTATATGTCTCTTGTGTGGGTAAAAAAAATGATGTTTGTCAAAGACACTAATTTTGGCTATTCTGACTTTGAGAGACTAGGGCGTTTGGCTACTCGAGCGAAGATGTTCAAATGGTAATTGAGTCAATGGCGGCACAGGGAAAAGAACCGACGTTTTGCATGGGGGATGATACACCTGTGGCAGTATTGTCTCAGAAGCCACATATGCTTTATGATTATTTCAAGCAGCGGTTTGCTCAGGTTTGTTCTTCTACTGAAAAGGCACAATTTGGACTCTTTGTGGCTTCTGATCTAGTTTAATTGGATACGTGCTTTGCCTTAGTAAATCATTAACTGTCGTTAAAATGATTCCCTTTGTGATTCTTCACATGGTCTACTTGCAGGTTACGAATCCAGCTATTGACCCTCTTCGAGAAGGATTGGTCATGTCACTTGAAGTAAATATTGGAAAACGTGGGAATATATTGGAGGTTGGGCCTCAGAATGTTTCACAGGTAAGAGTGATTATATTTTGGATTTTGTGCTGGCTTACAATTGGATTTTGCAAGATTTCATATTCATTCGGACTTGTGATTTCATGAGTAGGTTGTTTTGTCTGGTCCTGTACTAAATGAACGGGAGCTTGAAGGCTTGCTCAGCGATCCACATTTGAAATCTCAAGTCTTGCCCACATTTTTTGACATACATAGAGGAATCGAAGGATCTTTGAAGAAGGCTCTTCTAAAACTCTGCGAAGCTGCAGATGAAGCTGTTCGTAATGGTTCCCAAGTGCTTGTTCTCTCAGACAGATCTGATAATCCGGTACGTTAACATTTCCCAGTGTATACGGTTAATTGTGATTTTAGATCTATGATATATAAATGTGTGGTTATACTTGTATGTTAAGTTAAAGTGTGAACGTAATAGTTCCATCATTGCTGGTTGTTTGCTAATGAATTGCTATAATCTAGCATTGTTGGCCGAACTTGGGTGCAGTTTTCACTTACCTATCTTTATATATTTCGTAACTTAACTTTTAATGTCTACTCCTAATCCAGCACCCTGTCCCTTTTTCAGGAACCAACTCGACCTGCAATTCCAATGTTGTTGGCGGTAGGTGCTGTTCACCAACATCTGATTGAGAACGGTCTTCGAATGTCAGCTTCAATAATTGCAGATACAGCTCAGTGCTTTAGTACGCATCACTTTGCCTGTTTGATTGGATATGGAGCAAGGTTTCTACTTTTCCTTTTCATTGAATCTTCCATCCTGTTTCTTTTCATACGAAAGCAGTTTATGTGGAATTCTTCCGTATTATGCCAAATGCTAGCACTCTCTGTAAATAGGCTCTTGTTCGTACGTATTACGGTTCATGTTTATTCTTACGTAGTTTATCCTAAATTATAGTAAGCTCCTATTCTTAATTTGAGCTGAGTAATGATTTGAGAGTGCTTTGCTCAACTGCTGGTTATCACATCTATTAAAATGTTCCTTGCTCTATGCCTATAACTATATTTCAGTGCTATATGCCCGCACCTGGCACTGGAGACATGCAGACAGTGGCGTCTGAGCAACAAGACCGTGAACATGATGAGAAACGGAAAAATGCCTACTGTAACTATGGAACAGGCTCAAAAGAATTATCGCAAGGTCAGACATGTTAATGTTTCTAAACTTCTAATCATTGACAAATTTTGATAAGCCATTCGGCCTCTTTCTTGCATGTGTATATCTCCATGTTGTAACACTGCCCGTGTCTTTATAAAACTCTTTGAATTGCTACCGCAGGCTGTTAACACTGGTCTTCTTAAGGTTCTCTCTAAGATGGGCATCTCGTTATTCTCTAGGTTCAGTTTCTCAACTATCTATTTAGTTTTCGATCTTATCACTGTATCTGATTATTTCCAATTTTAACGCCTGAGGTCTCTGTTTCAGTTATTGTGGAGCCCAAATTTTTGAGATTTATGGGTTGGGGAAGGAGGTTGTTGAATTTTCATTCCGTGGTAGTGCATCTCGAATTGGTGGGCTAACTTTGGATGAGGTCAGAATACTGCCAAACCTATAAAAGTACTAAGATGTTGCCTGGTCTGAGTTCAAAATTTTTTATTGGAGCATTTTTCTCATATACCAACTTCATACCTCTCTGATAATAACTATTAAGGTTCTGGACCTCACTTTAGATGCTATATTTATTTATACTCCCAAAGCATATACTAATATTTGCACACATTCTCAAAAAACGTCTGTGCTTTTTGTATTCTGTAATAGGCCTCTGTGTATAGAATTGTTTTTTTTTTGTTTTCTAGATGGTTGATTTAGTTTGCGTCAGTGACAAGTTTAACAGATAAATAGCTTAACAGTTACTAAAAAAAATATAATTGTCGGAGCTAGAGTGGAGAAATATACTGGTTAATGGGAAAGTCTTATGGCAGTAACTGTATGTTTCTCGCTAAATTGTTTGTGAATGCCTTACAAAGTGTTGCGTTTAGAATTGTGGAAAGTTTTGATAAAAGCCTGAGATCGTCTATTGTTGAATGCTTCTCATATTTTTTTAACTTTCAATGTAAGATATTCAGGGCCACTCATCCTTAAGTTTTCCTATATCCTGCAGCTGGCTAGGGAGACATTAACTTTTTGGGTGAGGGCATTTTCTGAGGATACAGCCAAACGGCTAGAGAATTTTGGTTTCATTCAATTTAGGCCTGGAGGTACTTTTCGTAGACTGAAACTGTATTTGGTGATAAGCTTTCATGTCCATGCACAAACACATATATACTACTGCCTCTGTTTATACATACAACTATGTCGAGCTAGTTAAAGCTTTTAAATTGTATATTTTCTTACATAATAAGGCACAGCCGCACAGACACACCTTTAATTTATTGTGTTCGGAACGTTGGGTTACAAGCTTTATAGTATTATCTTTGATTTAGTATTTTTTGTTATTTGAAAGGCGAGTATCATGGCAACAACCCAGAGATGTCTAAATTACTACACAAAGCCGTCCGCGAAAAGAGTGAGACAGCATATGCAGTCTATCAGCAGCATTTAGCCAACCGTCCCATTACGGTGAGTGCTACTCTCTCATCTTTATATCTGATCCTGTTTTCTGGAACAAGTGATTATTATTTTTTGTATATCCTTTTTCTGTAGGTTTTCCGCGATCTTCTTGAGTTCAAAAGTGACCGTAAGCCTATTCCTGTTGGGAAGGTTGAGCCTGCTTCCTCTATTGTGGAGCGGTTTTGTACCGGTGGAATGTCTCTTGGAGCAATCTCGAGAGAAACTCATGAGACAATTGCTATTGCAATGAACAGATTAGGGGGAAAATCCAATTCAGGGGAAGGAGGGGAGGTAGTTCTTCATAATCTATTTAAGATTTATTTTCAACTTCAAAACGCAGCACATTCGTAGCTAAAACAATTACTGTCTATCTTTCTAGGATCCGATCCGCTGGAAGCCGCTAACAGATGTTGTTGATGGGTACTCTTCAACGCTACCACATCTTAAAGGTCTTCGAAATGGGGATACGGCTACAAGTGCTATCAAGCAGGTACGGGAAGTCAACTTGACTAGTGGTCATTATTCATGTGTACAGTCTGGTAACTCTCAGGAAGTTATTGGCAACTGTTTTAAAATGTACTCGTCTATTGATTTCCAAAGACCAAAATGACCTTGTGTATTCTCATAGGTTGCTTCAGGGCGTTTTGGTGTCACTCCGACGTTTTTGGTTAATGCAGACCAGTTGGAAATCAAAGTTGCTCAAGGAGCGAAGCCAGGTGAAGGTGGCCAACTTCCTGGAAAAAAAGTTAGCGCATATATTGCTAGACTTAGAAATTCTAAACCAGGAGTTCCGCTTATATCCCCACCTCCACATCATGATATTTATTCCATAGAGGATCTGGCACAGTTGATCTTTGATCTTCATCAGGTACTTTCCGTTGATTGTAAATATTTTGCCAACTTTGAGAATCAAGGTTCCCCTTTTAACAAAAATTTATAATTAGGTTAACCCTAAGGCGAAGGTGTCTGTCAAGCTTGTATCAGAAGCTGGAATAGGAACAGTTGCCTCAGGAGTAGCGAAGGCTAATGCTGATATCATACAGGTATTTACTTACTTTCAGATTTTGTGAGGAATCTGAAATTAGAGAATTATATTTATTAATTCAAAAAAACAATGATGCTTCTTTGTTTACAGATATCTGGGTATGATGGTGGCACTGGTGCCAGCCCTATAAGTTCCATAAAGCATGCTGGTGGCCCATGGGAACTTGGACTAGCTGAAACCCAGCAGGTATAGAACTTTAATCAGCTTCAATTTTCCGTGTAGTCTCTTATTAATTCTTTGATGTCTACCGCTAGCTAAGATTCAATCTTTTGCAGACTCTCATTGGAAATGGACTCAGGGAAAGAGTAATTATCAGGGTTGATGGTGGATTCAAGAGTGGTGTTGATGTGTTGATTGCTGCAGCTATGGGCGCTGATGAGTATGGGTTTGGTACCCTGGCAATGATTGCCACAGGATGTATTATGGCTCGCATTTGCCATACTAATAACTGCCCTGTTGGTGTTGCCAGTCAGGTAATTTGGAACACTCTTCTTACTTACTTAATTATGTTTTTGTTTTTTTCGAATGCATAACCAATTTCCGCTGAGATTTCCCTAAATTTGGTTACAGAGAGAGGAACTGCGTGCACGTTTCCCTGGTCTGCCTGGTGATCTTGTCAATTTCTTCTTGTATATTGCCGAGGAGGTAATCTTCAAAAAAAAATTCACTGGTACAAAATTTTATCGATTTTAATGTCTCATATTCCATCTAAATTTCGTAGGTGAGGGGGATATTAGCTCAGTTGGGATATGAAAAATTGGATGACATAATCGGGCGGACAGACTTGCTAAAGCCAAGGGATATCTCGCTCGTGAAAACTCATCTTGACCTCAGTTATCTCTTATCTGTAAGTAGTCCGAAATATTGTGTTTATTGCTTTTATGGTTTATGTGCCTACCCATAATTCGTATTGGTGTGTGTAGCTCACTTCTTCTTAATATCTTCAGTCTGTTGGGCTGCCAAAACGTAGCAGTACTTCCATTAGGAAGCAGGAGGTTCATTCAAACGGTCCTGTCCTTGACGATACTCTACTTCAGGATCCGGAGGTAACCAGTATCTTACTTATGGACTTTAAATTAAACATTTCATTATGTACCCTTATCATTTTTTTGGGTTGTTTCCCAGATAAGGGATGCAATTGAGAATGAAAAAACGGTTCACAAAACCACGAGTATATACAATGTGGACCGTGCTGTTTGCGGCCGGATTGCAGGGGTGATTGCGAAGAAATACGGAGACACTGGTTTTGCTGGGCAGCTGAACCTAACGTAAGCCAATGCTATGAGACAGTAAACACGTACCAAACTCTAAATATATATATAACGAGAACATGTTGTAAACTTACACCATCCCACTTTGTACCCACAAAGGTTCACTGGAAGCGCTGGTCAATCTTTTGCATGTTTTCTATCACCTGGAATGAATATACGTCTTGTTGGTGAAGCCAACGACTATGTGGGAAAGGTTCGTCTCAAAATCAATGTTTCTTTTATTTTTGACAATATTTTGGATTAAAGGTCTCTTATTATACTCTTTTGTACCTCGTTTTTCAAGGGAATGGCCGGAGGTGAAGTTGTGATATTACCAGTGGAATCGACTGGTTTTCGTCCTGAAGATGCAACTATTGTAGGAAACACTTGTCTGTATGGTGCAACTGGTGGGTTTCTATTTGTCAGAGGCAAAGCAGGCGAGAGATTTGCGGTTAGAAACTCTCTAGCTCAAGCTGTAGTTGAAGGCACCGGAGACCACTGCTGTGAATATATGACTGGTGGTTGTGTCGTTGTACTTGGGAAGTAAGTAAAAACCCTATTTTTCACCCCTGAGCCCGTAACTAAAACCTAGAACTTACTTTCTTAACCGCCAAAAAAATTGTGTCTTGATCGCTTCTCTCTGAAATTGCAGAGTCGGTAGAAATGTAGCCGCCGGGATGACAGGTGGATTGGCGTATATTCTTGACGACGACAACACTCTCCTCCCTAAGGTTTAAACATCACAGATTCCTCTGAAATATCTCGATAAGATTTATCAAACTTTTGTGAAACATTTGAAAATCGAAACCCCCCATTAAACAGGTGAACAAAGAAATAGTGAAGATCCAAAGAGTGACTTCACCGGTAGGACAAACACAGCTTAAGAGCCTGATTCAAGCTCATGTGGTAACTAACTCTCTGTTTCCTTTCTCTTCATATCGACCCTTGTCAGATACGATTTGGGTTTCGATTCTTCGAATGGTTTCCATTGTAAAATCATCTTAAGATTTGTTCTACTCTCTGTCATGAAACTTGAAAAAAAAAATATAGGAGAAAACGGGGAGCAGCAAAGGAGCAACGATTGTGGAGGAATGGGACAAGTATCTTGCAATGTTCTGGCAACTTGTACCGCCGAGTGAAGAAGACACACCGGAAGCTAACTCCGACCACATCCTGAAAACAACCACCGGAGACGAAGAACAGGTGTCAAACACATTTGCAGTGTAGCTGCGAACTGAGAAGTAGACGCTTCAAAATTGATGGTGGTTTCTCTTCTTTGCTCAGTCAAAGTCCTGGTGGATACAGTCTCTCAGTTTCTGAGTTACATTAAAGTTCTCCATTTGATTTTGACATGGTTCTTTTCTTTTCTATTTCGGTCCGAATTCGGTTATCTTTCGGTTTACTTCGTCCGGTCGTTTATAAGGAATCCGATTATTAGAATTCGATACTTGTCCAGTTCTCCACTGTTTCTAGTAGATAATGGTTACTTGGGTTTTATTTTGAGTTTTTTTCAGCTCCAAGGTAATCGAATAAAATGTATATATGATAATCATATACGTTGAATATAAAATATAGTTTGCCTATACGTTTTCAAAATTCTGACAACAAAAAGTCTTGGAGATTTTCTAGGAATGCATATACGTTGAACGTAATGCTACAATTTTTTAAACCGATACGTTTTGTTTGGACCCATAGAGGCAAATGGGTCACGAGAAAGGTACGTGTGTGTGTGTTCGTTGGCAAAACTCAAATTTTGAGTTAATGTTTATTCCTTGTTGTCCCAGCTCTCACGTGGTAAAGGAAACAGAGATCTATCAGACACGTGTGAGCGTGCGTGTCCGAAATCCGGTTTAATCGTGTGTCCCATGAAATTTTCCAATCTTTAAAATAAAGAAAGTTCTTAAAACACCCCCAAAATTCGAAACTTCTTTTAAGCACCAAAAAATTAGAATTGACACGTTCATTGCATCCTCACCGAAAGCAGTAGATGTCAGGTTACTAATTTTAACCAAAAATAGAAAAAAGCATTAAAGAAAGAGAAATGAGAAGAGAGTGTAGTAAGTTCAGTGCATTTGCGAGAGAAATCGTTACGTCTTCTTCTCTTATCTCCTCCTTAACGGTACATTGTATTTCTCCTTTCCGTTTTAGTTTTGTTTTACTTTTTTTTTTTCTCTCTATAAAATCTGTGAAAAAACCTGCCGCTAATTTTGACTGTTTGTTTTTAGACGAATTAAACTCAGTATTTGTAGACAATTAAAAAAAATGTCTCAAGAAAATAAGAAGCATTCAATATATAACTATTTTGATTGATTATTCAATCCAGAGGACAAACGTTTACAAACAGACATGGAGTAAGCAAGCTGCTTTAGAATTGAAGAGTGGAAACTCAAAGAAAGAAAAATATTAGCGGAAAATTAGTTCGAAGCAAACTAAATTCTTCAAAAATACAATTAGATGTTCAGTCGGCAATCAGCAATCAATGATACTAAAAAGGTCGTCAGTAGATTTAAATCAAACAGGACCACGTTAACAATTTATTTTTCAAATGGACCCACTAAACTTCCCAATATGGAGCATCGTCGTTACGTATAAAACGTCTCAAATTAGAAAAAGAGAAAAGAACTAAAGACCATAGAGAACAAAAAAAATTAATGAAAGACTAATATCGACAATGATTCCCCAACCTCCACTTTGAGAAGTATGGTTATAAAATATGTTTATTCGAATTTTAATAATTTATTTTAATCATCTTTAGAGTTTTCCTGATTTTTACTCTCCTGTGAATAAAACCATTCTGTGACTCTCTTAATTTATTAAGTCTTCAAGAATGATTAATAAAAAATCGAAATTTTGTGTGTGTATGTTTTTGACATTCGTTTATATCGAATTATTAACAAAACAAGGACTCTCGTTGTCTCAATTTTCATCGAGAGTGAGTCGAGCGAGAATTGATTCCTTATAGTAATTAATGATTGACACGTCACGTTACAGAACTTTTCTATAAGTATAAATAAAATAAAATAAAACTCGAATTTATGGTTTTGCATGTATACTTCCAATAACGTATTTTGAAAAATTCATGTTCGAGTGAAATCTGGAATTCCGAATCTATGATCGTTTTGAATGCTAAATCCTGATTGGTTCGACCGATAAGAAGGTTAGAAATTACATTTCACATTATACAATGACTCGTACCAGAAGACTGAAACTGCATGGATTCACAATTATCATCAAATGGAACAAGAAACCATAACCCATTAAACGACGACGCATTTTACATATGAACGGTTGTTGTCATCTCGATCGAATCGACACATTGTCTCCGCAGTTACATTACACGACCAGAGGCAGTGTCTAAGGAGGAAGAAGAAGAGGAGACGAGAGGAGGATAATAGATGGCTAAGTAAATAAGCATTAGCATCAGCACCACCGGAATTCCCATCACAATCATCGGCGGCGGCGGAAGCGGCGGTAGAACGGCCGGAAGCACCGTCAAAAGCACCACCACCACTGCGATCATAAACATTCCGATGATCCTTTGTATGTAAGTATGCGAAGCTTCTTTTCTTCCTCCAATTTTTTGCGTTTGATGTTTCTGCAATTATGTGTGTGTATATATAATGTCATGTAAATTTATTTAACTTTAAATGTTTTTGTTTCGTTTCGCTTTTTATGTGTGCGAGAGAGAAAGACGTTACGTCTTACAGGTGAAGCTCATGCACTGAGTAGCAACATTTGCCAATTCAGCATTCACCCAATGACAAAACCGTTCTTTCCCTTTTTTATTTTTTTATTGTTTTATTTATTTATTTATCAAAAGTCTAACCAACTAGATTTTACTTTAATTCACACCTATGGGATTTTTGACACGTAATTTTAGCACCAAAAATTACCATTAGATTTGCTAGGTTCTTCTTATCAATGACTTTGTAAATAAATGTTTACGATATAGTTTGTATAAAGTTTTTTTCCTTAAAATATCATTTTAATTTCTTACACAATTTAAGGGAAAAAAACTATCCAAATGAAACTTTATCTTGGCTGTAATTTTTATCTAGTAAAATTGGTATTTATTGAAACAGCTTGTGAAATTGATGTACAGTTTATAAATTTGTATGTTGACAACAAAAAATGACTGTATAATACTAAATCATTAATTAAAATATAGTATGCATTAAAATAGATAGCATAAATAACTAAGATATAGACTGGCGTTTGACATGAGTAGCTAGCTATTGGTATTAGCGTGGCGGCTTAATAATTTTCCATTTATGTGCTTTTAGAAAGCTGAAACCGTAAGGAGAGTTGGTGAATTAAGAGGAAAGAGTGTGCTCGATACTCTGAATCTGAATTAAGTCGTACTAAGTGTATTTATTTCTTCTTTTTCCATATACATTTAACCCAATTTATTGCTATCGTCCGTTTTCAATTTTTCTTAACAGCTAATTTATTAGTATATGCTATTTAAAATACTACTACTTTACTACTCTCTCCGTTTTTTATTACATGATGTTTTAGAGTTTATTTTTTGTTCTAAAATATATGATGTTCTCAAATTCTATGTAAAAATTAATTGTATTTTTATTGTTTTGGCTGTTTGAATTCTGAATTCTATTTTTTTATTGGTTGAACTGTTTTGGAAATGATAAAAAATTATGTTTTGTTTTAAAAAAATAAAGAATTAAATGATTTCTTAATTTGTGTGAACTTCTCTAAAACATCATCTAATAAAAAACGGAGGGAGTATTATCTTTCTAAATGTTTTCTTCTATACGAACATCAAATAGAAACATATTTGTAAGTTCTAAAATTTATGTATACGTGGAATGTATAAAACAACATTCTCACTCATCATGAGCGTTAATTTGGTTTACCTCACAAGTGTTTCAGTGCAAGCGTGATAGAAGTTGTAACCTTTTTCCCCACGCCATAACTGTGACTTCTAATGAGTCTATTCTCTTTCCTTTATTCTATTTTGGTGTTAAAGAATTGTGTTTGTTTAACCGTCGTCTCTCTCACAGTCACAGTATAATTTTGGATGCATTTTTTTCATTGAGCTATATGGGACGAGACAATTGCATGCCAATATAATCCAAGAGAGTACACATGCTTCGATACTCGTGTTTTATGTATAATTATTCGAATCTACATGATAGCTATACGAATCCATTGGAGGAAGTATTATCGATGAAGACTAGATAGAATGGATGACCAATTAGTGTTGAGTAACACTTGTAAATAACAAGATAAAACAAAAGGTGAAAAGAGAGTGTCACTGGCTAGAGAAGCCTAGAACCATTAAATTTAGTTTGCAACGAAAATTTTGGAGATATCAAATGAATGTTCCCTTAAAATATTATATATGTTTTCTTCTTGATAATTCATATCATTTTTTGTCGAAATCCAAAATAATATTTAAAGTGTATATTTTTTATTAACTAAAACATGATTTTTTTTTGTTGGTTCCAGTTATCTACAGGAAAAACTATAATATAATATTTGATTTTTGAACTGAAATAATACTACAAATTATTAATATAAAACTAATTTAGTTTAGATTATCAATCGTTAAAAGTCAAATATATTTAAATAATTGTAAAATATAATATATCTAATATTGAAAAAACAACGGTTTTCTAATATATCTAATTATTGAGAAAATAACGGTTTCTGATAGATTTTATAACTTTACGGTTCTATAATTTTGTTTTATTATTTTTATTATCTCCTAATATATCTAATTATTGAGAAAATAACGGTTTCTGTTAGATCTTATAGCTTTACGGCTCAATAATTTTGTTTTGTCGTTTTTATTATCGTCAACGATTATTTAATTATTATTATGTTATGTCAACGATTTTTTATTTATTTTTATAATTTTTGTTATAGCATTTTGTTTTATTCAATTATTAAAAAATAATGGTTTTTTGATCAATTTCATAAATTCACCATTTTCTACAAACCTAGAATAAGACATCCTTTTTCTACGAACATAGAACAAGACATTCTGTTGTATAGATACTACTATATAGACATTCTGTTGTACAGATACTGTTATATTTGTTTGTTTGTAATAATACATATTCAGAATATTTTTAGAACATTTATATGCCGCAATTCGGACCCCATAATTAAGAATGCAAAACATCAATGGGAACATTTGAGTTTGTAATCAAAACGAGCACATTCGGTGTCTAGGGATTATATGATGAAAGATACGTAATCAT